CGACGTGGTAAGGAGCTATAGTTGAAAGAGCTGCAATGTATCCCTCTTTCGGTAGATATGGTCACTACCAGCCGTCTGGCCTGGAACGTGATAGGCTCGTTCATTAACTACGGCTCCTATCCGGTAAGACATTGGCCAGCATCCATTTGTGTATTCCCAGGCGAGACCCTGTATGCGGGGGTTTGTTCCATCGCATACTGCGGTAGGGCGCCATATCAGGACGCCAATCCGGGGTCTACATGGAGAGCCTCGAGCGCAGAGCTAGGTCACTGATAAGCAAAATTCATATTATACATTTAATAGCCATTTGCAAACGCGGCTGGCCAAATTTTGAGATATATAATACCATGCTAGCCTCCTCTTTGGTATGTTTCGTTTAAAAGGTGATTTTACCTTTTGGTCCTTTCAGTAAACTCTTGATCTAGACTCTACGTTGCGGTCTTCATCTCAGCAGAAGGAAACATGGAAGCCGTAACGATCGGCGCGCCTTTGGACCAGGGCGTTGGATATGGCATCGTCTTGGGTCTGGGCTTTGGATTCGCCCTTGGAATGGTAAGCAGCGAGTTAGACATGTTTCTCCAACCTCCGCCAGCTTGATCCGCATGAGGACCTCGTCCTAGATTCTCGGAACAATATACGTACTAACTGCGACATGAAGATCCTAGTCACATTTATCCTCAAGAGATATAATTCAGAACTCCAGACGTCCGAAATGTTCACCACAGCCGGCCGCACGGTAAAAAGTGGATTGGTCGGGTCCGCCGTCGTGTCTTCGTGGACTTGGGCGGCTACGCTTCTACAGAGCTCCGGTGTCTGCTATAGATATGGAGTCTCTGGTCCGTTCTGGTACGCGTCGGGAGCTACGGTTCAGATTCTACTGTTCGCGACACTAGCTATTGAGTTGAAGCGACGCGCACCCAATGCGCATACATTCCTCGAAGTGTAAGTTTTTAATGGCGATTTCTATTGGATATACGTGAAGCTTACAACCGATAAAGAATCAAGGCTCGGTATGGAACGATTCCCCATATCGTCTTTATGGTTTTCGGCCTCGTGACAAATATCCTCGTCAGTCTCATGCTAGTCGTCGGCGGCTCGGCTACAGTAAACGCTCTTACGGGAATGCATACTATCGCTGCTATAATCTGCTCCCCGTTGGTGTCATAGCATATACTATGGTTGGCGGATTGAAGGCGACGATTCTAACGGATTGGATCCACACCTTCATCTTACTCGTCATTATAATCATATTCTCATTGACAGCCTACGCCTCCTCCGATAAACTCGGCTCCCCATCGGCTGTCTACGATCTTCTAGTCGAAGCTGCATTGAATCACCCAGTTGAAGGCAATGCTCAGGGAAGCTATTTAACTATGCGTTCGAAAGAAGGAGCTATCTTCTTCGTTATCAACATCGTGGGAAACTTCGGTACTGTGTTCCTCGATAACGGATACTACAACAAAGCTATTGCTGCTTCGCCAGTCCATGCTCTCCCCGGTTATATTATTGGTGGTCTTAGCTGGTTTGCAATCCCGTGGCTAACCGCTACCACCATGGGCCTCTCTGCACTAGCTTTAGAGAATACGCCAGCATTTCCGACGTATCCTAACCGTATGACAGAAGCCGACGTCTCTGCCGGACTCGTGCTTCCGTATGCTGCCGTTGCCCTTCTGGGTAAAGGCGGTGCGGTCGGCACACTTCTCATCATATTCATGGCTGTCACATCAGCTACGTCATCTGAGTTGATCGCCGTCTCCTCTATCTTCACATACGATCTTTACCGTACCTATTTCAAACCAGACGCTAGCGGAAGACGCCTCATCTATATGTCTCACGTTATCGTTGTAGTATATGCGCTTTTCATCTCTACATTCTCCGTTGGGCTTTACTACGCTGGTATTTCCATGGGCTACCTCTATCTTATGATGGGTTGCATCATCTCGTCCGCGGTTATACCAGCTACATTAACCCTCGTATGGAAAGGACAGAACAAATGGGCTGCAGCACTATCGCCTGTCTTCGGTCTCGCATTTGCTTTAATTGCATGGCTTGTCACGGCTCGAAAGGAGTGCGGTGCGTTAGATGTCACATGCACGGGATCCAATAACCCCATGCTTGCCGGGAACGTCGTTGCGCTTCTTTCGCCGCTAGTACTTATTCCAATCTTCACTCTCATCTTCGGAATGGATAACTACGACTGGAAGTCAATGATGGCCATTCGCCGAGGTGATGACCACGAACTTGCTACTACGGCAGGCGTAGATTTAGAACAAACAGCAGCAGGGCATGTGGAGACGGCGAACGAACTAGTCGAAGAGCAGGCGAAACTGACGCGGGCCAGTAAGATCTCCAAGTGGACGACGGTCGGACTTACGCTTGCATTCCTGGTGCTCTGGCCATTCCCAATGTACGGCAGCAGCTACGTGTTCTCGAAGCCTTTTTTCACAGGCTGGGTCACCGTGGGCATCATCTGGATTTTCTGCTCTCTCGGCGCCGTTGGACTGTTCCCTATTTTCGAGGGACGGAAGACTTTAGCGAGGACCTTCAGAGCAATTGCGCTCGACCTGTCAGGCAAGAAGCACGTCAAAAGTATCCGCGCAGATAACGAAGCTACCGCTATTGACGGAAAAGCGGCATCAGGTACCGAGACGCCACCGAATGCGAAGGATTCCGTTAAGACGGAGACAGGCGAGAAGGCCGAATAAGTGTGGACGGGGTGGGGGTACATGGTCGTTTTGGGGGAATATATGGTTGCGTGGGAAAGATACCCTTTATATACATCACGAATTGAGATTAGTCTCGATTGAAAATTTATTCATTTTACCGTTTTCCGATCTATAGTTGTCATACCCCCATTTAGCTATGTCGTTGGTGTAAGCCCACTCTTATGAAGGTACCAGGAGCACTAGAGGTGCAAGGTACGTTTTCGTTCGATACCTCAAAAGAATGATGAGGTGAGAGACAGGTACGTATGCATGAATTAGGGGTTACAGAAATGCATTCTACTATGGAGTAACATCTTTGAGTTGTTTAGTCCTTGTACACCTTGTATTACTCACGGTTATTCTACTCTTTCCAGCAAGGACAGAGCAGCCTAATACTAGCGAAGCGCCGATTCTGACTCCTACATATAGAGAGGCTTTTAAGACCCAGACGAGACATCTAGGAACTGCCGAAAGAGATGAACCAAATATCCTAAAAGTAGGAGATATCACTGCGGTACCCGCAGCGTTGAATAGTGCTTCTCCGGTCAGTCCTTTGACCTAAATGCTGTCAGAGATAAGCCATGTACGCTCCAAAATGTGGTCTCGCCAAATCCAGAAGCGAATAACACGAGTGCCGTCCTACCGTATAGGAACGCTAGATTCTTGTATACCTAGAGTGTGCCCGGCATTGTCGTCACCTTGCACACCGGTTGGAAGGGGCAAACTATCTTCATTTCATAAACCCTCCTAATAACTCAAGTTACCGCGGCAAGCTCTCAAATTAATCGTATCTAGATTTCACCTAGTTATTCGTCCTACAAATATCAACGGAACAATTCGACCTTTACTCACTAGTAGATTTTATCGTTCGATAGTGTTAAATATTGAACGTCACTATGAGGTATATGCCCTCACCTTGACAAGAATGCTTGTGAGAAGTCTTATGAGAGAATTGAATCGCATTAACCATCCTGTAAGCAGCTGGAACGCGGCAGTGAGTGATATATCATGCAACTGATATGGGCGGTCTGCAATACAGACATGCATACATGGACAATGGACCTATCCCTCGGGCCTCTCTTGTGTTCCTGGATGCTGGGTTGGTCGCACACATATCGATGCACATGCGGCTGAAGAGCTCGTGATAAGCCGGGGTTTGAATGCATTAGGGGTCGATCATTGGTAAGCCTACCCGGGATTTCCCAGATGTTAAGCCTGAATCGGGCGGAGTCGGCTGTCATACCTGCGATACCTCCCCTCCACTACGGCCCTGGTGATATGACGGATGTAGGTGGGAGCGCGTGGGAGGCCTGCCATAGTAGACCATAGACCGTCGCCGTAGCGTATGAATGCCTGATTAAGCAGTCTTCAAACTACTGGGGGCGGGGGAGGGGGGCAGGTTGCGTTCCGCATTTGATCTCCGGTGCAGATATATATCTCGCCATGTGTGTGAAATGCGCGCTCTGCTAGTGTTTACCTAGAATAAGTTTAGATTAGGGGACCAATACTAGCTGGGGACGCTTGGCGAATATTCGACGCTTCACTCGGACGACGCCGTCAACTCATCAAGGCGGATGCCGGCAGTCAGGAAATCGGAAAAAATAAAGGGTTCGCAAGGACTTGCCTGATCAAGCTTTCCTCTGACGCTTATAGATGCAACAAATGCCACAATGATAAGCTATCGGAGGGCGTCACACGAAAACAGGGCAAGACTGGACGAGGAGAAAGGCTTTCGACCCCACTTTGAACCTGTAACCGCCTATAAGTATAGTCTTGGTACAAATAGGCGACATGGATCATGTACGTACGAGACCGAATAAAGAGCCAATATCTACTAGTTCTATCCCTAATGCCCCTAAGATATACCTTAACATACCCCACACCAGCCCGCACCGCTGTACCGATGCTGCACCGAACCGGACCGGGTGGTAGTCTTCTGATCTAAGATATGCTTGCTCGCTCTGGTACCGAGGCCGACGAAGATCACGTACGTGCATGTTTTCCTTATACTAACTGTATCTAGGGTATCCCGCATTGCCCAATCAATTCTTTACCTATTCATGCTAGAGGCCTCCCCGATCTTTAGGGTATCTGGGTGAGTAAGGTATATATAAATTGGGCCGGGTATCGAGCTAAAGTTCGTTGAGTTTGCCTAAGTATATCTAGTTGACTTAATAATATACTTTACCATATATCAATGAGACAGTTCTTTGTTTCCATATTAGTCTGACTCCATTTTATGGCATTGGAATTTCAAAAACAAATAACCAGATTTTCTTTCCGACCATTAGCAACATGACTGTCGATCAAGGATCAAAGATTCCTCATCCCCTACGACCGCTCTCACCTGATGAGCTATCAAAGGCTCGAGATGTTGCATTTAAAGCACATGCAGGAGATGGGATTGCTTTATTTTTTCGTTCTGCCATAGTCGACGAGCCTAAGAAAACGGATCTGACTGAGTTCCTCATTGCGGAACATGAAGGTCGGATACCCGAGACCATCCCGCCGAGGCAGGTTAGGCTATTATATGATGTCATAAATAATGGAAAAGCTCAACTCACGGAGACTGTCGTTGACGTCGACGCCGGCGCCATTCACAGCAGCAAGGAGTTTGAATCACGATATCAGACCAGTTATACAGCTCATGAATTTGGCCAATTCCAAGATGCTTGTATGTCCTCGGAGATGTTCAAGTCAGCCATGGAAGAATTCATCCTACCAGAAAACTTCGTCGTCACCATAGATCCGTGGCCGTACGGCGGCCCAGACCCGGAGGAAGAAATCCCTCGCTACATGCAAGGTCTTGTGTACGCCCGCGATGCTTCCAAGAATAATATTGATTCCAATCATTACTCCTATCCCTTACCTATAATCCCTATCATGGATATAGCCACCAAGAAGTTAATAAGAGTGGATCGTCTCGCCACCGGAGGAATCGGGGACAGTCTGTATCCACCCCCTCCGGGAGGTGAGCCAAAGAAGCTGTTCGAGAACTGCGGCCCTGCAGAATACTTTCCAGAGCTGCTGGACCAGCCGTTCCGCACTGATCTAAAGCCTATCAACGTTACCCAGCCGGAAGGTGCTTCTTTCAAAGTCCACTCCGATAATCTTGTTGAGTGGCAAAAGTGGCGTTTCCGCGTTGGCTTCACGGCCCGTGAGGGCGCTGTACTGCACGATGTGTGCTATGATAACCGACCCATAATATACCGTCTATCTTTCTCCGAGATGACTGTCCCGTACGGTGACCCGCGCCCACCTTTTCAACGCAAGCAAGCCTTTGACTTTGGGGACGGCGGAATAGGACGCGCGGCCAACAACCTGAAACTAGGATGCGACTGTGGGCGCAATACATTACTTCAACTGCGTAGTACCCAACACGGAGGGCAAGCCTGATCTGGCGAGTAACGTAATTTGTCTACATGAGCAAGACAACGGCATAGGTTGGAAACACACAAACTTCCGGACAAATCGTGCAGTGGTGACACGCCTACGTGAGTTGGTCGTGCAATTTGTCGCCACGTTAGCAAACTACGAGTATGTGTTTGCGTACAAGTTAGATACAGCGGGTGGTATCACGATCGAAACACGGGCCACGGGTATCGTAAGCGTCGTACCTATAGATGAGGGTAAGGTATCGGGATATGGCAATGTTGTCAACCCAGGGGTGATGGCACAAAATCACCAGCACATCTTCGCGGTACGTATCGATCCGGCTATCGACTCGTACGTTACCGGCGACACAGCTGTAATTCTTGAAGAAAGCCATCCCATACCAATGAATCCGGAGACAAATCCTCATGGTAACGGATACGAGATTCGACGAAAGCGCGTCGAGCGTGCCGGATTTGCAGATGCTGAGCCCCTCCTAAATCGAGTCGTGCGCCTAGAGCACTCAACTAAAAAGAATAGTATCAGCGGCAAAAATGTTGGCTATAAGTTAGTTCCCAGCGCTACACAGCTCATGCTTGCAGACGATAAGAGTGTCCAAGCCGCAAGGGCGCCTTTCGCAAAACACCACCTTTGGTTCACCGGATATAGAGATGGTGAACTATGGGCCGCGGGAGAGTTCACAAATCAGGCGCCACGGGAGGAGGGTGGCGTGAAGACGATGGTCGAGCGAGGGGATTGGTTTGTTGACGATGGCAGCATTGATAATGCAAATGGAGTGGTGGATGGGGAAGCCCATGACGATGATACGGCCGACGGAGGAAAAAGGAAAGAAGAGTAGTCCTGTAGTTTGGAGCGTCTTTGGCCTTACGCACAATCCACGAGTTGAAGATTGGCCCGTGATGTAAGCACGAGCCCCTTCCCACCTCTTCTCATTTTAAGCATTACTGACAAGTTTGGATTGGGATAACTAGGCCCGTCGAAATCCACCAGTTCCATCTTCGTCCGGCCGACTTCTTCACTAGAAATCCGGCATTGGATATTCCGAGCAATAATAGGAACGAGAGTAGCGTACTAGTGCCATGTTGCGATAAGGTCAATGATACAGCGCAAAACGGGACTCACCAATCGAGTACTTGTTGCAGTAGTACAAGTCTTCGGACCGACAGTACGTCGCAACAGAATCCGGTATCGCACCTTCAGGGCACCGGACCAGATTTTGATCCCAAAGATATTCCGGTCGGAATGCCTAAGGAGAAGAAACGGTTGTCAGCAACGTTGTCGAACTTACTAAACTGGAAGAAGGATTAAATGTCTCTTTCAGGTGCATTTACAAGTTGAAATTTCCGATCTAGCGGATCCTGGAAAAAACTTTAGGCATTAATGCCCCCTAGAACTTTTAATGACTTCGCTCTTTCCATAATCGTTTCACAACAGACACAACAGAGTTTATTAAATGATTCTAGCCGGTGGGTCTTGGGATTTCTGGTAACATGTACAAGAAACCCCCTCAACTGAGTACAAACACCTCTTTTCGCTACATGAGAAACGATACGAAACGTCACAGAACTACATATATTGGACTTTAGTATATTGATGAGACTAAGACGTTCGTTATGGTATCGGATCTAGAATGGTTATGCGTGCATGGGGTATGGAGAGTAGGTTTATATATAGGTATATCTAGGTATGTATCTTAAATGGTATAGTTATATTAATACCTAGGTACTTATTTCATCTATGAATTAACATGAGAACATTTCTTTCTCCGAAGCGATCTCCGAGCTGGTTACACGTTGAATGGGTGTGTTGCTGCATGTGTCATACGTTTTCTTGAAAGGTAAATCGTAAGCTAATACATATGTGGGCCATACCTACCTGAATTCTATATCTAACTTGACCTCGTCAATTTATTGATATGAAATTTAAAAGTTCTAACTGTATTGATAATCGTTTTCCTACCTTAATACATATATAACTAGCATATAATGGATATTTATAAAGTATTTAAAACACGTCAATGGAGAGATGATCTTATACAAAGCACATGCGTAAAAGGCTTTAATAGTTTTTGTGAAGTATAGTTACCTTAAGTATGTAAGTAGGCACGTAAGCGCTATATCTAGGTCTTTTCCTGTTTTATTATGACAGCCTATTTCTCATAGGTTACCAATTAAGTAGAATAAGACATAAGTAGGGCAGATCCGTTTTGGAGTTATACAACAGATACTTCTGCTGTGCACTAGCGGAAGATATCTACAATATAAGTTCGCACACCTAATGGATTGCCTCCCCTAATATAGGACTAAATCTAGGACTTTGCACCCCGCACTGCGATATGCTAATATCCACTAGTATTATAGATTAATTTAGGTACCTAATACACATAGAGTTAAGCTGAAGCGGCAGTCAAATAACAAACGTGAATATCTAAACAACACTTAGATAGACCTACAAGATGCGTATACACTGAGCACATGTCACTAGATTTCTTATATATGTAGGTAGTAAGATTTATAGATAAATGCTCAAAGTTTATATGGTTATGTTATCAATCTAAGTATTCGCAACACCTCTTAATCGTTAATATGTATGACTAATATTCTACTGCATGAACCACTAGCCTGGTCCAAAGGTGTGGGCAACTACGTGGGGTAACTTTCGGTGATACAAAGCAGTAGCGCACGGGTGTAGTTTACCAACCACTCTGCTACTTCGTCCCCTGTTACCTGTTATCGATAGCATTTGCCTAGAAAAACCAAGGGGAAAATGGAATGATGAATGGACTTTTTACATCATTGGATCGTATCTCCGAATTTCTCCAATCGCCTCAAATTCTCGGCCGTTTTTCTTCATCGACATTTCTTCCCTTACATCCCCCCCCCTAGAGTACGGAGGCGTTTTATTTAACGCTTACCTACTCTACATATATTAAATCAACTCTTTTATGATCAATATTAGTTTCTCGATGACTAGTTAAGTAAGCTTATATCATGAGTAGGCTTTTGAATATTTGAGTTGAAGTTTAGAGCTCGGATTTACCATTGAGAAAAAAAAAAAGAAAAAGAAAAGATGGTACGCGCCGCAACTATTGCGGCTACGACGCCGGCCGGCCGTCCAGGTAGAGCGCAAGCCAGGTCAGCTTCTATAGGAAGTTTTCGTGCCGGCTCACCCCTACCCTCTCTTCCAACAAACAGGCTATCCTCAACACTTCGCCGTTTATCTTCTCAGCATCATTACCAGACATTTCCAACGCCACCGCCGAGGACGGCCGGCCGGAGACCGGATACTGGTTCAAGCTCATCCGACTCTCACGCTCATGATAACCATGGCGCGACGACGCCTTTGCCTGTCAAACAGTTGGCTCTCTTGGCCCTTTTATCATTATCCGAGCAGACAGCACTCAACTCCATATCGCCCTATCTGCCAGAGATGATCGAGTCGTTTCCTGGAATCGGCCATGACCAGGTTGGCTTATACGTCGGTCTACTAGCTTCGGCGTTTGCGCTGGCTCAGCTAGCAACTAATCTCCTATGGGGATACTTATCAGATATTATCGGTCGGAAACCTGTCATGTTACTCGGTACTTTACTCCTATGCTTCTGTTTTGCAGCTTTCGGATTTTGTACTCGGTATTTTCATATAGTCCTGGTACACGTAGCTATGGGACTGTTCAATGGAAATGCGGCTGTGGTACCCACCTGCCTAGGAGAACTGACCGACCGGAGCAATCAGAGCAAAGCTTTCACTTGGCTACCTGTTGTCTATAGTTTGGGAAGTATTACCGGCCCAGCGCTTGGTGGACTACTGGCAGGCAGGTTTGCAAAAGACAGTTATCCGTTCTTAGCTCCAAATATACTAGGAGCTTCGCTTCTGGCGCTTAGCGTGGTTGTTTTAGCTATCTGGTTTGACGAAACCTTGGAAGATCAAGGGGACATACCAGACTGGTTCGAGAAACTGTCCTGGTTCTTTGGTTCTACCAAGCAGGCCCATAGTGGATCTAAACGTTCATTAGCTTCTCCGGAAGGTAGAAACGTCGACAATGAGCAGGGAGAGGCTGATGAGGAGGATGTAGGGGAGGAGACCACTCTACTAGAACCTCACGGGGACGAGCAGAGCAATGATGACCCGAAAATATCGCATGATACAACAACGTGGCGGCAACTCTTAAACCGGACGACTATAATCCTTCTCACTACACATTTGGTCTTCCAGCTATCAAATAGCTCCTTCAATAGTCTATACCCTATATTTGCGTCTGGAAAGACGCCCACAGGAAGGGACCTACATGCGGATGTTATCGGTGTATCCCTTTCTGTCGCAGGAGCATTCACCATCCTATTTCAACTATTCGTTTTTAGGCCATTGAAGTCGCGCCTGGGAAATGTCAGGTCCTATCGAGGTTCCTTACTTGGTTTCGCGGTGACAATGGCATTGATGCCGTTTGTCGGTTACGTGGATTCCAACCCGCCATTTGGAATTGGCGACAGCAAAACATGGCTGTACTTAGAAATTGGCGTGGTATTGATTATTAAGAATATCTGCGCTGTTGGCGGTTTATCAAGCGTTATGTTGCTGGTAAGTTGCCTCAAGCAAGAAGAGTCCGTTACAAAGCATAGCTAACGTGTATTTAGATAACAAATTCAGCGCCAACCCACGCAAGCCTAGGTACACTCAATGGCATCGCACAGACTCTCTCAGCTGCCGGCAGAAGCGTAGGCCCTTTCCTTTCCGGCGGGCTTTATACCGTCTCAACTCACGTTCAGCCGAAGGGCGAGGCTCTTGCTTGGGGCTTATTCGCAGGAGTGGCACTTGCTGGGTGGCTAGGGAGTTACGCCATTCATGGCGAAGGTCTTGAAAGTACGGACGATGGATACGAAGAGGAGACTGACGTCGACGAAAACCAAAACCAAGACAACAGTGCATGATGCTATTCTGATATATATAAGATAGAAACGTCGATGGCATTTGATAGCGTTTACTTACGTGGGTCTGTTGAAGGCCCCGAATCTAGGAGTTACTGTAAAGGTATAACGACTAGATTCTATACTCACGCCTATCTTGCATGATATCCGCGGCGATAGAGGGGAGGGGCTACACCGCCATGCAACATTGCCAATAATAGCGGCAGATTTTATTGATCTTTAACAGCAATGCATTGAATTCGCAGATTAGAAGTCCTTGGGTTCACCGACTCACTGAGTAGAAGGTTTATATGATAGGAGAGAGGATATGTCCTTGAGTGGCAATCGCTATTGGCGTTCAGGTTGCTTCACCTCAGCCCAGTTTGGTAATAGGACTAGGAGGTCATGCCGCGCGTCTAAACTTCAGGCCACCGAACTGGACCCAATTGGTGATAACTAAGAAGTTTGATGATAATGATAATGATGGATAAATTTGCATGCTAGGGCATGAAATGGAACGAAACCGGTCTCTGATGGGACCAAATTTAGAACTTACCTTATGTGTATCGATCGATTAGTATACCCCCCTTTCGATATCCCCAGATCGGATGTTGTTTCTATTGGAATATCTTAAGCCAATTTATTTCTTACCAAGGATGGATACCGGATGAAGGTGCTAAGAGCCTCAAGAGGCATGGACAGGGAGGGGTAGGCCTGTTTGCTAAGATGATGTCGAATTACCCGAACGTCTTGAGGAGTAAGTCAATTCACCGGCTTCCCAATCATCATCATGTATTGTATCATGTGTTGTATCATGTATTGTCAAGGATCATAAAGCGGGCGACCCAAGAAGAAAAATATCGGGACCATGAAAGCCTCTTCCTGGTCAGCTTAAACCAGCCAAGAGAAACGGCTATTATTGTACTGAGTTATATATGCAAGAGGCTCTTTGACTTACAAGGATGGCCAGTATGGAAGTAACGGTTCCTCTCCCGCTATTCCCCTACATACGGACTCTAGTACTGCATGCGGTACTGTATACGTTCGAATCTTATACGGACCTCGTCGGCTCTAGTACTATAAACCCGATGAGATAATCGAAGTTGGATTCTGGGTCATGCGATATTCAAATTCCGATATTTATCCTTTTCGCGGGCCGACTCAAAGATGGCTTCATCCACGGTCATGGATTCCCTAAAATGTAATCCAAAAAGCTTTAAGCATTGTATGCATGTGACAATGCGACGCCGTGATGACGAGAAGACAAACCCCGGAATTTGCTTCTCCCGCGCTTCCAATTATTTTTAGGTACTATATATGTAAAGTACCTACGTACCATTGCTTCTAGAAGTTCCCCCATTCCCCCCACTTTTGATAATGCAAGGGTGTCCTTGTCCGAGAATAGTAAAAATCGCGTCTATGCAACCAATAGTAGCAGAGTTCTCTTCTTTCGTATGCACTGCCCTAGCCTTACCTGCCAAGTTACCAGATCAGCTCGACCGAACACTGAATTCTTATTGGTATATTTTTCAACCCCGCCAGAAAGGATACATATTCTACCTTCTGATCCAGGACTTTGGTTTGACGTGCCAAGTATTCTAAACCTAGCTCTTCTCGTAGAGTATTGACCATCCTCTTAAGATAGATCCAATAATAAATCCCGTCGTTACATTTCCCCGTATACATACTAAAAATTACTGTTTCCCAATCTCATCGCCTCATCGTCATCAGTCCGTACCGGACAATCTTTCCGGGGCGTTGACGAACTTGTCTAATCCCGCGTCAGCAGCCTCAAGGCTCGTAGACCAAACAGTATCATTGAACAAGTCATGACTGTGCGCGGAATGCTCCGCTTATGAGGCCACCGATGATGACCTTCCTCAGATAGGGTCACTTCCGTCGAAGATCGTAGCCCCCCTCCTTCTAGAAGTTCTGAGTTCTCGGGTGACCAGGGGTTACGATCATCACAGGACGCCAGAGCACAGACCAACACCCAAAAGCTTTCTACTCTTGTTCCATGACAAAGCTTTTCCAATTATATCTCAGAACTTATAAGACAGAAACACTATTGGCCGGCCTTATTTCAGCCTCCTCGCTTATCGTTACAGTATGCAAATGTGTAATATGTATATGGACTTCCTACGGGGATCACAAAGACGTCCGGATGGATATGCATTCTAGGGTTCTATCATCCAACGGCACCCTATCCGCGTATCATATTTACTAAGACGCTACTTGGCAAGGATATTGCGCTGGTAGAGGATATATTATTTATTATCGTCACATAACCCTGTAATTAGCCCAGCCGGACTAGGTTATTTCGACGTTATTCCTAACCTTAGCTTCAATTTCGCATCTCGTTTTCTCAAGATAGCTTCAAAAACTAGACTAAATAATTGTCCGGCAAGGGTGTCTATCCAGTAAATCAAGTAAATCAGCCTCCAAATTGCGAATCGAGTTACAATGATTCCCAATTCAGCCTAGATTCCCAGCCTTAAGGCACTAAATTCTCACTGACAGGGAGCGGCAGCTCGCTACCACGGAACGACCGATTTCTGGGTTCGCACGGTTTCTAACCTTGTCGTGGGTAAGTCAACGACGGAATACACCCCTCAAATCCCATTGGAAGTTAATAGCAGGTGTTCTTTTTAGGAACGATATGACTATCTGGAATGGAACAATAACTTCCTTTCTTGTCATTTCTGTTTTCTCTTGGGTTTCTCTTAAGGTGATAGCTTAGTTTTTCTACGGGTCTCTTATATTTACGGTTATCCAATTAGGATTCGGCTCTAACATCTTCACCGACAAGAGCTTCTTTCATGTTTAACTCTCTAACATTTATTGTCTATTTCTATACTGTACTGAGTAATAGCTATTTCAGCAACGGGATAGCGACGCGAACACCTAGCATGATGTGTAGCGACGTCAGCATCAGCCCGCACCGCATGTGTGGGTGAGGTAAGGTCGGATCACGTCCTATCTAGCTTAAGTTGCAAGTTGAGTCTGACTGGTAACTTACTTTAATTCTACCCTAGTCCAAAGCGCTGCTATTGGCGAGCCTTATGATAGGGCATGGCTTTCGATAAGAATCGGTATGCGTTGATAGCTTCATGGCTGGACGATAGTCACGAGTAGGGTGTTTCTCTAGGACCTCCCATGGCTTCCATCATTGATGTGGGCAATTATCGGCGCAATCTCACGGGCTTGTCACTATACTAGCTATTGGTTTCTCAATATAGTTTCGCAATACCATACTGTGAAGAGAACCTATGCCTATGATTAGATTATTCCAAATTACGATCTAGGCTCAACCTCATTTACTGACATGGAAACACCCTCTCGGGTGACTTTAGCAGCTTCAATTGGTTAACTGCTAGTTGGAAGGTTGTGTTTTACGTATGTTTATACCACCGAGAGAGGTTCTCAATGTACTCAACTCAAGGATATAAACATCAACAACCTCCCCCAGCTAACAGAACACAAGTCGAACTCGTCACTCATAAGAAACTCCACCAAAGACTCAGAGAAACATCTAACTCCAAGGCGATCGAACTCTAGCACTTTCAGTTAGGAGAAGCAAAATACTCAAGACATTCTACCAAAGACGAAGATCCAACACGTCGTTTGAGACCAATTTCATCACCAACGATACTCAAAGGATACTAAAGCATACTGTGAGGTTATTCACGATGTCCTCATCACGATCAAGTGGAAGTGGCCAGAGAGGTTCTCGCGGTAGCAAGGGAAGACAAGTGCGTGACGGTTTTTACTTCGTAAATTCCTCCTACTACTCAACACCAGCCATCCCCGATACTCTACTTATGACTCTCCAAGCTTATAGCCCACCTGAGAGCTTATCTTAGCTAACCTAGAGGATAATAGTCATCCCACCAGCAGCTCATCGAGTCGCTACGCACTCACCGAGTTAACACACTTACTGAACTCTGCCGCATTGAACGAGTTGCTGCTAGCTGCGAAAATGAGGAAGACGCGCAAGCCTTCCAGGCCCCGATGACTTCCGCATGGGATTACTATGTAAACAGCAACCAGTTCCTGACGGAGCTGAGAGGCTTGACGCGCAACTATCCCATCTCAGGAGACCTAGTTGACCAGGCGCATCACCTCGTCCGAAACGACCCGAATTCAAACCGTAGCTGGAACCTGGCATGGCTGTGCCTGGTGAAGATCCGCGACGAGTAAGTCTATCTCCAAAACACTCTCAGGAACCCCCTTCTTTTTTACACATGTCTTCGAGTCCCGTGACAGTTACTCACCTCGTCCAAACAGGGGCTTAATCCCAGCGTATGCGCAAGCGGATGCCTGGCGCAGAGAGATGTGGGGAGGCCGCGATCCCACGCAGGATGAAGCAGACCAGCTCGCGCAGTGCTTCGAGTACGAATGGACCCAGGCGGTTGAGAATATGTTGCGGCACTGGCATGCCGCGCCGACATGGTACTAAGTTCAACAGCCTTCCTTTCTACCCGTTTCTTCCTTTTTGGTCTGTCGTTTTTGATGATCACTCCCATGGGCTTCTGGTTGGCAAGGCGCTAGGAAAATCGCACCTGTTTCTTCTACGGTGCTGGATCGTTATATGCCGCCGAGGCATTTCGCATTGGAAAATGGTGTTTTAGATTTGTGCGCATTTACAAAGGAGGGTTTGTTTGCATGGCATGGCATGGTATTCCTTCGTTTTTGGGATTTGCATTGGTGGCGCTTCATGTTTTTCTTCTGCACAGAAAATGGTCGTTTCTTTCTCTTCCTTCGTTTATCTTCTTATTTTATCATTCTAGTTATATACTTTCCTCTCGTTTCTCTTACCGAAGTATCCATTCGTGTCTCTCTCTACTGGACCTCTATCTTGTTTATCTACTATCAGTCGTTTTAGGAGTAGAATCTTCTTGCAGCTAACAGCAATAACAGACTCAAAAGCACGTCTTCCCACCACTTTTCAGGGTTAGAATGTTGAGTAGGAGCAGGAGAACTGGTGATATAAGATGGTACTTGTTGTGCTATGGGATATATACGTGTGAAATTGAGAAGTTGATATGGCATTCAAATATTTAGCTATCCTAAGGTAGTCTAACAATAAGGGTCCTTACTAGCAGTTGTATTTAGCTTCTGTTATAAGGCCCAGGCGCTCGTTAATTAAACATGTTAGTAAAGTCTTGATGAATATCTACATCTAAGTAGGGCTACTACCTAGTTTGACTTATCTAAGTGACAATACGGTTGATAATAAAATAGCATAGGCATGTCTAGTTTACATAGAGAATTATAGCTGGATAAAATTGTTAATTAGGAGACATTACAATAACAATTACTACCGTGGGAGTCCTCTTCGTTTCTGTCGACTAGTTAGCATAGCATCATGTGCTATAGACACAATATTATCAGCGCTAAGGTTGCAATATCGTTGGGGAAAATGCCAATGCCTTTCCCGCATCTTTTGATGCACTTGAGTTTGAAGAGAGTTCAGATAAGATCAAGCCAGTGAGCATCTAGGCGCTGTTACCATAGCGACATGCACATATTCGCACGTGCGTTGAACTACTTCAACCTTTTTTTGCCGTTGTCATGGTGTTAAGAATGACTATTTAAGAAGTAACTTTAATCTCTAGTTATTCTACGGTTACCTTTGTTCTTCGTAGATATCTCTCTGCAGCCTATTGATGTTTTTTTATCAGTTGTCTGGCTATCCATAAAGGCGCCTTATGATTAGCCATTTTGCCTCGTCCATCGAACCTATACTAAGTCCGCAGAAATTATCTCCATACACAACATCGCCGACTCGATTCACAGAATGGAGCGACCCGGCATGAAACCAAATACTTACGACTTGGACGACGTGAATATGTCTACCAACCTCATGGCACATCCTATTCTTTCAAGTGACCCTAGGGTATATTGTAGCTTTCGGGCTATACCCTTACACCACCTGGGGATTCGATTCCGCGAACTTTCCGACTATGGGCTTATCATCAGCGAGAGCCCTAATAAGCTAGTTATCATGATTTATCATCGATACCCAGAGCTATTGCTTGCCGTTGTTAGACACGCATGGGTGAACAAGTACATGGAGATAGGAGCTCTATGCACTATGAATTTCGGCCCATTGACCCGGAATCGAGGCGTCGTGTTGACCTTCGAGAGAGCTGGAACAGGAACTGGCGATACCAAACAAGAGAATTCGAAAACGCAGTCTCAAGAACCGCTGCAGCCTCAGCCACAGTCATACGCATATTCGAACTCGACTACTTCTTTGGAGGCTACTACATCGCTAGTGACATAACTCCAAGGAGACCCAGTCTACTTAGCCCTATACCTGAAGGCCGACAGTCGGTTGAGTCGTGAATATGTACCAAATGGCCAACTTGACTTCCTAGTGAGTTGCAAGCCCAGTTCACGAGGCATGCGGCACGATTCCCCCAAGCCTATAGACAAGCTTCTCGAATCTACTCGGCCCCTAGACCATATCAACCTCAACTAGGCGCTCTACCATTGGTTTATCAAAGTCTTCCCGGCGGCCGAAGCCTTCGAGCCCCTTTACCATACCGACACGACTCTCGAAACTCCCCAGATCACCCTAGATCCCAAAACAGCCGAAAACATTAGCATATCCCCCGATACAAAAGATACCGAGCTAAGTAAGGAAACCGAAGAGGTTTCAAGATCCTACTTTTAAATCATCAAGCAACAGTAGAAGACAGGGGCGATCGTCAGCTATTAAGGGCACAAAGTTAAGAGACGAAGGATACGTGGGCAGAGAGATGAGATCTATGGATCTAGCTAGAAAATCATTCGTCGCAAAATGTTGGTGGAATTGTAGTTGATCAAGGTATTATTAGGAAGGGTTGATTGGAAGTTGATTGGAAGTTGATTAAGACGGGACTTTTGTAACATGAGACGCGGTTGCACGCAGGTAAAATGTACCTAGGAAGAAATCGGATATCAATTACAGCTGTCAACAACTGTTTTCCCCTGTAGCAGCAGTAATGAGGGGCAGTCTTCTAGAAGCTCACCCACAGCAGAATAGATCGGCAATGCCCCCCCCGCCCCACCCCCACCTTAGTAATTCATCTTACTAGCGGGTTGACCCGGCTCAAGTCGATAATGTATGAGGTATGTATATTCATGCAGGTAACCGTGACGGGACATACATTTACATGTATTTGCCTTCCTATGGATTCCGAGAATTAACTTCATCCTGACTAATACAAGCGCGCAATACGAACCCATCATCATATCCTACAATAACAATATCACACTTTGAGCTTCAAAGGTCTACCTAAACTAACCCCCCTCATGTTCGAGAGCAAACATCTTTCTTTAGTTTACGTCACCTCATAATCACCTCCAATGCATCAGGATCAGCCCATCCACCACGGCTCCTTAGAGCATCTCCTACCGCCTAGCTGGAAGTCTCAGATTACCGCTTGGTTAGCTGAGGACACCCCGTCGTATGATTACGCCGGCTTCGTCGTCGGCGAACATCCTCGAAGTGCTACCCTCTGGGCTAAAAGTGCCGGTATCGTTGCTGGCATTCCCTTCTTCACTGAGATCTTTAAGCAGTGCGGATGCGACGTAGAGTGGCATGCCAAGGAAGGAAGCTATATCGACCGCCCTAAGGATGGCTCAGGCAAGACTAAAGTCGCCACTGTGACAGGCCCTGCGCGCGGTTTGTTACTGGGTGAGAGGGTTGGGCTGAACTTGCTAGCACGATGCTCCGGAATCGCTACCGTCAGCCGCGACATGCTACTCTCTCTACGCAGCGCCGGGTACGAGGGTGTGCTAGCGGGCACGCGCAAGACGACGCCGGGATTCCGGCTAGTTGAGAAGTACGGCATGTTGGTCGGCGGGGCTGATACGCACCGCATGGACCTAAGCTCCATGATTATGCTAAAGGACAACCACGTATGGAGCCGCGGCAGCATCACCGAGGCCGTGAAGGCTGCTAAGATGGTTGGCGGATTTGCGCTCAAAGTCGAGGTTGAGGTTCAAAACGAGGACGAGGCTAACGAGGCTATCGCCGCTGGCGCCGACGTTGTCATGCTGGACAATTTCACGGGAGATGGTGTCAAGATTGCAGCTAGGAATCTGAGGGAGAAGTGGAAGGGGAAGCGCGAGTTCCTGATAGAGGTTTCTGGTGGTTTGCGCGAAGACAACGTGTTTAACTATGCGCACAATGGTGAGTACTGTTAGTTCACACCTCTTACTCCTTGCTGATAATGGTTATTAGATATCGACATCATCTCGACGAGCGCGATTCACCAAGGGACGCCCCATGTGGATTTCTCGCTGAAGATCAACCAGGACAATATTACGCGCAGCTCGTGATTTCAGGTTGAGTTTCTATCTCTGGCTTGTTGAGTACCGTGGATTTTATGGTTATTATTACGCGCGTATGCTGTCTAGACTGCCCATCTAAAGGTAATTATCGAGGCTGGCATTATAGAAATATAGTATGAGATAGTTCATTCTAGCCCATATAAATATCAATGTATATAACCACGTTCTCTAACGCCGTGAAATTCCCTTCGTACTCCAACCCGGGTGAAGATACTTCTACATACTTTTACGAATTAGCCAAATGAATTTTTGCTTTGAAATAGCACCCATAAATTCCCAATTCTAGTTTATTATACGTTCTTATGCAACAATCATACCCGAAACGCAACCCAAGGCTAGCTACTACTCAGGACATCATATCAGTGTGCTTTCTGTTCAAAAGGTGCGAGGGCTTTCGCCATTGCGGCTTTATTTCCGCCGGGGTAGTCTAAAACGATTCGCTTGAAGATATGACGTTTATAAAATTTTCATCTTCAAAGACTTTATAGGTCGACTAGAAGAGATAAAACACGTACCTTATAAGCAGCAAGTCTAATCGTGAAAAGTCTGGGTATTAACCTAGCTTAGAACATAGTCTAGAAGTTGTCATTTCTCTTTTTGGGTGGCATGAGAATAGCACAAGACCTGAAGTTGTCCGCCTCGAGTAGCATGCCGTCGTTGATAATATGTCTGTAGTATTCTTTGTAAGTTAGTAATTGTTGAAGCTAAGGTGTCTGGAGCTTGGTTGCGGGTTGGTGGGGGGGTGCAGTAATGATAGCCCCCTTTTTGCCTGATTGACCAGGTTGGTTTCTATCTTCAAACGGCACGTCGCAGTTAGTACCAAAGTCATAAGTAGATAAATTAGGTACTTTATTTGGGACCTTTTATTATTTATCAAATGACTACTTCGTATATTATTGGATATTTAGGAAGGATATTTATAGTACCGCTAAGCTGTAGGGAGATGCGAGGGAGGATGATCGGCCCATCGCACAATGCTCCCTTACAGATTGGCTGACCAACGAAAACGTTGACTGTATTTATTTCACTAATTAACTGCTCCCAATATAATATAAACCTTTACAATAATACTAAGTACCTAAGAATTAGGGTGTAACTATTCACATATATTTGTTGATGGAGGTATGAAAAACGCGCTGTCTTATACTGCAAGGTTTAATTCGCCTCACTTAAACCCCAAATGCAACTACTACCTATGCAATACTTCTCTAGAGCGCCAGTATCCACGAATCCAAATAGATGATTATAGGTACCTAGATAATAAGGCGGTTGGGCTATTCCTAGATTTCAGCGCAAACTATAGGGACACCTCAAGTGTTGATAATTATGGAGATTCTCGAGGCTTTATCGTTTTCTACCTACTTCTCTGAATTCTGTAGTCTGTCTGACATTTATATTTTAAATTGATTTTTCTTCACATTTTCAGTCGAGCACTTTGTCATGTCTTCCGCAGACTATAGGTTTATGATTTCGGCGTTCGTAAGTCAATTTGAAATCGTGCTGTGCTGGCCGGGTTATTGAAAGAAATTTATAATGAAGGGTCTTTTTGCGAGATATCATTACGTCATTTACAAACACTCGATATTCCTCAGGATGAAGGGTTTATCATGGAGCTAGCTATTACGAGACTGGAACTCAAAGGTATCATATATTGAAGACAATGTTTTAGAGAACCCACAACACGAATATTAATAACACAAACTGAACTCGTTGGATGATGTGACTATTACTTCGAACCTAGGCATATTTATCATTTGCTTCATTCCCGAGGTGCCGAACTTTCGACCCCATGTCCGCACTTTTCGATCCATATCGTCCCTGACGAATACCATTACGATGCCTAAAACCCATGCTAGAAACCAGTCACCTAAAACTCTCCAAAACCCTCCTCTTGCACAACCTCCCAGCATACTACGCTTTACTAGCCCGGTCAACAGGTCAGTCGTAATAAGTTCCTGCCCACTTTCAAGTCCCTTGATACTCCTCGCGGCGACGACCTCTGGTGTTTGGCCTTCATCCCCCTCTTCAAGCATCTTGGTTAGGTCAGACTTGATGCGATTTTCGGCCTCGTACGACTCAGTGTAAATAGTGGCGGGGAATACGGTATGTAGCCGGACAGGAGGGTCGTTTGGGTGGGCTGCGGCGTATAGGTTCATCTCTTGAGATAAGTTATCGGAGAGAGCTCGCAGTGCGGCCTTGGACGGGCTATACGGCGAGTAACCAGCGAAGCTGTAGAATGCTACAAAAGAAGCGGTAAATATAAGGTGGCGCGCGGGAGCTGTGTTGCTTGTTCGAACATCGTCGATGGCTTTTCGTGATGTCTTTAGCCAGCATGTCAAGATTGCATGTGCCATATATAGGCTCGTGAAGTAGTTGCTGTCCATCTGGGTCTGGAATTCAGATATGGGCGTGTCAATGAATAATGTTGGGTACGAGCTGCCTGCGCAACACCACACGATGTCTGGAGGATTGCCCGAGTTCCACGATTGTACCTGGTCGATGATGCGTACAGATTCAGATGGGGTGGTCAAGTCGGCGCTAATCTGAAGGAAACGCTGCGTTTGAGGGTTCACAGCTCCTTGCTATAGCGAAGTCAGCTTCAAATCATGCGATTATTGGTATTAGGACAATGTACCTGTATATATTCGAGGCTTTGAAGTAGCTTTTCCTGGTCGCGAGCAACGATTACGACGTTGGCCCCCTTTTCAGCGAGCTGACGTCCAGCCGCAAGTCCCATACCTCGCGAACCACCAGTGATAACCACGGTCTTTCAGGTTTGTCAATTCAATTCCTTGTACTTGAGCTGGCTTGAATGCGTACCTTACCCTCCACGGGGAACTCGTTTTTGATAGTATCGTTCCCATGTCGGTAACTTGGCCTTCCTATGTATCCTCTAAATCAGTGTTAGTCTTAAGGCCACTTTTCGCGATGCAATAGGAGACACTTAAGTCTACGGTGCGCGAACTTACAAATAACGTCCGTCTAAAAGGAAAATACGGGGTCAACTTGCGACGAATAAGGGAAGCGAATCCCTAAACAATAGAAGGTGTATAGGTATATCGAGGTCGAATGAAAAAGTGAAAAAGCTTTACTTATATCACTGCCCTGTTTTCTTTTAAGGCTACCCGCTTCTGAGAGATTAGGTACTTTAATATCCCATAAAGTAACATCTACCATGTACATAGGTTGCTTTGTGTAACCTAGAAACAGGGGGAATCCGGTCCGAGCCTGCTTATCGTAACTTCTCCCACTTGAAATATTGTCTGCTGTGCGACCACACATCAATTATTATTCGCCAGATCCTGCTCAATCTGCAGGCTTTGCCCACCTAGATACATAATATATAGTAATACTCAACTTCTTTCATTAAGGCTTTATTATTTAGGTATGCTACTAACACAATATCTTCACAAATGACGCACCATGGCCCTACACCATGTCAGAATCATTCCTTCAAGAAGGAATATATGGCACGATGAAGCCAAGTTCAATGGCGATAAGAGACAGAACGTACGTATATCTATTAAAGAGCATTTACAGTCATCATATGCCAGTAAACTTCTCTCGGTAAGGAAATGCCTTTCCAGAATAGTTGTCTAATATGTTTCACTTGAAATGAGTGAAGAAGATGTGACAACAGACGTCGGAGCTATAGTAGTAGTTCTAGCTGCTATAGCGGTCGGATTGCGCTTCTACTCGCGCTACTTTACAAAGGCTGGCTTCAAATGGGACGACTGGCTTGTACTGGTGGCACTGGTAGCCACGATTCTAACCGATGTGCTAGTACTATACGGTTTGTCCCCCTTTTGATACTTGTATGATATTGAACGTGGCTTAAGTCTTCTATTGACTTACAAATAACTTCTCTCAGCGACCAGCGTGAATCCGGATGGCGCCGAGGTGGCATCTAATACAGACCCCAACTACCAATACACACCTGCAGATGTCGAGTTCACCAAACTGAGTTACATCGGGACAGTGCTCTACTTTACCATCACTTCTGCGACTAAAGTATCTATTCTACTAATGTATAACCGGCTGTTTTCTGTCGACATCTCGTTTCGTCGTCAAGTCATCATCGTTGCTGTGGCTGTAGCAGGCTTCTGGATTGGATGCACCGTCGCCGATCTTCTCAATTGCATACCGCTCGAGTGGACATGGAATAATGCGCTTGATGACCCACGATACTGCTTCAATTATAACATATTTTGGCTCACCAGTGGAATCGTGGAGGCTTGCCTAGATATCGTGATTATTATCATGCCTGTTAGGGTAGTGATAGGGTTGAATTTGAATAAAAGCAAGAAATTGGCTGTTGCGGGTGTGTTCTTGTTAGGAGTCTTGTAAGTGCTTTGGCAATGCTCATTTGTGGTTACTCGCTTTGAACTAATTTCAACTACAACCAAAAGCGTCATTTTCTCAGGCATCGTCAAAGTTATCCTGAGTTATGTACCTGGAAGCCGCGAGCCGTCGTTTAGTAGGACTGAAGTATGGACGACAGTGCACTGTTGCACAGGTATAGTCTGTGCATGTCTTCCGATATGCTGGCCTCTGTTTACTCGGGTGGTGAAACTCAGTCCGAGTAGTTGGCCTGGCGTTTCTTCAATTCGGAAGCATTGGTACAGCTTCAGCGGCTGGTCATCGGTGGAAAGGGGGAGTGCGCAAAGAAACACTACGCCACAACTCGATCAAAACACAGGAAGTAGTGTGGGAGGATACGAGCTACCGATATACATCCCTGATACTGGGGGTGTTGCAGTACCATTCGAGGAAAGTCATCAGCAGCAACACATCCACGACGGACACTCTCTTGAACTCTATAGCCCAGGACCATATATCCCACAACCGTATATACCAGAACCGACATACTGGATGTATGAAGGAACAAGACCCCGCTAGCTAGTGTATGTCGGCTGTCCAATATTCCATCAGCAACAAATAACATGTCAACTGTTTTAGAGTGTTTTTCATTAGCGATCGAAGTTCTAGTAATAATGTTGATGGAATCTGCATATCATGTACCATAAGACACGGAAGATGTTACGAATCCCGGGGCCAATCCAAAATAGAACTTTCAATTTGTTCAATAACTTTGAGATTATATTCCAACAGCGCATACCCTTAGGCTCATTCAATTGGGTGCCGCATCTCAAGAAGAGATGATTCGGTTCGTATACGGAAGTTATAATTTGGGCTTCGAATCAACGCGCTTCGTGGAGTTTTGTGGTAGACTAACATTGAATATTTAGAAGCTAGATGTGGTCTCGCCGGTATTCTCAAAGCTATTTTGATACTAGAAAAGGGGCCAAACCCAACCCCCTATTCGAAAAAAGTGGGACCCTAAGATCAATGCGAAATCGAATAATATTGATATATGAGAACTCGGAGGTTGTAGGATTGATTGTCCTCGGATGTAAGTGGATAAAAAGATAGTAACCTCATACAATATCTAGTCCAGAAAAAATTCTACAACCTTAGATAGGTAATTACCGCGTAGTTACTTAATATATATACATGCCTTAGGTACCTCTTAATCAGTTAAGTCGATTACACTTAGTTGATCATGATACCTCTGAAGGATGTTTGGGGGCTAATCTCACATACGAATTCACTGAACAGTAAGCCACCACCGCATTGATAACTCATACAGGCTCTGGATGGTTGACCATACTTTCATATTAAAAAGTAACGTCTTATCACAGACATTACAGAGACAAAATCAGATTACATTTCCGTAACTTCCGTTATGAATATTATAAAACATTAAGTCTTTTGTTTGCTATCAAATCAAGGGAACTGAACAGTGTAACCCCGGGGTACCTAAATGAAAGAAGGTTGACATAGGTTAGGTACATAGCACGATGTAAGGGCTGTTCGCGTTTAATTATTTACATGTAGGCAAGTATCTATTTTCCAAAGTTTAAGTTCAAATGTTTCTCATTCTTTTTGTTATTTCCCGAAGTTACGCTCCATACACGGGAAAGTTCAAGGAAATTTATATTTCAGTAGGAATCAATTATCTCTGTCGAAATTTTCGATCAAAAGATTTGCTCACCATGCCAGAGAAGAGTGCTATGGTGGTAAATGAACCCAACCCTTCCAGTATCACCGATGGCGAACAAGCTGAACCGTCTACCATTTATTATACAGCACGATGTTGGCGCTACAAACAGAGAATATGAGAGTAGACAGTCCTACATAGAAGGCCTGAGGCTTTATCTGATCGTATCAGCGTAATTAACTATGAAACTGTTCTATTTCTATGATATTGTCATGTTGATAATTAAGGGCTAGGCTATCTATGTGTCTATTCCTAACTAATCTCGAGATACCTATCGTTACTACCGCGTTAGTGGGCATGACGAGCGAACTAGGTGGATTCTCGATAGATCTAGTTGGATTATATTAGCTTATCCTAGGTACTCAGTTATATTGGTTGGTAGACCCACCAGATTCGCCGTCCTCCTTCAATATTTGCCTAATGTGACAAGACCTTTATAAATACTTGTGGTTGCAATCCTTTATGTTACGCTGCAAATGCTTTCGAAAATACTGGAAACCCAAGTAAACCGCCGAGTAATCGGGTATTACTCTAAATTTAGAGCTGAAGCTCCCGAGATTAATAATTCGAATGGTACGTATTCGCTTTTCTAGTACTAAGTGCAGTAAATATCGAACAATTTCGAGGGAGAGTTATCAACCCCCAGTTTTTGCCTCGCGATTATGACTGAGAGTTTCCGTGATAGGCAGAGGAGCCACTGCTGTGACTATGCTTCCATACCTTGCAAGAACCCTATTCAAGTCTCGCTCATTTAACGTAGGCCAACATATATAGTCGTCGTAGCGGGTTCAGGATGATTACAGAAATTCTTACCCCTAAAGTGGGTCTCCCAGTGGAGAAGACGTGTCAACATAATTTTCATTCATATAGCTGCCTTGTTTTGTGCCTTTTTCCTACGATTTCCAAGAAGATGCTTCTAAAAGAGACCAACAAATTACTACCAGAAGGGATCGGTCCAAATTTCAACTTTGAGCCGCAGTATAACCCTAGAGAGCAGCGTATATGCCTTCATCTTGATAGAAAGTCTTATTCTGCTTTACATCTTGAAAGCATACGAATAATAATTGGTAATATTAAAAAATGTCGTTAAATGAATTATTCTATGCAGGACAGCCAATTTATGGATGCTGATGTTATTGTCACGACGACATAGTTCCGTGCGAGGCTTAGGGGAGAGATTTAGATCAAGGTCAATGACTATTCAATTATGTGAAGTAAAGGTTTGTAAACACAAGAGGCATAGAAATCTAGCTCCACATATGTTCTTATTACCCAGAACGACGGACCCTAAAAACTAAGGGTCAATCCTGCCAACAACACCTCACAAGATTGAACTGCAAAAGCGATACTACTGTAAAACTACCTTCATAAAGTTAACATATAATTTATACTAGTGTACTATATAAAAGTATATCAATAGTCCTAGAGAACCCATTCTTATAATCAAGGAACTCTAGAGTGGAATATCAAGCTGGGCCCATCGTGAGTTGAAGAAATAACATCGTAAACCTGAAATTCGCCATCCCGATGTCTGCCATAGGTGGCGTTTCTACTTCCGGCTCCAAGTTCACCGACCTTACCCGGGGCCTTTTCGAAATCGAACTGCCACAATATCTTTGAGATTGTCACACTCGCTTCTAAATAAGCCATTGCCTTGCCTGCGCAGATACGAGATCCTGCTGAGAACGGAATAAATGCATCGTGCATTATTTTCAATTTTTCCTCCGATCCCTTAGAAAGCCATCGTTCTGGTTTGTAGACAAAAGGCTCGGGGAAATACTTTTCATTGTGGAGGATAGAGTAAACGTTCACTCCAAAAATGGTCCCGCGAGGTATGACATGGCCGTCTACGACGAACGGCGCATTATCTGTGTCGAGTTGCTCCCGCCAAGGAGTGCCTGGGGCCGCCGGTGACATACGCAGGGCTTCGTCAATACAAGCCCGTAGGTATTGACAGTTGGTTAACTTTTGACCGCTGCAAATTTCACTACTAGAATCGAATGCGGTTCGAATCTCATGAGCTAGCTTGTTATAGCAGTCTGAATTGCGAGATAGATAAAAGAAGAGGGCCGCGATGAGAGAAGAAGTTGTATCACCGCCTAAACAATAAATTAATTGATTAGCTATTAGGGAATCTTTAAGATAAATATCGTAAGGGGTAACTAACCTGCCGCAAATATGAATATCGCCTCTGCCCACAACTCGCTTGTTTGAATATTCTCTGGTCCTCCTGTATTGATTTGATCTGCGACCATTGAATACAGGTCCAACTTGGCGTCTTTATTCTCAGCCATGCGAGACCCAATCAGCTTCTTTATCGCGGCTCTATATGGCTCCCTCTTTTCGCGTATCTTTCCAACGAATTGTAAAATTTCGGTCATCTGGAGTTGTGTCAAGAGGGGACACTGTAGCTTCATGTTTTGGAAATAATTCCCAGCCACAATACCATCCGAAACGAATCGATATTCCTCTTTCTCCTGGGTCCGCAAAGAGAAACCAAATGATAAGAGGCAGATAATGTCTAGTGTCAAGTACCTCAACATGGGCGACATGTTGATGGGCTTAGTGCCAGTGGTGGACTGGGACAGCTGCTGGATGAAAATGTCGATCTGCTCGATAATAATGGGTTCGAACAATCGCATACCTCGCTCATTAAGAGCCTGGCCGATTAATCGACGCTTTACACGATGTTGCCGCTTATCAATTACAGTAAAGACGCTGTGTATATTGGGAGCTTGCATGATGTTCAAGTACAGACTAGCTTTGGAAGCCCTTTCATTGTGGTATATATCTTAAAAGCATGTTAAGCAATCTTTCATCAGGAACTCAGCAGAGTATTCATATACGTACCTTGCAATGCCTCGATGGTGTTGAAGACCAGCTTATTCGGTCCATGTCTTACGACAGGACCTATATTACAGTTTCATAAGTTTTAATTTCACATCGTTCGTTAAACTCGGATATATATTGGCTCTGACTTACCATACGATTGATGATTTCGCCAAGTGGCTATGTGTTCACCCATCAACATCGCGTGGTAAAGGTTATATAAATCAGATAACTTAGCAGAAATCGGGCCTGGGTAAGTGCTCAAGGGATGTAGTGTCAACCGGTAACTGAGGAATAGAACAAACTATGATGCGTTAGCAACAACAAGATACTACATATTGGAGTTAAATCCGCTTTCGAAAGTCCGTACACATAGAGTAAAAGTATAGAAGATATAGGTGAGAATGAGTATGGCATTATCTTCAAAAGCCATCTTGATGAGAGATTACGAAAGGTGCCGCGGCTATAGAAAGTGAATCTAGAGCAAATGTAGAATAATCGTGGAGAATCGAAAGAACAGGCAATGTCAAAAAATCAACTGTGATTACATATGTTGTAAACTACAAAGGTACATTGTATAACATATTTCATGTAATGTAAATATGCATGCGCTTTGCCAAGCCTTTTTCTACCTAGGTACCTGACCTACATGTAATAAGGTGTAACATATCTAAGTATGTACCTATACATCTCAATCGTTTGTGAGACCTTAGGTACCTCCTAACAATATTACTTAAATAAGTAAAGTAAAGCAAATAAACCCCCTTTTAGTTTTGGCACATTAAATGATATGGATATTATATGCAATTAGATGAGACGTTAGAATAATCTATCATCCCCCTTTATCATTGTGAAATATGATAAATTAAAAGTTAATAATGTTACATTTTAGTACTTTTAGTTGCATTTGGAAAAGTAGGTAGCCGTTCCTATAATTAGCTTAAGAAGATGCCCAAGTACTTGCCATATTATATAAGGTTACGTTACTAGGATAAGCTACATTTTTACTATAAATGTCATACGTTATGAGGCTGTATAGCGTTACTAAACAAGTTTTTATTATTAATTTTACAATAAACGACCTACATTAATTATCATTAATGTGTTATTATTTTGAATTAAATGAGCTATTAAAAAGAGTAGATAGTATGAATATAATCTCGAACCAAGAAAAATGTTATTCGAGCTTTGAAAACTATTAGAAACGATACCGACTTTAACGACATTTCAAAATACATTAGGTATGTGAGAAGCTTTCCTATTTGAAAAGGTGTCGGATCAATTTTTAATCATTGACCGATCTCCTAACCAATACGAAGCACATTGAAGAAGAGAGACTTTTACAAATAAATTAATACACTTACTTCTTCGTATCGCTTTGTATTAATGACATAAGTATGCGTTGGTGGTACTGCGTTGGCCAACATCATCGTGTAACGCGAATAAAACCGGTGACACAATACAAATAATACCACTCACTTATTATTATGAGGTGTAATTCAACTAATACATAGTTTCGGTTGGGTTGCATAAGCAGGATTAAGTAGTGTATAACGCCAACAGGTTGATTAAAGTGCCGCTTGTTATGGCTGCAAAGTTGTTCTTAAGGAGAGAAAATGTCGGCATTTCCTGATGGCTGGGTGCCTAATGTTGGCGATTGTGGGACAGCAATTTCAAGAAGCAGGCTACCAAATAGATAGTCACCGATATCAGATTGTCCAAAAAATATTTAAAACCATAGGGTTGCATTGCTGTTTTTTGAATACGAACCGGAAGATTGCCTTTGCTACTACCTCCAATATATCTCGCAAACATTAACTAAATAAAGACAGACCGGATGTATTAGAGATACCCTTTGATGGTTATTATACGTAGAGTGAATGTGGAGAAGCAGTAGCAAAACTGCTATATAATAGCCGGTGTAGTAGTATGAATTTATTAACGTTTAACCTTTTTACTCTTTTTCGAGAGGCGCGTAGCGTCCTTTATATATTTATTTTATATAGATTTATGCCTGATTCATATTAGTGTTACTTATATCCTAATAGGATGTATAATATAGACTTGATTAACGCTCAGAATTGTTGGACACGGCTTAAACACCAAATACTTAGGTTGTAATACCAGATATGTAATAATTAATCATTTTATTGGTACTAACTATATTTGGGTTAAAGGTGTTGGTGATTAGTGCTTTAGAACCTGGCTCGTTCTTCTGTGACAGCAATGTAAGCGGTCGGATTCCCTCTCTTAACTATGTCCAGCCACGCCATCGCCTTGCTATTACTGTAATATTCGTGTTTATCACCCCTATTATAGTAGATTCAGGTGCGTAATGGCTGCTATTACGATGACATTGTGGCGTTGTGGTGGTGGGTGGAACAGCAGGCTTGACGCTGGCAGCCAGACTTTCAGAAAACCCTAACATGGCCGTGGCGGTTGTAGAGGCGGGTACCTATTACCAAATAAACCATCCAATTTTCTCAACTGTCCCTATGTGTACCGGTGGATTTACTGGCTCGTCACCTACCGATATGAACCCAGGCGTAGACTGGGGGTTTATCACTACTTCGCAAAGAGGCGCCGGTGATAGAGAACTACACTATACAAGGGGTAAATGCCTTGGTGGAAGGTACGTGATAGCTTGAAGGTCGAATTACTTTCTTAACCTAGAAACAACGCCCCGCTAACGTTGAAATACCACTGGGTAGTTCCGGGAGAAATGCTATGATGTACCTACGCCCCGACAAAGGCTCTCTTGATAAATGGGGAGCTAGGTTGGGGATCCTACGTACGCATTTGAAAACATGCTGCCTTACTTTCAGAAGAGCTGCAAGTTTACTCCCGCGGATCCTAGTATATTTTCCGGTGTTGAAGTCAAGCCAGGACCGGGAAACAATGCTTTCTCCTCGGAGAGCGGCCCGTTGCACGTATCGTATGGTAATAATATCCGACCTTTTTCTCAATGCCTTGGGCGAGCCTTCAGTGAAATTGGAATCCCGACCATCCCAGATTTTAATAGTGGCAATCTATTAGGCTCTCAATTCTGCACATTTACTGTTGATCCTACAACAGCGACTAGGAGCTCCGCGCAGACCTCGTTCTTAGACCTTTGTCAAGCTCGACCAAATCTCAAAGTCTTTCGGGAGACGCTCGCCAAGCGTGTCTGCATTAATGAAAAGAAACAGGCCACCGGCGTTGAAATTAGCCCTGGCTTAGTATTAATGGCTCGTCGTGAAGTCATTTTGTCTGCCGGTGCTTTCCAATCACCACAACTGCTCATGGTTTCCGGGATTGGACCAGCAGACACTCTCAAAAGGTTAGGCATTCCAGTGATTGTGGACAGGCCCGGAGTCGGACAGAATTTGACAGACCACATAATGTACGGACCGTGCCACCGCGTTAAAGTCGAGACTATATCAGCAGTTGTAGCCAACCCAGCCCAAATTGTCCCGTTGATATTCGACTACGTTAAAAACGCCAGGGGTCCTTTGACAAATCCAGGTATTGAATACGTGGCCTTTGAGAAAATACCTAGACATCTTATATCTGAAGATGTCTCCGCTAAGCTCTCTCAATTACCTCTTTCATGGCCTGATATGGAATACATCTCAATGGATACGTATTCGGGTGATCTCTCATCTCCGCTATTTAACTCACCTAACGATGGCTATAATTACGCCAGCATTCTAGTTTCTCCATGCGCCCCATTATCGCGCGGTAGTGTTACTATTACCTCTGACGATACGGTAGATCTCCCGGTCGTGGATCCAAACTGGCTATCAGACCCTATTGACGCTCAGCTCGCGGTGGCCGGATATAAGCGGGCGCGAGAGCTTTTCTCGTCGGCAGCCATGCAGGATATCCTCTTGGATTCAGATCCTGAAAAGGAATTCTTCCCCGGTCTTGACACTGTGAAGACCGACGAAGAGATTCTGCACACGATCCGTAACACTATGACCACTATCTATCATGCCTCCGGAACTTGCCGCATGGGACACGCCGCGGACCCTGACCCTAGTGCCGTGGTAGATCCACACGCTAGGGTTTTTGGCGTGGAGAGACTGCGTGTCGTCGACTCAAGCGCTTTTGCCCTGTTACCCCCGGGCCATCCACAGAGTATGGTGTATGCACTCGCTGAGAAGATCGCTGATGACATTCAAAGAGAGGGTTGAAACCCCCTCTACGGGTTGTCAACGTTAAAGCTGTTTATGTAATATAGGCGGGAAGTGAAGATATTATGAATTGGCTAGGACTTGAAGGCTGTGGGTAATCTTTCTGGAAGGCCTGGCACGATAATCTGTAAGTACTATTACGATTGGAAGGAGGGCAGCTCTTCATCGACTAACTTTGAGCCTTAATTCAAGCCTACATTCGAAGCTGAAGGATCTGTCGAGCTTGATGTTCAGTTTGGTGCGCCGGTTGGTCTAGAACTTGAGACTGTTCCGTCGATTAAGGCTGCCGCAGCATTAGCGGTTCAAGCCAGTTACAATGCCACGGATAAGAGCTTTGATGCTGGGTCAAAGACTACTAATAACTGTTTCGGAATTTCCACAACGCTTAGCGTCAAGAACGATGTTAATGCTTTTTACAACGGCTTTGGTCTCGATAAGTGTAGCATGAGTTTATGGAATGGTACCGATCGTATCCTCGCTTCCTACTGTATTGGGTAAGTCTCCAACATCCACATCAGCACTGTCTCATTAGACAGTCCCATGTTATATGCCTAGGTTGTGAACACACATTGTCTTAGAAACAAAACCGACGGCACCAGCAAGGGCAGACTAGGACTCCAGAGCCGATTAGGAATATCCGACACCGCATACACCCAGCTTAGGGGACGAGCCTCGTACAACTTGACTAGCAATAGCTCCTCTACGACCTGACGGAATATGTGATCGAAACTAACAAGACCTTGGGTTTCCAGGACTCCAACTTTCTGACACCCCCTATAATATCGACGAAAGCGAATTCGATGGTTACTTGTATAGCACCCTTAGCTTAAACGGTTCTAATGGAGAATACACCTTTGCGACATGCGACGACGGCAATCTCTACATCCAGAAAAACGGCACACAGAACTCGTTGCCTTATTACAGTACCTGCACAACGCTGTGGTATGGATATGAGGATGTTGTTTTGGCGACGCTTAATAGCGGCATCCTCCACTACTACAATAACACCATGTCCAAGCTGAGCGTCAGCCGTCTCCGTACAGCTGACGAAACGGAGCTTCCAGCAACTGCTGCCTATGTGTAAGGATTCCTCCCCATAAAGTCAACGTTCTCTAGCTAACACCCACAATTTCCCAGTGCGCTTGCCCCCTATTACTACACCGAAGATGAAAGCGAGAATGCGCCAAGCATGCTAGCAGCCATCGACACCATCAACGAGATCTTCCCAGCAATCTGCACGTACAAGAATGCATCGGCAGGCGCTAAAGTATACCTAATCGGGTCGGATATCAACGCCGGGCTAGCGATCTTCAAGTCTCCCGATGTCGAGTACAGCATCACCAACGGCAAAGTCGACGACTGTTACGTGCTCTTCCCAGAGATCACGGACTGTATCGACGGCGACTGGGCCGACTACGACGAAGATGCGGAGGAGTACGAGAGCAATGCTACCCAGCTTGAATTCGACGACTCCCTGGTTGATGCGGAGGGCGAACTGACTCTGAACAGCAACAATACGCTCCTGTACCAAGACGAGGAAGCTCTAAACAATTTGGATGAGGTGTTTACTGACGATGACGAAGGAGACGTCGAAGAATGGGATGAGGACTCGGATTATCTTGACAGGTTCGGCGACTACTACGATGTTATCGATGGTGATGACGAGGGCAGCTCTTAGTCCCCTTTTTATAAGGGCTTAGAAGCTGATTGAAGGCTGATATTGTCGGAAACAAATCGAGCAAATGTGTTACGGAGCATTTATTTTCGATTTATTGTTTATCTACTGCCGAAATAAGTACTAGATGCTTGTATTGGACGGAATAGGAGTAGGGAAAGGATGATTGGGCGAATACAATATTTAGTCTGAATCATTTTAGCAATTGCAAAGTTTTAATTCCTCTGAGAGCTCTCAAAATTAGCATCCCCTCTTGAAAACGAGTGAAATTAACAGGTAGGTAGTATGAAAATTGGTTTCATTAGAAGCTTGTGCTTATATGCTGCCGCCCATTTTAACATTTATACTACCCAATCTAGGGCTAGCTAATCCTCAGCGCCGTTTACTTTTTTGGTTGTAGTACTTCTCGCTGGAAGACCATTTTGGTTATAGAAGCTATGTTTTTCTTCTATTAGACGAAGACTTTTCAGCAACTCGCATAACCATTCTAAATCACTTGAACGAGCGATAAAATACTCGAAATTAGACTTTGAAAATATGCTTGCACCCGTTTTCGTTATGAAACAGTCTGTCGTCACCATTTTTACATAACGACGCTTACCAACGGTAGGCCTATGAGGGCTGCTTTTACAACCGGGTAGTAGTTACTCGTATCAAGGCTATGAAGCCGGAGAAAATCTCCTATATTCCTGATTTAGGCCGAAGAGTCCTTACCCTAAGGTACTAGTCTTGCGGCAATGCCGTCTTTTCTCTCAAGAAATAACTTGTCTTCGTAAACCATTCACGAATTCTTTATCGCCGTATTTTCCAGACTTCTCCCGCGCTTTGTCATCAGCTTCTCGTTCTTGGCGCTCTTTTTCCGCGAGTGCTGCTAAACGCTTCTCCCGGTCTTGATCGAGTTCAGATGCTGCCTCTTGCATAGCTGCGAGCTTGCGAGCTCGCTCTTCTGCGGCTGATTCTGCAGAGCTGTCGGTGCCGGCAACCTTACTATGACGATTATTGCTGGGTCCGTCTTTGTGTGGCCGTCGATCGTCGCGGTAATCACGGCGGTCACGGCGGTCACCATCATTCCAATCGTTTGAATAGCGTCGCCGTTCTCGCGGTCGATCCCCAGAATATTCCTGGCGTCGGCGATATCTATCGTCCTTGGTATCACTACGACGCGGGCTTCTTGATCGGTCCCTGCGCAATCTATCATTATCTCGGTGTTCGCTTCTGGAGTCTGATCCCCTTCGCTCAGGTCGCTCGGCATGACGTTCTTTATGTTTCCTATTTTCCGACCTATCTCTCGAATCACCCCGGTCACGCGTGCGTCGCCGTTCCCTTGATTCATCTCTATCTCTCGAGTCGGATCGATGATGTCGGCGGTGGCGATGTTCTCTAGAATGCGATCTATGCCTATGCCGTCTCGCGTGTCTCTCCTCCTTCTTATGAGCTGGATTCTTCTCATCTGCTTGTCCCATGGAAGCGAGTAGTTGTCTTCTCTTAATAGGATCATTCATCATAGTTTCGTACGCCGCCTGTTCTTGCTTCTTAATGGCTAAAAGAGGATCTTCTCGAATTTTTAATGCGGTATCTCTCTCTGTATTTGCATTCTGTAAGGCCATGAAACTCTCTGGGCCTGCAGTCTTCTTGAGATTTTCATGATCGGACCCCTTGGTTAGAATGTTATCGATGCGTCGCTTCCCAAGCAGGTAGCCCTCGAGCTCTTCAGAAGTACCATTTTGGCCATCGCTAGGGCCCTGGTACATCCAATCGACGCGATCAACAACTTTACGGCCTCCGGAGATAGCAAGCTGCTTTTGTAGTTCTTCTTTGGCGCGTTCTTCCTTAATCTCTTGGATGCGAGCTTCGGTCTTCTTGCGCTCTTCTAAAGCCTTTTGCTCTTCTTCGTAGACACGTCGCTGGTTTCGGAGGAGGCGGGGGGATGGTAGGATTTTTTGAGTTGCAACGACATGTTGGCGACTTAGTCGATGCAAACGTTGGTAAGAGCGATAGGATATTATAGATTGATGATGGGAAGTTGAAGTGGATGATTTATTGTTTGTCCGGTCGCAAAATGTATGGACCCTCAATAGGTAGTCGCCACCTAAAATGCCCAGCCACGCCTTTAGGTACTGCAGCGACATGGGAGGTACGTAGGTACATTATTTATTCAATTGGTAAGGCAGCAGGGGTTATTGGTACCTGAGTACCTCTTAAATGGAAGTAACCCCACAAAGCCAGGCAGCCCCACGTCGTAGATTCCCGCAGTCATTTAGAGCTCCGATAAGATAAAGGTGCCGTTCGCATCACGTCAAAGCATAAAAGCGTAACCATAACAACTTCATACAAGAACTTCTATAATAAAAACATCCGCATTCCACGTAATTCAACTATTTATCCACATCAAGCCATACATATTCTAGAACCGAATCATCTACTACGCCCAATACCGTTACGATGTCTGACGACGAGGATTTCATGCAAGAGTCCGATGAGGAACAGTGCGTACCTATCCCCATTGAATTACCGTCCCGCTAATAACTGATCTTCACAGGTATGACTTCGAGTACGAGGACGAAGATGGCGTTGAGGACTCTGGAGATGTTGATATCGATAATAAGTACTACAATGCAAAGCAGATCAAGGATGATGACCCTGAAGAAGCTCTCAAAGAGTTTCTAGGCATTCCCGAGCTTGAGACTGAGAAAGGTGACTGGGGATTCAAAGGACTGAAGCAAGCTATCAAACTAGAGTTTCGGCTTGGAAGATATGATAAGGTCAGTTTCCTCATTAATCAAATAACCCTCACTTCTAACAGTAGACTAACTATAACCAGGCCGTAGAGCACTACACTGAACTCCTCACATACGTCAAGTCTGCTGTCACACGTAACTACTCCGAGACATCCATCACAAAAATGCTAGATTATATCGAGAAGGAATCGGAGAACGAGGCAGCGCGAAAAGCCGTGGAACAATTTTATTCCTTGACGCTGAATTGCTTCCAGACAACAAACAACGAGCGTCTATGGCTTAAGACAAATATCAAGCTAGCGAAACTTCTCCTAGACCGTAAAGAATACCTCGCGGTTACTAAGAAACTCCGGGAGTTACAAAAGGTCTGTCAACGAGAAGACGGTACGGACGACCCCAGCAAAGGCACTTACTCTCTAGAGATATACGCCCTAGAGATTCAAATGTATGCCGAGACACGCAATAACAAGCAGCTTAAGGTTCTCTACCAAAGAGCACTTAAGGTACGCTCTGCGGTACCTCACCCGAAGATCATGGGTATCATTCGTGAATGTGGAGGCAAGATGCATATGAGCGAAGAAAACTGGAAAGATGCACAAAGTGACTTCTTCGAGTCCTTCCGCAATTATGACGAAGCTGGATCCCTACAGCGAATCCAGGTCCTCAAATATCTTCTCCTTACCACTATGCTTATGAAGTCTGATATCAACCCTTTTGATTCGCAAGAGACAAAGCCTTACCGCAACGATCCTCGCATTGCAGCCATGACCGATCTAGTAGATGCGTACCAGCGAGACGATATGGAAACCTATGTCAACGTCCTACAGCAGAATCAAGACATTCTAGCCGACCCATTCATCGCGGAGAATATTGACGAGGTCACTCGCAATATGCGTACCAAAGCCATTGTCAAGTTGATCGCACCTTACACACGCATGAAGCTTGCTTGGATTGCATTGCAACTCAAGATATCGGAGGCAGAGGTTCAGGATATCCTCGGTTTCTTGATCGTAGATGGCAAGGTCAAAGGTAAGATTGACCAACAGACTGGTGTGCTCGAAATAGAATCAGACGGCGATGCCGAACGAGTACAGGCTATGGATTCTTGGGCCTCGGCGTTAGTTGGTCTCTATACGACTATGTTCAAGGATGGCGAGGGATTTCGAATGGCCGACGTCGGCCCCCAGACAGATGATGCAACATTAGCCCCTATGTTCTCTACAGAAGGCTCTCGGCAAAGAGGGCTCGTCTCTAAGGGTAAGAGGGGTGGCAAGGGTCTCTTCAGTTAGAAGCACCAGTAGTACGGAAAAGAAGAGAAAAATAAGTCGGACGCCGCAAGGTTTGAACTGGCGGACAACTTTATTCGGAAGTGGTTGCAATGATCAGCGCCTCTCACTCCCCCCACTCATCATAGACTCCAGTGAGACGTTTATGGTTGCACGATTACCCCATACCCTTTGCATGCTCGCGCATCATTTTGTGTATGCTTTGTCTCATGCAATACGGTGTGTCGAGGTAGGCAGGAGAGTACTTGCCTAATGATATTATGATTAGGATGATAGAATCCCTCAGATATGAATAAAGTCCCCAATTATGAATGATGAAATTCAGACTATCCGTTTACGTCGATGTAGACATGACTATTGCTAGCCGTCTAAGAAACTACTAATCTAGCTTTACGTTGACCTCTTACTCCTATGTCTCTTATTGAGCCCGTATAAAAATACGAGGATTGAGAAACTACCTAACCTTCCTAAATCAGGAGGAACTGAACTTATTGCGATCAGATCATTGTGTACACAGAAACTCTTTATCCTAGGTGTATGGCTAATCTTGGGATATAACAGCCCAGGCGAAGAGCACACCTTACCAGTCATCCAAAAACTCTTGTCTTGTCCAATCTGCTCCTTGAGGAGTGTTCTCCTTCCTCGACCTGTATTTTTCCCAGCCTGAAGGGTCACTGTATGAACCCAGAAAAATCCACACAAGAATAGCCAGCCCGACGACGATTGCCACGGCAAGCTTCACTGGATCGATTTGTTTCTCGATTCTACTTATATCCCCATTTCTTGTAACGCTTCCGATATGCTTATGATGTGTCTCATTTTTTCGCTGTCGCTCCTCGGATCGTTTGAACAGGACGCTCCCGTCAAAGGCCATGCGGATGTCTTCACTGCCTACGATACCGTTATGGCGTCGAAGTGCAAGATAGAGAGCCGACCCTGTTATCAATTGTGAGTATCTTCTATAATAATTGGTATAATTAAGGAAAATAATAACAAGTAACTTACATTCTAAGATATTGAGGCTCCAGTCGTGGAAAGTAGATACGGATCTCTGGTCTTTCCAGAAACGTAGGATGTCCCGGATATCCATACCCCCTTTGCTGTTCTGGTCGTATTTAGCCAAGATGTTCTCATAAACTTGATTACCCCTGACCTGCCCCTTTTCATCGTAAGAGGCTTTGCCAATACTATGCTTGCCGTTGCTATTACTGTCGTAACGAATTCGGAGTAACGGGTCGGGGGTAAAACTATCCCTGGTAGGATATGAGAGGATTGAATGGAGGATAGACGCAACCAAACACGAGTACGTAATTCCCCATCCTAGGAGTTCCGTCAGCAGCTGTCAAGATCTAGAAATCTCTCGAGACATACCTAATTTCCTGTACCCCTTATACGTATCCCTCGGCCAGATAATTCCATCCTGGTCGGCGTCAAAATACTCGGCGTTTTGCCGCAACATATGTGCTGGCTCATAGGTAGCAGGTAAAATCTGACTTTTATCCGTTTGTTCCGGTAGATCCCATGGAATCGTTCGAACGAGAGGAATGGTATCCCCTGCAGAATCTCTTGCTTCTGATCTCTCTGGCACGGGTACCCTGGCTATTTTTGGCGTCGTCTTAGCATCAGTGCAGTTGGGTTTCTTCTCATGAGGCACGCGATGGATTCTTTCGGGGGCAGAGACTCGTCTTCTCCCTGAGCCTGAATCTGCCTGCTGCGATGACACGGCTTCTGGGGATCTTTGACCCAGCTGCCCGTGAATTGACTCGGGAGAGTTACTCAGTTCATCTCTGTGTCGTATGCTTAGTCTCCGGCTCCTCAGGCGCTGAAAGTGCTCAATGTTTTCGTCTGCTGGTTTTTTGGCTTCGCGCGAGTGCTTCATGTTCGTTATAAGAAATGTGGAGTTGTTAGTACTTGATTAGAGACATATGGCCCATGTGCGGTATTTATAGACAGACATGGTGGTTATTTATTAGGGATACCAATACTACCATCATGGATCATTCATACTTAATTCCAAGATAAATTTATATCTCTTATGACATATGAGATCTTTAACAAACTTTTTCAATCTTTTACAGAGAGATACTAGTACCCGAGCTGCCGGCGCCATTTATAATGGTCGTAATGATGACATCTTCAAAGGTACGAAAATTGGAGTAATATCGTCAGGTAAAATCATCAGAAATAAGTCTGCCCAATCGAAAGATTTCTATGTGTCTAAGCTGTAGATTACATATGTACCAGTTCAGGCCGGTGAACTCTAAGCTACTGGGTATCACACAGAAGACGAGTTCAAATAGGGTTATTACGAAGAAATAGTATCTTGTGAATTGAGTCATGTCCAATCTAGTTTCCATAGTTCATAAATCGCCGTCCATATATTCACCAACCATATCTCACAGTGTACCAGTTCTCCCATCCTCCGTGATCTTCAGGATGTGTCCAATCCGACCGGGCTGGACTCTCTCCCAAAGCGTGCCCAATCCCTCCTTAATACCTTTCTCATTCTCACGCCGGAAGAATTCCTCCGCACTTCTAATGCGATGAGGATGAATCTCATCCAACAACTTGTAGTCCCTTTTCAAGATACCTTTATTGCCGCCTGAGTTCTGAAACGTAGTCCAGAACCCTGAGAAATTCTGTTTAAGACTCAACGGCTGGGTCGTTCGGATCTGCGTTGTACCCCGCAGGAAGCGAAGGGTTTATCCCCGTCCACACATCGGCGAAATATTCGTCGAGGCCGAGGTTGATGGCGCGAGCTGGGTGTCCAGTGACCTTTTCGAAGGCTTGGGCTAGTTCGTCGCGCCCGATGTGGTCAATAGCAACTTCGAGATCGAGTCCGTTCGCTTGTTCGGGGTGGTCGAATAGCCATTTCACGTAGTAACCGCAGTCGTCCAGGGAAACGTAGGGTACAGCACCGTCTTTCAGAGGCAGACGCCACGTCGCCACGCCATTCTCAACAGAAACAGTCATAGGTGTGTTATAGGAGATGGTCATCTCCATATACGGACCAGTTGTAAAAAGGGCGGCCTTCATGCGATGTTGATTTTCGCGGTTCTGCTGTAGGATCCATTCGCCGATACGTCCTTTGCCATCGTAGTGACCGGCTCTGTCAATATCTAAAAGTTAGCATATAGTCTACATAATATTTCATTGATTGTCATATTAAGTGAACATGATCCTATTATTAGTATGCCTAGATACTTCGAAGGATAAAGCTTATGGCGAACAAGAGGAAACCAACCTGAACTCGGGCCTAAACCCACTCTTCTTATAAGCAAAATCAAGGTTCCCAAAGACGAAGAACTTCACCCCCTCTTCAATAGCTAGCTCGTAAGCCCTGATAGACCAGAAGATCTCAGTCTTCTCGCCGGAGTTAAAGCCGTCAATGTTGACAAATGCGCCCCAGGCACCGCGGAACGTGGCCCGTAGGTCTTTCTCGGAGGCAAATGTGCCGATGACGGGCTCCACTGCCCCGAAGGACTGAAGCTTTCGGAAGCGGGAGCTAGAGGCGTCGCGCGTAAGTGCCCGGATGGTATAGTTCCCGGATTGCAAAAGATCCCGTACGACAGGGATACCCTGGGCGCCGGTACCGCCGACAACTGCGATTAGGCGAGGTGAAGACATCATGGGATAAGATTTTTATTTGGAGTAATAGTTTCTTGAGGACTCTGTAATAGATGTTGTGTAGTGAATCGTATTCTGGAAAGTTAGCCAGGTTTCCCAAAACCCTCACTTTATATATTTTACATTTCGCCCTTGAATATCCCCTTTTACATTATATTGCGTCTTAATCTGCCGTTATGCTGATGGTGGCCGAGCCTGCATTTTCTGATTATTCTATCACGGTGCCACCACCGTCAGTAATCGGACACCCAAAACCAGACGTTAATTATTGGTTGAAACCCATTGCTGATAAATATTATTAAATCGACTAAGGCCACCTTCTAGAAAGTTACTATTTCTAATGAAGAATTCTGATGCCATCAATGCATGGAACTTTGCGTGGCGCGGGAACTAGTTTGCCGTATATACGCATACCTAGCCAATCGTATGCCGGTAGTCGATTTGATCAGTAAACATATTTTACCTATTCAGCCAATAATGATACACCATCTATACTGAATTCGTTTCCAGGTTCCTCTCTGAAATGATTAATCAAATAATCTATTTGAGCCCCTTCACAACTTAGAAATATCTCAGTTAATGCTTCTTAAGATGATATCAAATATCGTATCTAAACTCATACCTCCTGATTAATTATCACTAATTATTAAATAGTAATAGTTGTAAAGTTATTCCTAGTTAGAATAGTACCTTTAAATGAAAATTATTCGGGGCTTTTCAGTTCCCTATAATTATTACATATGATAATATATTGACTCCCAGGCAAGTACTTGTTACTATATTTTGGACTATAGTTTACCTTAGGTACCTAGGTACCTATTTTTAATCCACTGTAGCTATAACTTGATATGCACAACTAGATGTTCACTTCGAGTCACAGGTTTAAGAATCATGAGTCTTATAAGCAACCAGTCCCAAAGTAATGTAACCCTATGGAATATTATTCCTGGATTAATGGCCAATCTAAAATATGGTCTATTTTCCGGCGCATTGACCGCGAGAAGAAGATCTCAGAACGGGGTATTCGTCAACAACAGAAAGTCTATGCAGAGTACACAGTAATGATGAAACGTTCCGTCCTCGCAACCCTAAGATGAACCCTAAATGATTATAAATCGACCTTAAACCTCATAGCTTGAATTCTTGGCACACTCGATTCCCTCGGCAAATGTGCCTACTCGTGCGTCGATTGCGTAGCCCTCTGCTTCGAGCCTCTTGCATTCGTCGTAGAGGTTGGTCAGCGGGACTAGGAAGACCTCAATGAACTCATCTTCTTCTAACTCGGGCTGCAAGTTCTGATTCTCAGGCAGACTCATGTCAACAGTGACGTGGACCATTCTTAGATTAGTATTGCAGAACCCGGGGTCTGTAATATTCTGTCAGCAAGCTACTTTTTATCATTTACTATCATGTAAAGACTCGGTGGAATAGGACAAATTGGTATCGTCCTTAGCTATCTAGGAGGGAATATCCTTCAGATACTATCTGATACATGAATAACCCATGTCACAGTAATGGAGAAGTGCTTACCATTAAACATCATAGGCGAAGTCTCAGATACCTTGGCCACGTATCCAGTTTCCTCTTTCAGCTCGCGAATAGCAGCTTCCTCTACGGTCTCGTCTTCGTCAATAAGACCAGCTGGAACTTCAATAGTGACCTTGTCAATAGGTGCGCGGTACTGAATTATAGATGTTAGCAAACATATATCCGATATTTAACCGACAGAAAAGGGGGATAAAACGGAGCCCCTTAAGCACAGACCCAAGACGCGCGCGCGTCCTACTCTGGCGTAAAGTCTCCATCTTAGATTTCAAAGACGACGAGAAACTCCAATCACTAACCTGTTTCTGAAGAACAATTTCAGGCCCAGTGGGCTTTTCTAGAATGGCAACAATTCCGACGCCATCTATTTCACTCTTTTTGGGCCTTGTAGTACGCTCGGCTGACTCCCAAGTACGCGTTTGACGTTTCGAATCAGTGTAAGTTAGCCTAGACGTATCATAGTGTTAGTAATACAATCTAGGGTTAATTATTAGACACTTTATATATATATGCCTACTTGACAAGTTTGGTCCAGACGGCATCGCCATTCGCCTATAACAGTCAGTGTTAAAAGATCGTGTTTAATTCGGGGCGTCAGGGCGGATACTTACGAGGGGTTCTGTGGCTAGAACCTTGGCGTGTTCAAAAGACATGATGGATTAAGTAATTCTGTTGACCTCTACGTGTACCTTGATGATAGAAAATTCGGGGCTTTTATGTTTAATACTAGTAGTATTCTTGTTATAACTACAGCATAGCAAAGAAATGCAAATAAAAGTATAGGTTTACAGATTGTGCGACCGTTTGGTGTAGCCTTACTTTTTGCTGCTGGGCGTCACCGATACTTTGCCAGCTGTCACCTAGAATCCGCCAGGTGTAGCTATCAGACTAACTACCATCCACCATTAGGGGGCAGATGCTTCTTCATTATCTACGATATGAAGATCCTTGATATCCGGGACTCCCTCATTCATCCTTATCCACCGCGGCTTCATCGTCTTCAATCTTAAGCCTTTTGATATTCGGCATTTCATCGCCATCGTACTCCTCGTCGTCGTTCAAAAACTCTTCTACCTTCATTTGAAGCGTCTGGCTCGGAGGCATCGTCATCGCGGGTTTCCTCTCGGTATTCCTTGAATGTATCGTACTTCCTTACTAATTTACCCTTCTTTGGAGATTCCTTTTCGTTAGAAGTTCCATATTGCTTTGTGCTCGAGGAATCCCTGAAGGCGTCATGATGCTTACTCCTACATTCTACATCATAGAAGAAGAGTTCGCGATCGGGAAGTTTCGATGGATCAAGATCATCCTCCGTCATGCCGCCAGTGTTATATAGTGTGTACCAGGATGATTGGCCAGGTTTCTGGTCAAAGCATACCCTGTCCGTACCGTCTCCCTGCCCATCGTGGTGGGTAAGGTGGTGAGGGAAGTATCTCTGATGAACGTTCTTGTGAAAGGAGAGCTGATCTTCAACAAATTCAATATTCTCCTGGCAGATTTTTTCACCTTTTTCGTGAATAGCAGCTGGATCAATTGGGTAACAGTCTAGAAAACTTTCTCGGAAATTGTCTAGGGCTTGGGCCAGAGGCTGTCCAAGAGGGGCTTCTTCATCTGGATCCAACGCTGTGTTGAGGAAGAGTGCGCGGGCGTGAAAAGCTTTGTAGGTAAAAGCCCAAAATGCGTTATCATGAAAGGCGCTGGACCATTCAAAAGAATCTTTAGCTCGGGCAAAGAATTCTTGTGGCTCCATAGAACGGCAGAGCGCCACATTATCTGCCGCAAAGTTGTAAATATCTGCAAGGGCAATGCTGATGACTAACGGTCTCCTGTACGCAGACGGCGACGTATAATTTTCGAGATATGAAATGAGTGAGGATGGCGAAGTAGGAAGCGGTGCTTCCTCACTATCGAATCATTCTTGGGGTCGCGCTCTTCTAGGGGTTGGGTTTCCCACTTTAGACCTCCGAGGTAGTCCAAGAACATTATGTGAGAGAGAAGTGGTACATATTTGCTCTTGCGCTTAGGTGCCATATCGTCGATAAACGTCACAAGAAAAATTAATTGGAGTATGCGAGTTAGTGTAGAAGAAGATGATAGATGACTTGAAATGAGGAACGCGCCGGAGAGAATGTAGAAGTCCGAAATTATTATTACAAATTCTGACACTTAGCGTGGTGATATTAGTTAGAAGGAAGGATGGTGGCTGGATTCCATGGATATGGAGCTACATGCAGTACAATTAGCGAGATACCTAAAGACTTAGTAGATGGTTGCTCTAGGGAACATACTGAGATGCATAGACAGGTGACAGGAGTAAAGATACGATGCCAGGTGCGACGGGTACCAAGTGACATACAAGTGGGGGAGGAAAGGATAGTAGGTACATAAGTCTAAAAATCAGTGCTGCAGATATCGAGGAGTTGGCTCAATGGTCAGGAGCAACAGTCAGTTTGTATGGACCACCATACATGCTTGAAAAATTGAGGGGTTCGAATCCCCATGGGAGAAGTTTCCGATGGTTTTCAGGTTGTTTTCACACTTTCTCTGCGAGATGATTTTGGGTTTAAGGTAAGTAATGCCCTATATCGCTTCCGTTGAACTCAATCTGGAAATCTGAAGAACCTCCTTCCATACAGGCGGTGGGATGACCAATTTTTTTTTTCATAACATAAAACATATGTCAACAATACCATACTGGCTGCACTTCCTTCTTTACTACTAGTTCAAAAACCATAAGAAACACAAATCATATATTTATTTCTTACGAATGAATAAACTATGTTATATTTATTAGCAGCGTAGGAATTTACATTATGACTGAAATTATTCATCTATGGAGACTTAATTAAGTAAACCCAAAAAAAAAAATTTTGAGATGAGTTGCTCAACTAAGTATACTCGAATTCCAAATCTCATCGCGTATATCTAGAGGAACTGGTGAGCTGGTTAAGGCAAGAAAGATTAGTACTCTGTTCCTTTATTCTCGTATCCGGCACTTTCGCATCCACCCGGTTCGGACCTATATACGGTAGTAGTTATTCGGGCGTCGGTAGGGCCCCACGTTACACCATGGCCGGTTCTAAAAATAGGTATTCCGGGTAAGCCGTTAACCTAGTCATTTCCAGTAATCGTACCTCTTACGTAATTACCTACCTTAGGTACCTATAGTAAGTTGTCTGTCTCTCTTTCAATATAGTACGATAATTCCTCTCTAGCCTTAAGTTTATAAATTTGTTAAAAAATTGGTAATTTGTTGTTTCTTTCAACTTGGCACTTGTATTTAGAGCCGCACAATGGAAAGTAATACGAGCAGTACAGCTCATTCTAGGCTGGAGACAAAAATGTACATCACCAAAATATGCGAACCCAGACACGAAGACTCAGGATAGAAGAGCGTTCATGTTCATGGCTGCAAGCGCGCTAAAGCAGCGCTCCAGAACGATACAGCTTCGATAAAGTGGGGCCTGCATCTTTCGGGAACGAGACCCCATTGATGGCCACTACCCGGAAAGGCGATGCCGCGGCCATCGAACCTTGCCATTAAGGATGCCCTTAATATAATCCCAAGCAAGGGAAAATGGGGGCTCATAACTTACATTAACGAGTGGGTACTGAAGGTTCTCGCCTACTTCGACATCTGGAGTCCCCTTATAGACATCTTCGATACCTCATCTAAGACTCATTACAGAATTCCAGGGTCTAGCCCAGCACCAGAAGAGGTGAGAATATCAATCAAGATACATCAATGTTCTTTGGTTATTAATCCGAGACTTGGCATAGGATATCACAGAACCTCAGACAGTGGAGGATTTCAAAATAACCTCAATAATGCAGTTAAAAGGCAAGTAGTTCTAATCTTCGTGGAACTTGCAAGTATCTTCCCCAACATTTTCACATATAAATGAGACTCTACCAAAAGAAATAACCTGTTCTTAATGCGGTACCGCCAACATAGATGTTGCAGGGGCGGCCTTGAAAAGTTCTTCTCCCCCAACGACCCCTATCTTACAGATGCGGCTAGAAGGGCGTTCGAACTCAAGAATGATCCAAAGAATCCTTTGAACTCGCCTTCTTAGATCGACAGTCTTGCCAAATTAGCATTGTATCAGCCAATTTTATATTACGATACGAGTTAATTCCACCCCAGAAATGCGACTTGAACTAAATGTCTATCAGATGATAGCGGATCAATATGGAGCGAAGAGAATGGTCAAGGGAAGGGAGATAGATGGCGCGCTCGGATCGAACTTGTCGAACAAATTAGCAGCATCGCTAGTCGTACAGACCCTCTCAACAGAGGTTGTCACCTTCGATTCATCAACAAACAAACCCCTGATACCAATGGCCTCAATAAGGACCAAATTGAACAGAGATTCCAAAGCCTTTATCCCAAGGGATGGACACCGATCGGTACAAAATTGGGGGAGAACATCCTTGACCCCCTTATTTACAAGGACGCTGATAAGGGTATTCTACTCAAACGCCCCTTTCTAGTATTAGTGACCACAGATGGGTATTCCACCAGAGATAAAGCCGGCAAAGGTGGTTTCACAGGCACGCTAGACGAGAACGAGAACGAAGACGCGGATCAATTCCATAAGGAGATCTACGAATGCGCCATGAAATTCGAAAACAGCAAGGAGAATTATAGGAAACACGGTAAGCCTTGGTTTCTTTAAAGATTATGGGTGGGAAACGACAGATCTAAACTTCCCTAGTGGTCAGATTCTCAATTAGCCAAATCGGCAAGAATATTAGCTATGTCGAAGACGAGCAAAAGGTGAAATCGTTCCTGGACGGTCTAGAGTATTATGCCGATATCCAGGACCCCCTTTATCGAACAGCGGGTAAAGTTTTATCCCCTGCCTATTTTAATGTTTTGGTTTTCAATTATTAATACCCAATAGTTACTTAGTACCTTGCTGTCCCTCTGCAGTCGCTTTACAACCAGTAGCGACTAATAGGGTATCTTATCCTTAGAGGAGCAGGGAGTTAGGAGGGCACGGCCAGTTTTAAACTTTCAACGTCCAGTTATGGGCGTATAATGCTGTCCAGAATAGTCAATGGGTGTATGCCCTTCTATAGCACTTCAATATCTATCATCTTCGGCCATTCTATCATTATCATAATCAGGTAAATAATAATAATACCTAATTATTCGCATTTTACCATCCTTGATACCAAGCCTCCCACATAATGCTACCTTAGGTAGGTATGGCCCCTTGAAGTATTCAAGATATTGTTGCGAGCACTTTGTTATAGAACTATACCTTAGGTCCTATATCTTATCTACATTAAACCCTATATATATCCGAGGGAAAAAAATTTCACCATGAGTCAAACACCCTTTCCTACGATGTCATAGCGTGGGGTGATATCTAGAAGGCTAGCTTACTAGACTATAGAATAACCCTTACGAAATATTAGTTTGAGCGTAGACGTACCATGACCACGCAGTCACGATGAAGCGATACGGAAGCAAGCGGACAGGCCAGAGATACATTACGAATAAATTATTGACGTATACCCCGGTAAAGAATTCAGCTGTAGAACAGATAGTTGGCCGTTTAAATTATGATATTAACAGCACACATGTCTATACCATCGACTATAGGACACAGACTACTATCTGACGACTAATATCTGATACAACACTTAGTATAAATTCCCCAAACAAGGTTCACCCTACGCTTCTCATACTACTGTCAAAGCGGGAGAGGCGCCTAATTATATATAGAAGACCCCCCCCCAAAACTAACAGTTTTCACCGCACCATATTCGGAAGAAAAAAAGAGCATCTAATATTAATCCTTAATTTACCTATCCCAAAATGGAGCCCCCATTACAAGCCATCGCCATACCACTACGAAGGCGCGAAAGAATACTCGCCGCGCTGAAACGTTCAGTTACGAAACTCTTTGGCTGGGCATACTGCTCCAAGAAACCCCAAATTCCTAGTATGTTGCGTCGTGGTCAAAGATTTGAGAATGGGAGAGCGTTAGGGTTAACATCGAAGGAATATAGAGGAGAGGCCCCCCTCGACCTTGATAATTAACGACGAATCCCTGATACTCTTACATTCGTGACGGACTTGACCTTACAATATGTATTGAGCAGACCTATCATCGAATTTCTGTTATTCTCCTATTATAATCATACGGGTTGTGGTCATCGAGGATATTATAATAGGAGTGTATTAAAATGGTAGCTGATAAAAGGGACAAGGTATGAGCTTTATGAGGAAGCATAACTTATACACACGTTCTTACTAACTACCTACCTTTGTACTCTAGATGTCTGGAGCGCCAAAGATGTGCCGCTGTGTCTGCCTCCCTACCCCCAGGTAGCACAGAAAACCAATAGACATAAACATTATCATTCTTACTAGCCACTTATTTCAGCAATAACAATCACAGATTTCATTTTGAAGATATCGTTGATAAACCAGGACAGATAGCTTCGTATCGAGTCGTATTTTTCACATATATTCATTACTCTTAAATATTTTAAATTTCAAGACCGGCAAGTCTCACCTAACAGTAACAGGAATACAGCTTCGGCCGCACATTAAACTAGAAATGAATAAACTGAAAGTGACGTCTTATCTTCAAAGTACCAATTCTGGCCGATTATATGTATCTACTCGTCCACACGCCACCGATGCTCTACTCGTCGCATTTATCCATCATCTTATATACACAGGCGGCGGAAGCCCACCATGCCTTAAGAACCCCGTAACTTCTCCCTCTCTTTGCTTTCTTGCTTTCTTGCTTGCTGCGCGCACGGTATGCTATCACATCCAGGTGTCAAATCCTGCCTTAGTCTTTTGGTAGAACGCCTTGTCACCAGCCTGTCGCCTATAGGGGAAGATTCAAGTGAATAAAAAAAACAGAACGCAAGAAAAAAGAAAAATAAAGACGAGGCACCAACTCTCCTCTGTAATAATAATAATTCGAGATATAGTAAGGGTCTCCCTCGAGAGGGACTGGCGACGACACGTGTTGTGCAACCTCGACTTGAGAAGAAAGTCTATGATGCAAGAAACCAGAACCTTCGACCTTCTGACCAACATCGTCATCTCATATAAGTCCTCCCACAGACTCCATGCACCCTAAAAACGCCGACGCCGTTGTAAATGGAAGCGAGCAAAAAAAGGAAAAGGAAGACCATTTGGAACGTTTGATTCGGTGGCCTAGCTAGAAAACCATAGCGGTATCGTGAATAGTTCGTCCGAGATCGTACTTGAGCACCTAGTGCTCCGGATATCACATCGAATAGAATAAAAGAAGCCAAAACCCGAACATCACACCATCTTTCAAGGATTGTTGCGGGAGCTATCGTAAGTGTTCTTTATTCATGCTCATGGATATGGTTGTCTTTATGGTGAATAAATGCGGACTTGAAGGATTTACCCGAGTCCGCCTTCTTATTCTGCTGACAATCCCATTACCCTCCTGTGATTGCGTAACGCCGGAGCGAGTCGACTCAAATCTGCTTAACATGGCAGCCGAAAGTAAACTCGTTGGACATTTCGTAACTCTGCCTAACTCGATCCATCGAGGCTCGCATACGGTCGTAAGACGGACGAACCCGATCATGCGATGGGCGTACCGGAGGTTCAGGAGGCGGATCTGCCGGCTGAGCAACAGGAACATCAATAGACGGCTCGTGTCTGGTGTAATTAGTGCCGTCGCTGCCATTCTGGCTACGAGAATTATGACCGGCAATAGACTGAGTGGCGACAGAAGGTGGATAAATAGGTTTTAAATCTTCGTCCACGCTTGCGAATTGCTGGTGTCGCCGACGCCTAGAGGACTGTGATGATCCCGAAGAACTTGACTTCACTAGGACCTCGCTCGAACTCTCCTTTTCTAGATTATCGAATTTACCTATCGTAACCTGTTCCCGAATGATATCTACATCTCGGGGCCAGTAGACTTTGCGCAAGGCCTTGATAGCATACCGAGGAGCCAATGCAAGGATCGGAGTCGCAACTAAAACCGCCCAGAACGAAACTTCGCCGTAAATCTGAGGAGCCCCTTCATAAAGCGTACCAGCAAATGTTGATGATGTATAAACACCAGTCCAAAAGAAGACAACCAGGTCGCTGAGGACAATAATAAGGAGTGTAAGCCAATCCCATCGGTATGTGTTGATGAGGACGTAAAGATTGATCGTAATGATACACGGGTGTGCGATGTAGACGCCGAATCGATACCGATCCATCACATCAAGTCCATTTGCGGTAACGGCTGAGGTGGATGCGAAGGTTAAGTATGGAACGAAAAAGCATATTACACTTTGGTATAAACCATCCAACATGTAAAACCTATCACTCGTTAGCATATTCCGTTAAACATAATCAAACAGGGGGATATAATTACCAAAACTTGTGCTGGGTCCATTCAAGCCGTTCAATGCCACGTCGATATAGCTGAGGAACAGCTAACGAGACTTTATCGGACACATCCTGGTCGAGGACACCAATGACAATGGGGGGCACGGAAGTGAATATAAGGTTGAATAGAAGGATATAAGTGTACTCGAAAAGATATGTGATGTCGAAGTTGCAGAAACATTGGAACCAAAGAATACACAACGTCCAAACCATGTTCTTGTAGAAGAAGTTGGCGATTGCTTCAGCCATCCTCCTGTAGGACCAGCGGCCATGAATCAAAACTAATCGTTCTAGAAACCGGAACTGACCAATGGCATAATCGGCAGACATGGCGGCTTGACGACCTTCAACACCGGCGATACCTACACCGACTCTGCTTCTTGAATCATCGCGACATCATTGGCACCATCCCCGATGGAGAGCGTCATAACATCAAGACCATTCTTGACCATAGATACAACGGCAGCCTTCTGCGCAGGGCTGACACGGCAGCAAAGAACGGACGCGCACTGCTTGCAGAGAAGGAGAAACTTTTGCTTCAAGCTGTCGTCGAGCACCCACCTCAATGTGAATCCGTCGATCACAAGAGCATGGGTTGGCGCTGGCGGCTCATGATTCTTCCTGGCGCGGGCCAAGTCTTCATCGTCACCAGTGATACCAAACATCTTTAGCTTCGCATCTAACTCTCGTCCAATTTCGTTTATGAATAAATCATCAGGTGTCGAACCAGATTCATCCTCTTTCACTTTAAGATTAATAAGTTCCATGTCGTTGTTCAGTAGATTACACGAGAAACCAATGTTGATAGCAGTTTCGACTTTATCTCCGGTGAGTACCCATAGCTTAATTCCTGCTCGGCCGAGTAATTCGATCGCGTCGGGCACACCGTCTTGAAGACGATCTTCTATTGCCGTTCCTCCCAGGAGAGTTAATTCTTGCTCGATCTTGTCGGCAACTTCTTCTAACTTCTCTTCTCGTTCGTGCATCGCGGTGGAGGCCTTGTCGTGCTCCTTACGCCATTCGAGGTATTCATGCTCAGGAAGTACGCGCTGGGCTATGCATAGGGTTCGCAGACCTTCTCTAGCAAACATTTCAAGATGCTCAGCAGTGGTCTTTCGAAGCTCTGCTTGCTCACCACGCTTCAGACGCGAATAGATGATACTATCCGCACCCTTGCAGAATAGAATGATACGACCATCGGGCATCTTCACAATAGCGCTCATTCGTTTTCGGCTAGAGTTGAATTCGATTGTGTTGAGGATTTGGTAGTGTATTTCTTCGCCCATAACATTTACTCTGATACCGTCTGTTGTATGTCCGAGAACGGTGAATCCCATATCACGAGCAGTTGCTACGAGTGCTGCTTCGTCTGGAGATTGAGCCTTGAAGTCAATCTTAGGGGGATCGCCGGGAATATGGTCTGCTATGACGGTATGACAAAGTGCTAATGCGAGCATAAAGTGCGCATTGGCTTCTTTTTGCTCCTCGCCGGACTCGCCACGTAAATCATCAACAAAATCTGGAGCAATGAACGTCATATCTTCTCCGTGGAGATACGGATTGTCGTGAATCTTTCGAAGTCCCTCCAACGCGTGAACTTTCGCGGCGGCGATTTGTTCTTTGGCCCTGGCAGCTTCTTTTACCACATCAATACCCAGACGTTTCTGCATGCCGGCTTGGGCCTCGGTGTATGCTTCTCCGTACGGCTGGCCATTGATAGTAGCTTTCTTGAATTCCATGACGTTCTGAGTGAGAGTTCCTGTCTTGTCCGAGAAGATATATTCAATCTGACCTAAATCATCAGATATGTTCCATGATTTTGGTACACATGGATAGTCGATTTCCTCATAGTACATCTCAACATCGCTATATATGAAGATAGCCTGCAGCGTACGCACAATTTCGAGTTGAGATATAAAGGGAGATGGGAACGAAATTTTGGAAGACAATAAGCGCGGCCCAGAATGTGATAAACCCGGTCATACCAGGAGTACCACCGATGGAACCGTAGTCAAACAAGCGGTTGAAGCGTCGCTTTTGCCCCACGACACTCCATTGACAATGGCACACAGAAGACACAATGCGCCGAGAATACCAAAGTTACAGATAACGTTGAAGTTTAGCTCCCGGGCGATGCGAGCACGTTTGCTTGGCGTGACACCTGCATTCATCATAATTTTCGTATCGTGACCCGTAAACATAACGATGCCGAGAACCCATTCCGTATTCCTCAAGTTGCAGCCTCTGAGAACCATATTGTCTATGGATATCGGCTCCGACATTTCTCTGGGACCATCTGCCATCATTTGTTCCCACTTGATAGCACCATTATACTTGTAGAGGTTAGGTTGGGGCGGTTCGCTCTCGATAAGAAATTGGGCGCGCTCGCAGTCCCTCGCATGCTTCAAAGTTCGTCCGCAACGGAGTGCTTGACGAACTTTCAAATTAGTCTCTCCGTCCAGGTTCTTCGTTTCCACATAACATGCACCGTCTGAATCAGAAGTAGCGAGAACGATGATATCTGCAGGAAGCTCATCATCATTATAAAGTCGCACAAAATCGCCAACCTGTAGATTTTTCCAGTGATCTTTGTGAAACCGGGCCTGGCCAGGTTTCATATCGTAGTTAATAAGGTCTCCTTTTATTCTAGCTAGCGTTTCCGGCTCATTTGGAGTATGCGATCTTTCAGATGTCGGGCGTTCCGGGATTTCCATTAAATCTTTCCTAGGCGTCGTGGGAGGAAGAGGGGACGTGACCGGTGTCATCTGAATGTCTTCGTACGCAGACATGTATGACGTTCTATCAGTGTGAGGAGATAGCATGGTAGAATCGCGACGCGTAGCCTTGGTTTCAACAGAGGGACGCGGATCTGATGAATTTTCCAACATTCCCTTTGTTTCATCTTTCTTCCATAAGCTCTTCACCGCACGCCAAAACGTTGCGAGAGATCTCGAAGTAGCCTTCTTAATCCTCCGCCATAGCGAAACATTATCTTCGGTAACATTGACATTGTTCCATCCTACAAGACGGTGCACCGGTGCGTTATTTAGTTCGTTGTCAAGAATCGTCCTGCGATAATCTTCGATCGCGTCCTTGATAGACGTCACGGCAAGGATGAATATTAAAGGTACCGCATTAAGTCCTGGATTAGTACCTCCAAAGATAGGAAAGATCTAGAAATTGAAGTGTCAGCGTCCCCCCAACATGCGATCTAGTTCACTTACAATAAGAATCACCATGAAAAGGAAGAAAATGTTGGCAATATTGTGGAATTGCCACCACAGGTTTTTAGGGACGAAAGACAATGGTGTATACTTGGCCGTCCGAATCTTGTTTCGAGCATATGAACGAATGGGGTTGCCCTCATCATCTTTCATATCGTCAGGCAAAGGCTGATTGAAGTACACTATCCTCCCCCCTTCATCTTCCTCCTCAACAGACACGGTACTCTTCGAATCGCCTGGTTCATTCTGCTCGGTCGCAGATGCGCTATCGTATGTGGCGTGGTCATCAGCCGTAGACTGACTACCGCCCGAATGACGTTTCTTCTCTGTCGAACCAGTTCGCTTATGTTGTATCCTATCTTTGAGGGATAACCTCTTAAGACCACTGCTCTTAACAGTGAGTTTCCGAGTAGCCCACCTCGATCTATTGACCGCCTTGTCATTGTCACCTTTCGGCATTTTGGGAGAGTTGCGGGCAGAGCCCGTTCAACCCGACGTGTCCGCCAGACTGGCCTTCCGTGGCCACGAGTCTCACGTATGGATTCCTGAGGCGTTAAGTAATGCTGAATGCGGAGACTCGGGCAATTGGCTGCAATCGCGTCGGGGTCGCTAAAGTGAAAGAAAGTGAATCGTCGGTCGATACTATCGTCACGATGTTTTCGTCGAGGAAGATTTGCATCTAGGGAAATGGGTTGTGATCGCTCGTCCTCCGGCTTCCCTTACTTGGTACTGGGGGGCAATCGTGTTGTTGATGGCGTTAAGGACAGAATTGGAAAGGGAACAATGGAAGTTTTTGATTGATCGCTACGTCGGAAGGGCCGGGGTTCTAAGGTACACCGAATACTGTGTCGGCACTGTAAGCAAGACGGGCTGGAAGGTAGTACGAAGTCGCGTGTACGCACGCATTTACATATGCACTTACCCAAATAGCCTACAAAACCCGCGAATACTCCCTATCTTCTCGGCGGTAACAGGGGAAGGCCCCAAGACATTGGCGCAATTTTATGTAGGTAACTTGAAATTATACTTCAGCTCGAGTTATTTGTGCACATTATTATTTTGACCGTATTTTATTTTTGTAATCTTTATTTATTAAAGGAAGTTTTATGTAAATTACTATTTTTGATAATGGTATAGACATAAAAGCGACAAAGTATTTAAACTATGTTTAAATGTAGTTTTTGAAGTCAGTGTGCGGAATACCTACATATCTCTCTAGGTTACATGCTTCTCTTTGGGTTCATATCATGCATAGTGGAAATGTATAAATGTACGTACATACCTGCGCAGATAGGTACATTTATGTAGGCTTGGTAATCAAGAGATACACTGTGCACGCTATCTTATATTGGGCAAATACGGCGACTAACAACATCCTTGTGTCACCCAATCCACTAGGAAATGCCTCTAAGAATCGATGATCTCGGCTAAGATTCTTTCGTTATGCAGGCCGTGAATCCTCAGAGTAGGACAAATCTCTTAGAATAGTTCTAGGTACATCTAGTATCCTCACCAAGCTAGCAAGCTAGTTTCTGGAGTCAGCAATGGAATAGCCATTGTATTGGATTGCATTCAGCTGAATTATACCAAATCTCACTATAATCGTTAAAATATGACGAGGTCGACTCGACCTGAGAATTTAACCAAGACATATCCTTCTTACTTTATCCGTTAATACCTCTACAGGGCTCCCCGCGCACGCGTCTTTGACCTGCAGAGCATTCCATTCTTTTCTCTTTTTTTGAGGCTGAATTTGGTAAATACCCCTCGGTAGCACTCCGAATTCTTTGAACCCCTAGAACTTACGCTAAACAGTTACAGTGCAGCAGCGTGGGTAGTTGTACATGATCCTTCAAGTATGACTTTATCCCCTTATCTCGAGTCAGAGTGTTTTCACATCCATCATACTTGTTAGATAAACGGTTTTGGGCTGGATGCTCTCCGTAGCCTCCCGCGCCACGAATTAGATTCGCACTATTCCTGTGAATTACCGGAAACAAGCCTTCGTATACCTCTTCTTAGTGGCGGCATGATGTCAATACAGACTCCGCCTTGGTAGGAAAAGCCATGCGTAACCTATCAATGGCTAGTTCTGTTGCTAGAAGAAGAGAAGTGTCTTTCTCACTATTTATTATGGCGAAGTTCTGATTCCGAGTGGCTAGGCTTGCATCCAGTGGTCTGACTACAGTAATACAGAGGAAGATACCTATTCTAGGCTTTTAGGCTACACATTGAATTGGCATACATTTCCCTATACCCCCCTAAATGTGTTACGGCAGTATCGAAACAATAACTAGGCTCTTTACATACCACTCAGCATGGGTTGTGCGTTCACCTGACATGGGTCTTGGACGCACATCATCGATTCATCTAGTAAGTGGTATCGGAGGCACAGACGGGGTGTGAGAGATCCTTCAGGAGTTGTGACTCGAGGGGGCCTTTAACCAAGCAATTCCCTCCGCTTACTCCTAGGAGCCGTTGCTAATATATTGGGTAGGTGTGTTCCGTCAAAGAATGGGATAAAATGCGCAAAGAACATAGGACGTATTTGTATTTGTTGGTTTGTGTTATAAACCTGGAGTCAAGTCCAAATTAAAGTCCTCCTGGTTGTCCGTATGAAACACTGTATATCATAAGTACCTACCTAACCCATTATCCACTGTATTATTCGGACAATCCTAATTCATATGTACATACATATTGACATATTGTAAGTCCGAGCAAGCCCGAAATGGCGGATCAGGTAGTCTAGCCCCTCCCACCCCGTTGTAGCGTTACAGTTGGTCCTATGAGATACAGTTTACGATTTACTGTAGCATCTAAATATTAAATATCTTCCGATCAAAGCAGCAAAGCCTGCAAAGCCTGCAAAGGTCTGTGAGCTGTAAAGCAACGCTAAAAAATAGGTAAAACTCGGGTTGTACCGTTGCGGTTATTCGTTACGTCTAAGCCTTTGATTACCTTATAATCTGATCTGAATAAGATTACACTATCGAGGTGGCGAAGCAATGCAGCTAACGTTTGATAAGCGTTTGCGTCACTTGCCGTCAGCCTTTTCGACCGAAGTCATGTTACAACCGAAATCCGTGGAGTACATATAGATATACGTGCATTGCACATACATACCTCGTACATTAGCAGATGTAGATTTCCGCTCAGCTCCCCATCTTTCCGCATCTCTCTATATACTTCTTAAATTAGAGTCTTATTCAGCACGTTCTATGTATATCAACTTAAAAACACAGATTTTCGTATACAGCCTCACAGCCTAAGCGACTTAACGAATCAAGTATCAGACTTAAACGCCGTATAATAAATAGGATCAAAAAGCTTTTCTTTCTGTTTAAGTAAATGAAAATCAAGGCTGCTATGTTATTCAATCCTCGTACCTGAGGTATGGATCCTGTTTGTGGGGTGTTAATACCCCTATTCCAACTTGGCGAACGTAGATGATGCACTACCATGTGTATCACTTCTTACGCCTTGGCAGCCTTAAGTCGTTGTGCATGTTTGTCAATTTTTTCAGGAAGAGATTGTGAAGGGCACATATTAAGGGATTGGACTCTTGCCCTGTTACCCCTGATGCGCCGGCTGGTGTACTAACAGACATAATAAAAGCTGGCAATCTTGGAACTGCAACAGACGGAACCAACCCGAGCCCCGCCAAGCGTAAAATCCAAGCGTAAATCCGGTGGATCTCTCCTTACCCCGAACCAGTTTCCCTTTTTTAGCTACCTCCGTACATTAGGACTGTCCAATAAACATACCTAATTTGGTTAGTTTCAAGGAGGTTCCAAGATTCAGGCTGCCTAGGTAGTACCTATGTAGCCTAGGCATTACAGGTACCTAAGTACTATTATCCTAGTTAAAAGGGTTTAACGTTTTTCCGTTGTCCGTTGTCTCTAGGTACCTAAGGTAACCTAACCTGAGGTCAACTTTCAAGTCCAAGTCACAGAGGCTACGACACGTCCACTGACAACGGCCCCACATCAAATTAATCTTTACGACGCGTTTCTCTCAAGCGTCCCGCCAAGCATCAAACTAGAGCTGAATGAGTACCTATGACTTTGTAACTATTATATGCCCATGTTGTTTCTAACAATATCGATGAAATTCATCGTAAGCTTGTCATACCAACATATTTGCATATAGTATGTCGATGTCCCGGAGCCGGGATATTAGAGGCTTCTTCGGCAAAGGTCCTAGCCGTAGTAACTCTGAATCCCAGCCGGTCTCCTCGTTAGAGCCGGTCCGGGATCTGCAATCCTCATTTTCGTCCCCTAGGACACCTCCGAAACCCACTCCGAAGCTACGTGATCGGACCGATGAAATTAAAGGGTCTGACGATGAGGACGGCGACTCAGACGACTCATTAGAGTCCATATCAGCATTCATCCAACGGAAAAAAGGCCCTGCGCCTTATCAAAGAGACTCAAATCTAACCTCCACGCCTAGGGCGAAGAGGATAGCCCCTAATCCAGCCTCTCTACTTAAATCACCATTGACGATACAGCCTAAACATAAATTTGACCTCAAGTACTTAATCAACCATGCTCGGCAATCTGACAGAGCAGATGAGAGTGCTAGGATAGCAGATGAGCTCATCAACCAGAGCGAGGAAGATGATGAGAATGGTCAAATTTTAACAGAAGTACAAAATGACCCAACGCTGTTGCAAAAGACAGCTAAGGAACTTCTTAAGGATGACGAGGAGGATGCTAAAGGCGACAAGTTAATGAGGGCTATGAATCGTACTAAAGTCGACGGGTCTAACAGACTATATTATTTCTTTAGTCTGGAACAACCCCTATTTAAACCTCCTAGAAGTCTATTCCCACAGGAGGCGGCAAAGGGGTGTTGGGAATGTCTCGCTAACTCGCGAGCGCGAGATCAAGCCATCATTCTCGGCTTACCCCATACTATTGCCTCCAAGGGTAGGGCCCTCCCGGATGAGCTTTTCTTATGGATCATCGACGAGGTCTGCGCCGAGAGGAACGCCCAGCTGCGCATACAGTACTGCAATCTGGTAGCTCTATATCCTAGTAGCATCAAACGTCTCGTCACTGAGAAGCGACTATACTCTATGCTCGAAAGGCTAGGTGGGCCGAAGTACTCTCACAGCCGAAGTAAACCCTAAGCTTGAGAGTTTACCCAGAGTGGAAGATCCGTATCCTCGAAAAGACTGGTCAGGTCTGGTGACTTTCCTCGAACTATTAGAGCGCATAGCTCCAAACTTGAGCACGCAAAATGTAATAGGGGTTATTAAACTACTACTACGGATGGGACTCGACCCTCTCGTGAGTACGACGGTTCGTTCTGAGCATGCTGCAGCAATGGAAGCTCTTGTCACGGCGTTATCGAAGTTGAGTACATCCCAATGGAACGAAACTGTAAGTCTTAGACCCCTTTTCTATACATCTAAGACCAATAAAACTAACACCCACCAAGTGCAAGACAATATCTTCTTATCTCTACGAGAGTGTAGACGAACCCATGCATCAGGCCGTCCCCATCAACCATATGCCTAAAACTACTACTAAGCTCCTCGACCTACGCAGCGCATGGCAGCCGTGGTACTCTTCAGGGAGCAAGAGCTGAGTAGTAGACCGGTTGACGATAGTTTAACGCTTGCCCATATCATAGATAGGCTTGACTCGAGTGATTTCCGTGTCGGGGCATCTACTAACTTCGAGGACCTACGGGCGCTAATAGCACTTCTGGACATCGTCATCGGCAACGCAGGCTTTATCATGCAGCAGCACTCGGGAAGTGGCATAGAGGATGTGGCTCGCAAGTTTGACGCCGATATCGATGTCCTAACGTTTAGACTTAAAGTGATACATGATAAAATCCATGACAGTACTCTACTCTCCCGCAAGGTTGCCAAGGCGTCCATCGACTTGGTAGCTAAACGATTAGCGTACGCGGTGCGCACGCGGCCGCCCCCTAAAACAAGCATCTTCGACTCGGAGCCCAGAGAGGACGCCAATATACCCAAACAGCGGGCATTCATGAAGAACTGGGCTCAGAAGAAGGCGGAGCGAAACAATGCTGCCGCTGCGGTTAGTTAATAAGAAAGAGGAAATAGACGACTATATGGCATGAGTGTTGTATGACTAGTTATTGGTGATATAGAGGGTAAATTGGTGTGTTTTATTGATGCCGACGTTCCTGCAACGCCTTATGATATACAGCAAGCAGCCTTCTAGTGAGCACCATCAATAAATAATAGCACGGTTCTAGATTCCGTGCCCAAACGCGACTGACTGCCCCTTACAAGAAACCCCTAAACGGGGAGAATAGTGTGACGCTACCTAAGCATAATATTCTACCCGCCCCCCTTCTCTGTTTTGCCGACGTCCAGCGTTGTTAACATATGTTTGTGTTAGCGCTTGCGAGTGAAGTTAAACCTTGACGTGAAGTTCTCTGTTTAGTCGTAGAACTTGCGGTTGGGGTTCTTGCCGAATAGCGTCTCTCGTACGGCGGGGAGACCGCTGGTTTGTAGGAGTAGCAATCTCTGGTCGAAGGTGTTGTTGATCTCGATCTTGCCCTGGCCACCTACAATAAATAGTCCACCGGAGCTGTATGTGATAATTCGTCGTCAGCATACCCATTTCACCTTACACTAGTTTTACCGAACCCATCTGATTTAGAGAGAGATAGTGGCAGCATAACTCACCTTCCCTCAGGTAACGCGTTATCCTCGTCGACCGTGACCTTAGTCTCCTTGTCCGTATTGCTCTTATACTCGCTCTCGGCGTCCTTGATAGCATCTTTCAGGACGTCGTAGTCGGCCTTTCTGGCGCGGACCTGGACCTCGGGCTCGGATAGGGCGTATAGGCCCTCGAGGAGTAGGTTCTTGAGGACGGCCACGGTACTTGGCGGTGTCTTTCGTGCCCTCGTCGAGACGTTTGGAGGCGGCGGTGAAGATATCGTCGAGGAGCTGCTGGCGGGCGGCGAGGACCTTGAGACGGGTCTTGTTGGCGACGGTGGAGCGGGTGATCTGCTGGGACATAGCGGCTTGCTTGAGGCGCTTGGCGTGGGCGGCGTCGATGGAGTCGGTTTCCTGGCGCACTAGCTTGGACTTCTCGATGCTGAATTCCTCATTTGCCTTAATCTCGATCTCGCGCGCCTTCTCGAGTGCCTCCTGCTTGATGAAGGCCGTCATCTTGCGGAGCTCCTGTCCGACCTGTTTCGCGAGGGGACATTGTTCATTAGTATATTATTGCTATCAACTATAATCCGACTTTAACCATATTCGATTATTCTTTCGTAACTTGGAATTCCGGCGTTGTACCCAGTTACTCATGTTTGCGGACGAGGAAATTATTTACCTGGTCGTCGGACAAGGCGTGTACTTGCGACATCTTGGAGGGAGTATTGAGGAGGAGACTTGGTATTCGGGGGTTGGAGAGGAGTGAGGCTGGAGAATATCTCAGCTGGACCAAGGTCTAAGAAATCTATAGGATTTGGGGTATGTTCAAGTTTATTTTCAAGTAAGCTCGAGTTTAAACAAGGTTGTCTGATGGCAAAATACGTAGGTTGATTGGAGATAGCGGGTCGGTCACAATAGTGTAGCTCTCCTGCAGCAACGTTGAATGAATTGATAGAACCTTGGTCCGGTGACATATGAATGTTATGTTATGTAAAAGCTCACCCTTGAGCTGCATAATGCATGTACATAGTACCTACCTCTTACAATCATGGATGGAATTGAAGTAGCATCAGCCACAATATTTAATCCATGTTTCCATACCTCTAAAATGAACTAAGGGAACCTTATAGTTCCCTGTGGCTAAGGTGCCCTTTAAAACTAAGTATATACATAAACCCGCTGTAACCCCACTGCAGCAACAACTGTACCACGATGCAGAACCTGGAGTCTGGTGGCCCCTGCAGAATGACTTGTATCTGTCACTGATGTCTGGCCAATGACCACTGGCACTTGATGCGGTCGACTGGAGGTATTTTATTCATCGATACGTTGTCGCTGCATGTATAATAAGACTAAATCATACTGGCATTGTAGGACAGATCAAGACAAGCCAAAATTGGGAAAATTATCAAAATTGTAAAGAGATCTTCAAGGGTTTAGCTGTCCTTCCCCAACAGCCGCCGGATCAAATTGAATCATCACTTGAAGGTTCCATTACCCCCATTACCTCATACCCCTTAGAATAGAGTTTGGTACTTTCCTATTTTCTACCAAAGTCTCTTTTTTTCGCAACATTTGATACATTTTTATCTTCCAAGTCCAAGTATCACTGACGCATAATATCTTGTTCACTTTACCATATCATCGTAATCCTCCATATCATATTATACCGATTTCTCTTTGTCCCATTTCACATTTCACATTTCACTATTGAAAGAATTGCCAACTCAACAAGTTTCGAGCTAGGTATCCGAATTACCGCCTAAGCAATACAATACCCCTGCTCTTGCACTCGAACAGCGTCAACGAGTTCACCGCATCGCCAATTTGGCCTCGAACCCTGCGACTTATTAGATACGTGTCGAACGTTACATCTTACGACTATATCCATTGATTTCGTCCTCTTATTAGTCGCGCAGCACCTGGGTATCGATTTACGTCTATTTTGTCGCAATTACGGATTGAACGTGACAGGTTAAAGTCCTTCAAGAGTACAGTCCCATGGGCAGCCGAGGTGTTCTTTCATCTGGCGTGTATCGCAGATGACCTAGCATAGAAACTAATCGCAATGGGGATATTTGGCAACCTCTCTCCCGAAGGCACCATTACAGTATGTACTACTACCTGAGAACCTCCGTCATGTCTTTTCCTTTTACTAATATGTTCCGCCACTCTCAACAGATTGGTATCCTAGTCGGCTTAATATCCACGAGCGTCCAATCTCTCGGCCTCACTCTCCAGCGAAAGTCGCATATGCTCGAAGATGAAAAGTATCCACTCGAATTTCAACGACCAGCGTATCGAAGGCGAAGATGGCAGTTAGGGATGGGCATGTTCATATTTTCCAACATAGTCGGGAGTACGATACAGATTTCAACCCTACCTTTACCAGTTCTATCGACCCTACAAGCCGCCGGATTAGTCTTCAACTCTGTATGTGCGAGTCTAATATTAGGTGAACCTTTTACGCGATGGTCTTTCTACGGTACCGCGCTCGTTACTACCGGGGCGGCCTTAATAGCAATTTTCGGCGCGATACCTTCTCCAGCGCATAGTTTACCAGAGTTACTAGATCTGCTCGGTAGATGGCCTTTTATCCTTTGGATGTCACTCCAGGGTGTACTCGTTATCTCAATGGCAGTGGTTATCGATCTGGTCAATCATCTTAGCAGCCTTTCACAAAACTCTAGGTTCCGGCTAGCCCGTGGTCTCGTATTTGGATGTATCAGTGGCATCCTATCAGCTCACTCTTTGCTATTCGCTAAGTCTGCTGTCGAGCTTGTTATCAGGACAATCGCAGACGGCGACAACCAATTCGTACATTGGGAGTCGTGGATGCTCGTGCTTGGACTAGTTTCTCTGGCATTAAGCCAGTTGTATTATTTACATCGTGGATTGAAGTTGATATCCACCTCAGTATTATACCCCCTTGTCTTTTGCATTTACAACATCATCGCTATTCTGGACGGTTTAATATACTTTCGACAGACGGATCTCATTACACCTTTACACGGCGGACTTATTGCATTGGGCACTGCCATCCTACTCTCCGGCGTTCTAGCGTTATCATGGCGTCTTAGTGATGAACAGCATCCGCCCGCTGTCGGACAGTCTACTCTGACACCGGGATTAGGATTAGTAGATGACACAGAAGGAGAGGACTCGTCTCCCACGGATACGGACTCGGTGGGCCTAGTTGAAGAGGCTGTACCGGCTACCTACAATACCTTTGCGCCAAATATAGAGACCACGCCTCTCACACCAGGTCGCAAACCTTCAAGCCGTTGGCACGAGCGTTCGGAAATATGGGACGAATTAGAAGATCAGGATACACCGAGACCATCGTTCACCAAATCCCGATCGATCACTATGCCCGGCAGTGCTGTCAGCGAGAATACGCCGTTAATGGGCGATAGGAGGGTAGTTTCAGGGGAATCAACAGCTTCCCTAACTACAGCTGAACCTAGCGGGGAATCCCCGAGGAGAATTTTTCGGCGCCGGAGAAAGTCGACAGGATTCCCAGGCTTTACGGCGCGCAAGCATATGCGGCGGAAGAGTTCGGCAGGTGCTGGAGTTCAAGATGCCCTAGGCGGAATCTGGAAGCTGAGGTGGTGGCGCGGAAAACGTGATAACAGCTCAGATGTGGCAGTAGCCAGCTCACCAGGAGACGAAAGCGAAAGGAGGCAGTCTTGGGTTTCGAGTCCTTCGAGGAGACAGTATCACGATGAGCCGGAGGGTGATGACGAGAGAAGGGATCTTAATCAAAGGTCACGGCCTAGGAGTCCCAGAGGCGATGATGCTGTTTAATTAAGAGCTCCAACCGCTAAACTATACATATATTTAAGGTGGGACACGCAAATGATACACATAGGCAGGATAGCCTTAGCATTTTTTTAATACAAATAAGAATTATTAAGCGTATCTCATAAGGTTGAATTTTGATATTTTGATATTCTATAGGTACTTCACGCTTGGCTTAGTCCAGTGAATATACTTTTGTAATTTCTATTCATGACACCTCCCCCCCCCGGTGGTAACTATTTGTGATATGTACCTAAGTACATCTCAGCACGTGACCGAGGATCATGTGTCATCCAAACACATCTATGATAAGTGTTTGTAAAAAAAAAAGTTGTACCATTAGATTTTATATGATGAATAATCTATTATGCAACACTATTTGACTACCTATCATTGCTAGCTAACTCGCTAATTGATATGGAAACAAGTAGTGTATAAACGGCATCAAGATGGTGTCAGCCTCCGCTAGGTATTTTACATCATGTAAAAAGTTGTCTCACATATGGAGGTATATTTAGCTCATGGTACACATGGTACCTATGGTGTCTCACATGATGCATCAATTCCGGGCCCAAGTCCAAGACGCAAGGCACGAGATAACCACTCGTATGATTTCCCCAGGAACAAACACCTTCCGGTGTGCTTGTATAAGATTTGTTGGTGATGGGGGTGAATTTTCGTATTCGTTTAACTTGAGATCCGGTAAGCGAAGACAAGATGGCCAGAAACTGGAATTTCTCACTTTACTTTACTCATCAAACAAGCTTCAACTTATATGAGGCGTAAATTTCACCTCACTACCTCACAACTCAATTGTAGTATATTGTCTACTGGTTAGATGTATTGCGCGTCTAATTGGCTTTTTAAAATTTGAGAATATTCTGTCCTCCAACCACGTTGGCATACATACATGAAGATGGACTAACCCATCCCCTCTCATTTTCCCCGTACTATTTTCACGTCATCCAAACCAATACCGACATGTTCGTAGATCTGTTGTCAAGCTGACCAATAAAGCAACGTGAGATGAGATTTTGGATCGCATTTCCTATGTCAGGGCGTGAGCTGAGCGTAGGGCCCAGGACCTAGCAAGGCTTTTGAGCCTAGTTCGGATCTCTTCTAAGCGGGATGCATCGCGTTAGAATATGGTTGTCTGACAACAGGCGATAATGTAACCAATAGTTCGATTCGCTTGCGGCTTAAGATGGAATATGTATCGATAATTGCCGCTGGGTAGTAGGTTGTATACAGCCTAACGTCAGCAGTTGTGATTATTCATCGCTTTATTTACCTTAGGTGTCTATGTTCTAACTTGTGTAGTCATTCAATATTAGTGTATATATGAAATGAGATGCTGTCATGGAGTTTTAGTTATGATGGATGAGCTCATCAACATAATAGCTATACCTTTCTTAGGTACTTTTTAGGCTCAAAATATTGTAATACCTATGGCTATCCAAGTGACCAATTGAATTATTGTAAGAATAAAGTCCTTGTGCACCAAGAGGCTCAGGTCCAGTCCGTCAACGCTCAGCCTCTATAAAAGCCAATGCCATAAGGCTATGTAAGTAGCGTGATGGCCTGTTCCTACAGGAAGAAATTCAGTCCTACATAGTGAGCTATGTAGGTCATGCGAGATATCAAATATTGTAGCGAAGTAATATTGAAAGTCCTTGTCCTCGTCGCTGACAGTTAACTATCACAAATACGTCGTAACTCGGCCTTGGGTAACGTAAGCCGATTACCTTCACAGAAGACTAAGCTCCGGAGACGGCAAAGCCTAGACGGTCTAGTCTCTCGGTTTAGAGGTCATCGATGGAAATTATCGGCAATATAATTATATCGTCAATATTGATCTAGGAGAAAGGCGGGATAAGCTCGCTCGCGATATTTGTCAACAATATTTCCCCTTTTCGTCTTGGTCTATTACCATAATTGCCGTCTAGTTAGTCAATGAATAAGCTAGTAAGCTGGCATCTAGTCCTCAAAGAATGGGGTCGGAAGGAGAGAATCGTACAGATCCGGCGCTGCGGACATAGTAAGAGAAATGCATGATCAAGTGGCAAGAGGACGCTTACGAGGTTATGTATATATCTTCGTACGAGACACTTATTATCTAAACTTCTGTTCACCAGCAGTTCCATCCCAGCCTCAGGTCAAGACATATATAAAAGCCTATTCTATCCTGCCAACGTTTCCTCACCACCAAGCACCAAAGACATCACTTCAGTATCTACTAGTTAAACTACCACTAAACCTAACAAAATGTCCCCCTTCACCAACGCCCTACTCCTCCTCGCCGCCGCCGCGAGCCAAGCCCTCGCCTACTCAGGCGACATGACATACTACACGCCCGGCCTCGGGGCCTGCGGAAAATACAACTCGGAAGCAGACCACATCGTGGCGCTAGCCCCCGCGCAGTACGGACACGACGCGAACCCGAACAACGCCAAGGTGTGCGGGCGCAAGATCAACATCCACTACAACGGCAAGACGGCCTCGGCCACCGTCGTTGACAAGTGCCCCTCCTGCGCCTCGGGCTCCATCGACGTCAGCCCCTCCGTCTTCAAGCAGCTGGCTCCCCTGGCCAAGGGCCGCGTCAAGGTCACCTGGGGATACTCCGGCAGCAACTCTGTTCGCGTGGAGGACTTGGGCGCTGGCGAGATTAGGCTCGAGTTGGTTGATGAGGTGAATGAGGAGTATGCGAACTTTGAGGATGGCGACGAGAGCGAGTTGTAAAGATTGAGGGTCTAGAGGCTAGTAAGAAGTTAATTAGTTGAGACATCAGTTTTAGGGGAATGGGTATTTAGAAACGGGACGAGGAAGAGGATGATTAGTAGACTTAAACATATATCATTCGTTGATCCTTCATGTTCGCTACTAGTTTTGAGTTAGGAGGCAGGACTAGATTGTACATAAATATATACATATACATTGATCCATATATCATCTACCTATCCAATATCTTTCCGAGAGATTCCAGTACCAACAACCATATTGTGGTGCTAAAAAGAGCCCATCGGGAGTCAACGGAGACAGCGCAATTTAATCCGTCTATAAGGGGTATACAGATGCCCAACCAGATCTATGAGAGACGAGAATGTCTTTGAGTTCTAAAGTCTAATACACAGATTGTAAACCTCGAACCTACCTACTATACTGCAGAACATGCTGATTTCCCATGACGCCCTAGTATGCTTCTATAGATAAGGGTCATTGCTTCGAACATAAAAATCTCGTGACCCCTTAATAGCACATCGTTCTGGCAGCCTCTTATAACCGCTTCCTTTTCTCAGCCTGATCCTTTTTCATATTAAGCCGTCTTATCATCTCGCGATTCCGGGGGTCTAATAGACCCACGTTTCCCTCATCGTGGAACCAATGATAATCGGGTCCTAAGCTCTTCCTGTCATCGCCCTGCATCTTGACGCGCTGGACCTTTTTGAGCCTGTCTAGACCGTACTTGCACACCCATAGAGATATTACGATAGAAACACCTGTGACCATAGCGAATCCCCAGTGCGTCTCTTCGATGAAGTTCTCGAGGTTCATACCGTAAAGGCCAGCGATGAACGTGCCCATAGCTAGGCCTAATGTTCCAACGCTGAACTTTAATTCTAAGAGCATGAGAGAGTTACGGTTTGCATCTAGAATTGCCCGAACACTATATTGCTGTTAGCTGAATATTACGGGACCAGCTGGTGGAGTCATATACTCACATATCTTCAGTATTTCGAATGCCTGACGTCAGGTTTTGTGCTTCCTGTACGATTTCATCACAGAGTTTATGATACGACTCTAGCAGCATCTCAACTTCGGTGTGATCGTCGAGTTCTCGTTGAATGTCGTGTGTTTTCTCAGTAAGATACATCGAAGCTAAATCATCGTCGGCTTCGAGAAGTTCCTCGATGGCCTCACGGACAAGCTTAGCTTTTTGCACGAACGTGCTCACTCGCTTGGAGAGTACGAGGAGAATGCGCAACTTGTGCCGATCAATATCATCCTCGAGCTCGCTTAATATACGGATTACCGGGTCACGGACCGCTTCGAAATCAGCTTCTAACTCTTGAGTGACGGACTGAAGAACGGCTTCCAGAGCTCGAAATTCGTAAGGAAGGCCTCCATTCCCAGGAGCCGCCTTCTGCTGGAGCTTTCCCTGTAGATCATACATGAAAGCCGATTGAGGGTAAGAGGCTTTGGAGCCATATACGTCGAACAGTAAGACGCGATTGTATTTAATGAGAACTTTGAGGTGCAGAAGATTCAGCAGGATAGCAGTCGGTCGAACGAGGATATGTGGTAGATTGGACGAGTCAATTTTTCGTAGATCACGAGGCAACAAGCCGAACTACGTCGAATTAGCTACACGTTAACAGCTATTGGATATTAATAGGATGGACGAACCCTTGCAATTAGCTCGCTCTTCTTAAATTCGCCATCAACCAGTATAACATTTCCGTTCTCATCAACTTCGGTACATCGTAACATTGGTTCCAAGGCTGCTTTTTGGCTGAGCTGGCGCCTATTGTTAAACATGGAGCTACCATCAGCGCCTTCTACATCGGGTAGATCGTCTGGCTCTAAAGGTTTAGAGCTTTTCGCTCCAAAGCCCCAAAGTCTCTCTCGCCAAGAAGGTGGACATGGAGGCGGCGGCGGTCGGTCCGAGGAGCTGTACCGAAGGCCTATATTCGAGCAGAAGTATGGGTGATTCTTTGAGCGAACTGTTCTTGAAGCTCTGTAGCACCGAGTCTGTATGAGCGCATCCAAATCTAACATGCCGGCTTGTAATGGCGCATCCCGAGAGGTCTCTACAGTAGTCCCTAATCGCAATGAACTTCTTTGACTTTTCCTAGCTGTGCATAATGTCTTGCGCATAGGCTGGCTTAGTCTAACGGCACGGTCATGGTTGGGGCTAAAGAAGCTCAGATTTTCCGATTGTAGGCGAAGAAATCTTAGAAGCCTCAAAGATGGTACCGGCAGATGCAGCGACGCCATTATGAGGGTCGTCTGACAGCGGTAGAGAGAGGGTTACCAAAGCTGTACCGAGTATATTGCCATTGTATATGGTATATGTATAATTCTAAAAGTTGAAATACGCCATTCAAAGTTATCGCAGTGTAGCTTCTGAATTAGACGCGCGATAAGAATTGATATCTATCATTAGACCCGCTTAGACCGCTCAGACTTCGGTCCGCCTGGTATCCCGGCGGATTGGGACTGGTGGGGCTGAACGGTAGCATAAAGTTTACCCGAAGATGTTCCTCGTTATGTATTCATGACATCCAATGTACGAAGTACCTATGTACTTACAATTTCACCATCATCCTCATCGTCGGCGCCAATAAGCGGCCGCACTATGATATGCACATAATGAGGTATGTATGTTATCATGGAGCTTCTGATTCCTGGTTACATATATGATTCCTTCATTATAATAAAAACAATACGAATAGCATATTGTGCTATCATTTTGGACCCGACTTAAGATACACCCCTCCAATGTCAACATTAGTCGAGCCGAATTTGATGGAGGTTCACCTTATAAATCTTCTCCTCATTAATTAGCCTGGTATCTTCTTCTTAAGTTAATCAATTCGTATTCTCCACATCCTTAACGATGGAGTTAACTCCTATCAAAGTCCGCGGTAAACGCCGCCGTGGTAACGAGGCTGTCGTCGCTATACCTAAGAAGAGATCTAAGACTGTCGGCAAATCAAAGCTACGCAAATCTCGAAGATCTCGTGAATCAAAAGCATCATACCTTGAGAAGATACCGCTAGAAATACTAGAGCGCATTCTATGGTATAGTGAGAACGTCAACTTGCCCCGTTCTAGCCCTCTTATTGGACGCCTCCTGTCAGGGCGTTCTACTCTGCGCGAGACTTTCATCGTAGCCTTCCAACCTACCTGGGACGCCTGGTTTGGTTGCATCGGCGATAGAAACGACTCTACTCGCCCTACCGAGGGTAATCCCGACTTCCAGGTAAGTCTAAGTCTATTCTATCTCTGTTTATAATTTATTAATCTTAGAAGTCCGGTCTCCTAGAATATCCCTGGACCAGCATCTCCTTTATTCTTGAATCCTGGGATTTTTATGTTCGAAGACTTGCTAAGGCACAGCACACTGGAAACAACCAGCCTTTTCACCTCCAGCATGTTAGAATATGGGGAGATCCGGATAATCCAGCTAATGCCATGGTAAAAGACGATTCCAATGTAGTGAACTCCCAAGAGGCTAGCCGCTGTTTCTTCCACGATTACGCTGCCTTCCGAACGATTGAGGAACATATCAGATATTATCTCAGGACGTTCTACACCCAATCAACTCAATCAACCTTTTTACAAGTTCACAAGGATACTCGAATACCGGATTTCCTATTTACCTCGCCCTACAGTGATGATAAAATTCAAAAGCTGTTCTGGTTGGTTCGAGGTGGCGCTCGTTTATCTCCTGAACAGACATGGGAACTTACCCTTCAGAGCTTCCGCGACGCGGCACCGGAAACATGCCTCATATTGGCAAAGTCAATCTCACTATGATCAGGCTACTTTATACCCTAGGAGCTTACCAGACTTGGCCCGAATATGTTAGTACTGATGAGGCTGATAGGATATACTCTATCCTGCGCAAATTCATTGACGAGCCAACAGCTGAGATCGCGGCTAAGTATGAGTATATATTTCGGATGTTATCTCGAGGGTAATTTCACCCGCCTAGCCCTCAATCTAGGATTAACGACTCTTGGAGATATGATTTTGGTCTAGGTCTAGGTTAAAATTTCGGTCCTGAACCCTAGATCCTTAGTCCACCAGAACGCAACCGTATTAATAAAAAGGAAACCACTATATTTAACTACTAGTAATAAGATTTACAGTAGTTATGCTTGTCCACTTCATATGCTCCTAATCATAATAACAACGATACTCCTAATGCAACGGCTCATAATACAATGAATGCTGAAGCGAACTGGGTTCCTCGTGTGCAAGATGAGTGCAAAGTCCTAGCTCTTCCAGACATTCACGACACCAATCACCTTCCCCTTTCCTTTTTTTTTCTTGTTTTCAATGATGCCCTCATGAGTACACTCGCGAATGAATCTCATATATCCTTTTTTCTCTCCTTTTCAAGTAGGTCTCTAACAACGCGCGAGTATTAAACGATGAATATGTCACTTCTCTGTACAAACGGATAGAGAAGTTCGAACAGCCGATTCAGGTAGTTTATACAATAGAGATTCGCCAATTGAAGATGATGGGAAGATGATTGAGGTCATCCTTTTCATCCTGGTCGAGGCGCTGTCGGATCTTCACCTCGAGAGGCCACCATAGTTCTTCGTCGAGATCGCTGTCAAATTCCATCACGAGAGCGTGGAAGTGGCCGCCGGGAAGGCGGTGGACCCACTGGACGTCGCGGATGCTCAGGTCTCGCATGTGGATGCCGACACGCAAGTCGTCAGTGCAGATATTGTGCACATCTTCGTAAACCTTACCTTCGCCGCGATTAAACCAATCGCAGAAAGGCATATCGAAGCAGGGATCGCCCATGACGATCGGGTCGACACGTTCGCGGCGCAGACCACGCTCCTGCATCTCAACCGTGATGAAGCCGATGCCCTCATCATTAAGGTAGCTTCGGACTTGATCGACGATGTAAAGCCACTTGCTACCGCAGTAGACAGTGTTTCTTGCCCCCAAGGCTCGCCGGCCACCATGTTGGAGTAGGGTTCGGCCTGGATAAGGATGGTGAAGGCGCTGACGGAATGCTTGATCTCGGGACGTGTCAGCACCAGCGAGAACTCGACCTCAAACTCGAGACCGTTCATCACGTTGCCGATGAGTGTTCGATCATAGGCTTGCGCAGCTCGAATCCAGAGTAGATATAGTCTCCGGGATAGAAAGACTTGATAGGCAAGCCGGGGGACGGGGGGCACCGACGCGGAGGCGCGAGAGGAGGAAGCCACTGGCCTCGATGCTAGAATTGAAAGGCTGAGATTATCCATCTTGATGGCGCGTAGTAGATTGATGAGTGGATATATCTTGGGCTTTCAGGTAATGTCGTCCTATGTTGGCAATAGCTTCTTGTAGCAAATACTATTTGAAAATCAGCTCCTCTTGATTCCGTAGTTCTGATGATGATACCATCAAAAGCGAACTCAAGACAGGTAAATACTTACTGTCTGCTAGGAATGCGAGGTTGCACAGTTTCTATTTCCTTCTGGGCAATGGTCTTCGAGCCCTGATAGAAGTTGTGTGTTGCAGCCAGATAATTATTTGTGGTATTGAGGAAAGGAAAAAGTGTGCTCTAGTGGAAACCAGTTGCTGTGGTAGCTACCTATGACTTAATGCGGCTGGTATTGGTAGTCACATTAAGGTAGGGGCTGGTGCTACACAAAGTCGAGGCCCTCATTAAGTACCTGTCGACTGAGTGTCAAGGCGAAGGACTAGCAGGGGTGAAGTCATTACTAGGGGGACGGTGGCGACGACGACGACGACGACGATGATGATAAGATAATGGCCATACAAAAATGGATCTATCACATACCTAGCATCTACAGGGCGTGGCCATTATCTTACTTGAATCTATCTATAAGCTTAGTTGTTAACGGAATATCCTATAAATAGAACACTTAATCACTAAGGTATAAAGATGCTTGTTCAAGTATACGACTATGATGTTACTGTAATAAGAGCTTAAAACAAAGAAATTAGTGACGTTTTGAGTAATTGTTGCTTCTAATCTCTATAATATGTTATATATAAAAACTGAATGTTACTCGTGACGCTTATCTACACCCCTCAGGGGTAGCCTGGGTCATGAAAAGCTGAATAAGTTCGTCCCTGACTAGTGATAGAGAAAGCATATTCTAGGCACTCGAAATAAATGTAATTGCTTAGGTGGATGGGTAAATATCTGTAAAGTTGTATTTTGGCATTAACGGAAGACGTCTTAAGACAACGTGAATGAACTTAATAAAACTCAAAAGGGGCGTCGACTTGAAAAAAACTCATAAGATGAATTGGCTTTAATAGGTACCTAGGTATTGGTGTTTGTGTTTTCAATAAGCTATACTTAGAAAGACGCAGCTCAATAGTATATTTTGCAGAAAGTTATTTCATCTTTTTGGGGGAAAAGAGAATAGGGCACGTAGTTTCAAGCTTAACCTAAGATATACTTATATGGGACCTGAACTATTACATATTGGTTAATGAATGTTGATCCTGAGTTTCGCTACTTCTAGGCTACGAATATCACACTCAGCGGAATAACTCCTATGCCTCCATCCACTCGTTGATCCACTTACGCATCCATTTACCCTCCACAGGAGGCATGTCATGAAGCGTCTGACTTGCAGCTAGAGCACCCTCGATTGCCATTGGTTGTGCTAGCACAGCTTCATGAGCCCATAATCCACCGCGGTAAAAGTCTAGTAGCTTAATAGCTGGGTTTGACTTAACTGCGTTGCCATGCCTGGAATATCTCCCTCTGAAACAACCGCTGCACTTTCTTCTAGACGGCTTAACCAAATTGAAGGTTGTACAACCTCAAGTTTCTTACCAAGACGTGTCTTAGCATCATCCAATATCACTGGTAGTAGTGTATCCCACGCTACTGTCTTCGGGTTGCGCAGATTGAATACGACAGCACTAGAGCCTGTCCCTTCAGGTATAGAAGATCTAGCAAGGTCTACCACGACGTCGGCCAGCAGATCCGAAGGCATCCAGTCGACCTCGGAATTGGGGTCCCAAGTCACTGGGCAAAACAACCAAGGTGTAAGGAGCTGATAACAAGACTTGGGAGCCACTCGGAGGGGTTCCACAAGCCAGGATAGCGGGCGGCGCCGCCAACTTGGCCGACCCGTGCAATCGTAACGGGAATACCCAAGTGCTTAGAAGCAGTATTGCAAAGGTTCTCAGATATAAACTTGCTCCGGGAGTAGCCGTTGGCAGCGGGGCTATCAAGGGGCTCGAGCACCGCTTCAGGGGCCGCCCCGGAATCAACTGACCGCCCTCCAATAGCCCCTATTGAAGAGATGAAAACGATGCGCATCTTCCGCGCCGTAGAAGCTGCTGAGAGAGCAAATAGGTTCACCAATCCAGCCAGGTGCGGTCGAAAAGCTTGTAATCCCAAGTTAAAATTCACTGGCCAAGCGTTGTGGATAACGAGTCCAACTCGAGAACGCAATTCATTGTATGTTCCCTCGTCAACACCAAGAGAAGGATTGCTTAAATCCGCCTGTATGAAAGTTACTCGATCACCAAAATCTGCCGCTAACCCGGTCGCCGCGAAACGATAGGACTGTATGCTGCGACCACCTCTTTGGCTACGATTGAGGCAGAATATGTGTCCAATCCCAGGCCGATCGAGTAATGCTCGTAGTGTGTATGTCCCTAGTGTACCGGTGGAGCCTGTTAAAATCACGTCGATTGGCTCTGTAGGGTTTGATGCCAGTAGTTTAGGTATTGGAATCTGCTGAACGAGTTCACGATAGGTGGCCAGTAAAGAGCCAATGAGATCGTAGTCGTTAGGCGCACTACTTTGGTCTAGAAGAGCCGACGTCAATTGTGGAATGGTAGGATTCTGGTATACTGTGGACAGGCCAATTCCAGGCCGACGAAGAGCACGTCGCAATGCACGCGTGAGCTGAAGTGCCAGCAATGAATCCATACCCCGATCAAAGAAACTGGCCGAGTCATCTATGACTTGCCAGCCTGTGACAGTAGAAACAGCGTTTCGTATAAGGGGTGTGATATCACCGCTGATTGTACCATCTGGCGCTTCATCAGTTTCGTCGTTTAGAGCTATATCTATATCTGCATATAACTTGTCGATTTCAGCTGCGTACTGAGCGATGCTGGCGGATCGTTGGATAGTACCTTTCCCAGCGCGAATTAGCGGAGGATCGGATGCTATGAGGATCAATGCCTTTTCCACGCGCGCATGAGCCGGCGCATCTTTGTTAGTTTCATCTACACTGGGCCAGATGCGTTCAATTAACGCAGCTTGATCCGCTGTAGTCAGGGGTTTGATAACTGGCTCAATCAACAAGGCCGCCTGGAATTGCTGAGAACCAATTACCAAGACACCGCTTAGCTCGGGATTTTTAGCCAGGATATTTTGCTCCATTGAAATCGGGTTCGTCTTTTCTCCATTTAAGAATACTATAATGTCGTCGGCACGAGCGCGCCATCGCCAAGCGTCTGGTACGGTCGGGTGAGGTTCAAAAAGATCGCGGGTACGATACTCCTCAAGCTCCTTTTGGCTTGGCATTGAAAAGGCTGTCTGTGTATCGGAGAGGGCTTTGTCGCGTCGTATAGTTAACTCATAATTGTTGCTGGTAACTTCGTCAAAAACTGCACCAGTACACGGATGGAAGCGAATGTAACGCCAGTCTAGCGGTCCTAGTTCGGCTGGTAGCAATGTTGTGGTATACCAACCTCAGAAGCACCCCATTGACAACGTAGCCTCACCTTCGTTGCGATACGATCCCCGATTTCTTGGGGTAGGTCACCTCCGATATAAAGAATCAGCTCAAGATGGGTTGCACAGTAATCCAGCAGTTCGAGATCCTGGGCTAGTTCAGCTACAACTGATGGTACGAGCACTGCTATATCTGCTGGTACCTGCTTGAGGGCTTCTACAAGCCCCTGAGCGGTCACAATGGCCATAGCTGCTGGTGCAATCACAATATTGCCAAATGGAATGGCGTTAAATAGATATTGTGCCAAACCAGCTCCCTAGAAGTGTTAATTTGATGGTAAAATAGTAGGGATTCATCTCGGCTTGGTCTACTCACATGGAACGGAGGTAATGTTGTTATTACTCTCTTGCCATGGCATATGCTATCGATCGAGGTCGTTCCCTCGGGGGGCTCAAAACCATTAGAATTACACTCCCGTGCAAGTGTATCATACGACCATATCAGGGGCTTCGGCAAACCGGTTGATCCAGAACTGTGACTAAAAGAAGTTAACATTAAGTGTCATATGTCTTCAAACGAGATGCTTGCCCAAGACGTACATTGCAACGACCGGGTCCCAGCGGACTTGCTCGAGGGTTTTGTCATAGAAGAAGTGCGGATATGGCTTCTCTAAGAGCTCTGGTAGACTAGGAATAGAAATACGACGTGGTTTGACGGCTTCAAGAATAGTAGAGACGGACGATGGTGCTGGGTCCGTCGTCACAAGAGTCTGGCACTTCAAAGAGTCGAAAAGATTACGGTGAGCTGCAGAACTATTGCGCGGCGATGTAAGAAAAAGCTATTTAGGTATCAGCGAGATATCTCCCAAAAGTCTAGTATTTTGGTTTTAAGTTGTAAGGGAGTCTTACTACGTAACCCGATTTCATCGAGGCTAACGCCAGCGCTACAAGCCGCACGTCGTTGGGCCCGATATAAGTCAGGACTTCGTGATGAGAGCTGGGTCCAAGTTGCTCAGTAAGCCACCATGCTAAGCCATTCACGATATTAGCCAACTGTAAGTAGGTAACAGTACGAAAGCCGGCATCATAGGAATCGGGTGCAACGGGCCACAAGCCATAGATAGCTTCAGGTCTCTCCCGAGCTAGTCGGTCAACAATGTGAGGCAGTAAATCATTCTATCAACAATATCAGGATTAGCAACCAGGTAATTTATAAACTGAGAAGCCTGAATAGCTGAGGAACAACGGATCTTCCATTGAAACAATATCATATTCTCACTTACCTGCCACTGGGCAACATGGGCGTGATCGTTAATCATTGTGATTAGAAGATGCGAGATCGTGCTACAAGTGAATATTTATAGGGAGAAGAAACCTTCCAAGACTTTGACCCGCTGCTTATAGCAATTGTTAATTGCCAATTATCATTGATATAATGGGTATAACACACCTAGTGCTGACAAAGATTTGGAGATTGATACCTGTCTCCACTCTTGTATAAGTTGAGTATTCAAAACCGCTGCTATTTAATTGTGACTTGTCGTGCTACTGTTTACCGCGATATACAGAGAAAGTATAATATTGTTTGTATGTACATTTTGTTTTATATTTTTCCCCTCAAAATGTCTTGAATGTCTCAGTCCCTAATCAAGTGACCTAAAATCACGTGGATTTACAGGTTAAATGACGAGTATAAATGTGGCTTTTCGCCATTTGGGGTCATTAAAAACACTTGATCTAGGTGCTGATATACGAAGTTATCACAATCTCTGGTAACTCCGAACTTTTTCCATTTTATCACTAGGTACCTAGGTACCTAGGCATATCACATCAGAAACTTATTGAAGTATCACTCATGGGTCAAGCTTATGTACGTTGATATATTTATATCCAAGTCGTCTAGTATAAATATAGATGTATTCAGCCCTGGCAATCTATTAGTTTGCACTGCCAGCTACATGTGTACCATATTCATGTTGTGCTATGTTTCACTTGTCAACCGACGAAACTGAGGAACAATGTCATACAGTAAATCCTTTGAAACAAGGTCCAACCAGACCCAATATCCCAAGGCAGATTTTGGCTATGCAATGAGTAGATTCAATCAAGCCTGGTTGCCTACCTATATTTAGTCCCTGGGTAACTCCACACGATAGTAGAAATATGTTTTTCATTATTCGCGTGATAATATTCAAGAACGGATGTCAAACTATTGTTTCGTCAATTATGAGACTTAACGGTATAAACACACCAGAAATGGACTGTCTAGATGAATTAAAGCCTCATAAGACCATCTTTACGGGTTGGAAGAAGGCAGCTAGGATAAACTGCATTATTCTTGGATGTATGTCCATAATTCTAACAGCCTGTCTAATCATAACGGCTTCGCTGGCTAGCGGTGTCGAAAAGGCATTATTTTTCTATAGTGATGACTGCGATGGAAACAGCATTTCGAGGATTAACACGATTATCCACTTATTCATCAATATCCTTTCAACTCTTATGGTAAATCTCCCTCTTTATCATCAGTATTAACCTAAGCTGATTCCCACTAATCGTTGTTATTCTAGTATGTGCCTGTATTTCTACTAACTCATTATTTTATTCATTATATTGATACTTTACTCGAATGATTCATGATTTAGTAGCTAATTAGGAATTAATAGACTCGCTTCGAGCAACTTTTTCATGCAGATTTTAAACTCCCCCTCAAGGGAGGAAATAAATGCAGCTCACGTCAAGGGTTCATGGTTAGGGGTTGGTATACCTTCAGTCCGCAACGTTCTTCATGTTTCCAAATTTAAGACTACGTGCTGGTTTATTCTACTTTTTAGCTCGATTCCCATTCATCTTTTATTCAACTCGGCAGTATTTCAGACCGACCATCGCGAATCTGACTTCCATTTAACAGTTGGAACCGCGGACTTTATAAACGGGAGCGCTTTCTATTTGCCTGGAGCGAGCTTGCTTTTAGGGAGCCTAGACCCAAAGGATTTGGGTAATTTCGGTTACGGTAATCTTAACCTTAGCAAACCGATCAACCTACCAGATTACACCAATAACGGATCTGATGCTATAACGAACGTATCCGCCACGGCTACAAACGCCTATCGGTGGGAAAAGCTTAGCACTTATGAATGCCAGCAGGAGTATCTTAATTGCACGGGATTAAAGCACCATCGTAACCTAATCTTGATTGTCGATAAACCCAACGGTTGGATTCGAGATGGTATGTATAGTATTACCTCAATATGGTCTCTAAGCTCGTTTATATCCAACCTACTATCAGTCCGCTTTACTAAATCTAGCTAATACCAACATGAGCTAACACGTAGGCAGTAGGTTTATATATTCCACATGTTCCTCAAAGGCACTAGGAAAAGTTAACATAAAGAATTTTTACCTTAGCAAATTTGGCATTTCAATAAAGATCAAGCAAATCTATGGGATAAATATATTCCTTCGGACCAATCAAACCACCTTTTATTTGATAGTCAGTGTACCATGGTCGCGAAGCGAATGTCCGATGGACATGTTCAATGCTCCAATAACTGCAGGCGAGCTCTAACTGGACTGAATTATGATAATATGAGCGATCCGTTCCCCACTATTACCATCGATTCGCCTTGGCAATATAGCTTTCTCGACAGCGGGACGATGGGCTACCTCAACTCCAGTGATACCTGCGACTGGAAATATTGCTCCGCCCTACAACCTAACGCTGTCGACATATCCATCGAATATTGTCTTGCAGAACCGCTTGATAGAATCTGCCACATAGCAGTTTCACCAACGGCTCTTCTGGTTGTTACTATCTGTGTTATTATGAAAACATTGACAGCTACTTTAGCAACTATAAAACTAATGCGTCAAAAACAAATCCCATTAGTTACACTCGGAGACGCTATGGCTTCTTTTATAGAGCACCCTGATTTCACAACGGTTGGCTTATGTACCTTCGGGCAAGGTGACGTTCAACGAATCTTGAAAGATAGACGTGCTCCTCCACCGGTATATATAAAGCAGTGGGAGCTAGTTCCAAAACAATTAGCCGCGGCGGCTCCTATATCTGTATGGTTAACAAGCTATTCTATTTTTATGACTGCTGTTATACTGTGCGGTGGATTTAATCTTTATAAGACCACCTCAATTGGTTTGTTAGTGTCCTACAACGTATATATTACTCAATATCTAACCAAGCTTAGATGGGGATCATTTTTTGAAAGTGACCAAAACCCGTTCGTTGAAGACTCTTATACGTTCTTTGGAGGGGTCTTGGTCGCCAATTGCCCACAACTCTTCCTCTCGCTTTACTACTTGGCATATAACAACTTACTCTCTCGCCTCCAAATGGCTCGCGAATGGATTCTTTTTAGTAAGGAATACCAACCGCTACGGGTTACAGACCCACAGGTACTCTATAAAGGCAAAGTATTATAATAACATAAACCCACTAACGGGTATTCAGGGAGAGCAATATGCTTCATATCGGTTGCAATTGCCTTATAAATATAGCATATCACTTATAGTTGTTAGCATATCACTTCACTGGTTGCTTTCTAATTCAGTGTATGCTTTTGTCTCAACTGGAGGTATGGACCGCCATACGAAAGAAATTAGTTAATATTTTATAAAACTTTATGTTAATAGGATATAACTGACCTAACCTAGGCTATTATGGAACCTCACATTTTATTAGCGGGACAAAAGTCGACTCCAGTTTACCCCAAAACACAGCGGTCGCAGTGGGCTTCTCTACATACTCATTTCTTGCGATGATGCCAATATTGTTAATTTTATTTGCTATCCCTATCATCTTAGGTTTCCCGAAGTTTCCGCCAAGTGTAGTGAATATTGGGAACAACTCCTTTGCGCCTTTCTGCCGTATGTCATGTATCGAGACTATCACATGCTGTAACCTCCCAAAGGAATTCAATGGCGTCTAATTCAAACAAACCATCGTCTCTCAAAAAGCCTTCACCACCACCCACTTACTTACCCGAGGAAGAATATGTCGAGGTCAACGCAAGCAACATTGAGATGCAGCAGCTAATAATGACTTGCCAACCATTGTCCGGTCAGAGACAGGCCTCTGTAGGCGTCTTTGAAAATGCGAAACAAGATAATAAAACCGATGAAAATAAGTACAGTTTGCTTAGAAATCTTACTAGAAGTAAGATTCGGTGGGGTGTTGTCCGGATGCCCTCGGAATGGTATGCCGAACACGAACATGAGGGAACTGTCGAGCACCTCAGCTTCGGCGTTGAGGAGGATGATGTACAGCCTCCGGTGGCAGGACGTTTATATGTATAAGTAAGCTAGAGGGCTATCTTGTGTACGGAGGCAAGCTAGAACAATTTATATGAATGTACCAAGGCAAAATATCTCATGTAATCCTAGATATAGAAGTACAGTCACATTTTGATATTAAAAGTACCTAAGCTACATCACTTGAGAAATGACTGTCCATAAATGTATATAACCGCTGCCAGTTCCAACGCCCTATTAAAATGCCAATTTATTCTGTAGGGCTCAAACTAAATTACATATGCCAATCGTATAGCCCTATCCATCAAGATCCTTCTACTCCCAGCCCCTTTAAATGTCTAAGTTAGAACCAACCCCGGATTTATTCGGAGTGCTACCTATTACGACGCTCTGTGCACCATTCTCAATCTCGATCACATTTTTGTGGACGTGTCCGTTTATCACAATAGTGTGTAGTCTGGAAGCGTCCTGGAAGAGTTCGATATCCTCCAACGGGTTCCCATCAACTAGGATGACATCGGCGTAGTATCCAGGCAACACCTTCCCTAAGTCGTCTGGGTAGCCCATAAGCTCCCCTCCTAGGGCCGTCGCGGCGATAAGGGATTCCTTAGGTGTATATCCAAATAGGTTGACGAAATGGGCAAGATCCTTTGCGTAAGTTCCGTGAGGTGCCCAGGCAAATCCATAATCACCTCCAGGAAGGATCTTAACTCCGCGTCTCTTGAGCTCCTTCATCGCTTTGTTGGCAGCTTCGACTTCGTGGACCAACCCCCTTTTCTTGGCCATCTCGGGTGTGAGACCGTAGGGAATTGCCTCGCCTGTACAGCTCAGTAGGGGAAAGTTGATAGCAGGCGCCACATAGACCCTATCCTTGAGCGCCTCAAGCATATCAAGCCCTTCGGCGTCGACGTAGCTGGCGTGGTAAATCATGTCGACTCCAGCTAGACACGACATCTTCACTGAAGCTGCGGACCGGGCGTGAGTGCATACACGTTTACCCCTATGGTGGGCCTCTTCAACGGCCGCCTTAGTCTCAGCCAGAGTGTAGTAGGTCTCCTTGCTCCTATTTACGCGATCTATGATTAGTGAAAACTCTTTAATACGACTTATATTATGAATGCCGACTGAAAACATAGAATCAACTGAATATCTGCATAGGAAAAAAATATTTCCTAAGATACATACCCCATGGTCTCATGCACGTAGTCTCCTGTCATGCTTAGCTTTATATTGTCGGCGCCAAGTTCAATAGATTTGCGCACGACCTGGCGCATAGAGTCGGGACCATCGGCATATTGACTGATACTTGGGATGATCGCACCGCCCGTCGTCGTTATCTCCTGGCAATTTGCCAGGGAACGAGGGCCTGGGATCAGGCCGGATTTGATGGCCTGCTTGACAACAATATCGAGACGGGGTCGTGCGGAAGCCGCCCCAAAACACATAGTGTATCCATAGTCCAGGTATGTCTTTGCAGATTGTGCCGTCTGTATCACATGCTCCTCTAGTGGCGTTCTGGTCAATCCGTCCAAAGTGGGCGAGTTGTTCCAGCTGAAATGGGTATGGGAGTCAACAAGGCCGGACATAAGGGTCTTGTTGCCCTTTCCGTCGATAACTAAGGTATCGGAATCAGGGGTTGCATCAACCTTTCCAACTGCCTTGATTCTTTCCCCCTCGATAAGAACATCGCCCAGATAGGGGTCCGCGCCAGTGGAATCGAAGATGTTGACGTTCTTGAATAAAATCTTGGCCTTATCACCATCTTTATGGTTGTTCATAGTAATATCGGCAGGTGTTGGCTTATAGAATGGCAGCCCATTTATGGGACTAACTTCCACAGTCGGATCAACCCAATGACCCTCGGAGACAGCCGCAAGACGGCCATTAAGCTTTTTGCTGATATCTGCGGATGCCATTGTTAAACTAAAAGATGATGATATATGTAATTTCGGGATAACTAGGGGCAATAGAGAAACTTCAAAGGCAATATCAAGCTAAATAGACCCACTGCTAAACATGGAATAGTCCTGTGAATTTTAACTAACTACATCCTACGTTAAGGCGCCATATATATGTAGATGGATTACATCCTTCCCGTGGAGATCGTTTGGAGAGATCGTGGAGTACTGCCATATTCCCCGGAAAGTTGCCGCAAGGTTGCCACGTTGTCTTACGCTGACCTACACTCTTCGGAGAGTTGCCGTATTTGGAGATATCAACACCTCCTATTCATGGTGGGGCTTTGGGTATCATACAATAACAACTAGGTATAAGACCGCATACAAGATGGGATTTCGGCATTGCTCGGTATTCTCTCTATTCTCACTAACCAGTCTACTCTACCTATCTCTCTATTCACTTTCGTTCATCTATATTGGAAAGATGGCCAATTCTCAAAACTCTACGATCCCGTCATTTGGCTTTGTCGGCCTTGGGAATATGGGCTCCGTGATGAGTTTGAATCTAGCCGGCTATGCTCAAAAACAAGGATTCCCAAAGGTCAAGCTGTGGAATCGCTCTCGCGGAAAAGCCGAGGACCTTGCCGGGCGAGGCTTCTTCGAAGTAGCAGATACGCTGGAGAACATAGCAAAGGACTGCAACATTATCCATGCTTGCCTTGCAAACGACGATGTTGCTTTGTCTGTTTACCGCCAGATTCTGGGCGCTGCAAGACCTGGCCTTATTCTTGTGGACCATTCGACATTGTATCCAACCACATCCTCAACACTATACGCTGAGGCCGAAGCGAAGGGCTCGAGTTTCCTGTCTTGTCCAGTCTTTGGTCCACCCGCCGTAGCTGCAAGCGCGGGGCTTTTGGTCGTATTATCTGGCCATGAGAAAGCCAGAACTACGTTGAAGGAGTACATCGTGCCGACAATCGGCAAGGCCGTTATTGACTGCGGTGATAGCACAAGAAAAGGTGCACTTCTCAAGATTCTAGGGAACAACTGTATTCTCGGTACAATTGAGCTCATGTCAGAGAGTTTCACTCTAGCCGAGAAAACGGGATTTGACGCCGCGTTATTTTACGAATTTATACGTAAGTAAAGAATGTAGTAGATAGGAAACTAGGCACGCTAACATATTGTCAGAACAATGGTTCCCCGCGCCAGCTTGGGTGAATTATGGAAAGAAGATCAGGGACGGGGCTTTTAGTGGCGCGACGGGATTCACTATACCTGGCGGGATGAAAGACGCTGCATATATACGACAATTAGGTGCTGAAACATCTACACCAACTCCTCTTATTGATCAGGCATGGAATCACCTCACCACTGCTAAAGCTCTGGGTGGTGAAAGTTTGGATTGGAGTTCATGTGCCGCTGGAATGCGAGTTACGGCAGGTCTACCACCGTTCAAGGGGGAAGATTTCAGTTTGAATAAGAAATAGGGAACGGGGGTTTGTGTATTAGTCTTGCATAATTTATATAGGTAGAGATCAGCTGTATATACCTACATAGACAAGTATCCTCAGGTACTTAGTAAACTCGACATGTGATTGATAATCAAGAATGGGGGTGGTTTGGCTAATCAATAACTATTATACCTATCTTCTCAGAGCTTCCGCTGGGAATTTACTCTCCTTGTATACGCTGCTATCTCCCATTAGTTAGCCGGAGAATGGGCTTTGTGGTTCTGTACTATGGAATCTATAGTAAGCCACAGCCAAGAGGCTCCTATTAACGTGGGATACTGTATAAGAGGTATCTAGTATGTATAGGGTACGTTGAGGCGAGACTCGCCCGATAATAACTAAAGTAGATATCCTCTAGTAAATACAAAGAGGTAAATAAAATAACACAGCATTAGCTCTACTCTTTTATAACTACCTTATCTACTTCATTACTACCAGTCCCCAGGCGCATGGTAACTAAAGTACCTAAACTACATGATGATAGGCTAGAGGATACTATGCAATATTCTTAGCAACAGAAATGATCGCCTCAATAGACTCATCTGTACTCTCCAGTACATGCCAATGGCCTGTATCCTTAAAAACCACCTGTTTGGCGTTGGATCCAATATCCTTCACTATATCTGCCCCTGTCGTAGCCGTAGATACCTTGTCTTCATCTCCAGTTAGAATGAGAACATTAGCCTTGATTTGTTCCCAATCAGGCTCTGAGCTCCCTGCCAGTGCATCAAGGGCCAATGCGTATCCTTCCGGGTTCTGTCTCGTAAGCATTTCTCTGGCCAGTGCTACCTCTCCTTTTCGGTTGATCAATGACTTGGGCGAGAATGCATTTGACACCACCAAGTCAGCAACTGCCCCAATTCCCCCACTTCGAACTGTAGCGGAGCGAGTAGCAAGTGCTTTCTGGCCAGCCTCAGGAGGCGGTCTGACGGGACCAAATGCTACAATCCCTTTTACAATATCCGGGCGCTTCGCCGCAAGATGAAAACTGATAAGCCCGCCAAATGAGTGGCTTACAACCAGAACATCTTTCAGTCCCAAATGACCAATTATAGCTAAATTTCATATTAGAATACGATACGGGATTAGTCTATTCGGATATAGGACAAGCTTTACCCTCGCAGTCTGCCACGTATGACTCGATACTCGTACTCTGCGGTACGGAACTCCGGCCATGGCCGGCCCAGTCGAAGCGAACTAGATCGAAATCCTGCAAGCCAGAAACTAGCGGTTGGAAGGCATTCGTAGTCCCTCCAAATCCGTGAATGAATAGAATAGTCCTAGATCCGCTAGTGCCCTCCCGTTCGTAGAAAAGTTTAACAGAGTCCCGAGGTATGTAACCGGACGACTTGATTTGGGAGGCCATATTTCAACGTAGAACTAAGGTACGTTTGTGATTTCTGTGTAGTAACTTCATAGGATGAGAAACATGGCCTACTTTATACTCGATCTTACGATTTTACTAAAGTATATGATAGTCTGCAGTTCGTCTTTAAGGCGCCTGAAGGCCCGTACGGCAAGTTGCCGGGTGCTCGTACAGTGGATACTGGCATTGGGCATGGTTTCTGATACAATCCGCAAGTACTTGCCTTCGTAATAGGTTTGGAGGGGGGAAGATCAGTACGACATGAATTCTTGGGGTTGAAGTGTGGGGAACGTGTGCCTATGTCATGATGATACCTCACATTGAAACGACTGAATTTCCATGATATTTCCTGGGATGAAATTAACAGGCACATGAATATATCACTATAGTAGATCCGATATTATAATAATATTCAACATGTAGGTATAGGGCGTAAAATAAAACCAAATACCCAGTTGCTTTTCCGTACACTAATCGAAATTATCGAACAAAGCTACAATATAGGCACTATAGCCTTAATGGCTGCAACTGCCACTGCTTCTCTGCTTCAGGCCCCGTAATAGAAACCCAAGGTGCCCTAATAATCTTCTTATGGGACTGGTGGACATCTACTTGGCCGGTCGTGAGCCTTCGCGTTTTCTCAACAAGAATGGAGCTCCCCTCAATCCTCAAGGGTATCCCCTTTTGCTCTGACGCCCCAAAAACAGCGGAGAATGATACATCCTTTGTGTTAACTTTTCCCTGAAATTCCTGCAACTCTGAGGGCACGCTATACGAAGGTATCGTGGTTGACGCTTCCCAGAGCTCTTGGCCGATGGGTTGCGACCCTAAAGTCGTCCATCCTACAAGAACTAGGTTGCATGGAAGAGACACTTCGGATAGAAGAGAGAATACGCGAAAGGCACTGGTGAAGGACGATTCAGAAAGGCCACCGTCTAGTGGGAAAGCAATAGCAATAGGTGCGATATCTGTATCACTCTCCCGCTGAGTAATGTAAGTGTTTCCTAAATTATCCTCCTATAAAACTAGTTAGATGCTGTGGGTTCGAAATAGATATTTGCTAGGTACTCACGAAGAACCGGAGCGACTGCGATGTGGCATATGATCTGAGTGCTTCCCTAAAAGGGGTATTGAGTAATGCTGGCGATGCATGGGGACCGGCATAGGTCTTCTGAAGATTTAGAAGAGTATTAACGCCTGCCATTATCTAATGAGAACTGTTTGTTGGTTTAGAGAAGATCTGATGATTGAGCGGATGAGCTACTATTCCTAACGCGAATATCTATCTCTTAACATATCCTCCTAATAAGAGACTGTATCAAATATCCAAGGAGATAAGTTACTAGCTTGGAAATACGAGCGACAATCCGGTGGGATGCCGGGCACAAGGGCTCCCAAAGCACCGGGAAATCTATAGAATACGCGCTTATTTAATGATCGCCAATTCCGTGCGGTTAGATGCCCGTGGCGATGTTCGCGGCCCTACATGACGGACACTTTTACTATGGCGACAACCTTACTGTAAGAAGGTACTTGATAAATGATGAATTAAAGTCTATCTCATTGGGTCTTCGTAGGGTCCCACCTTTCTGTAACCCCCATGGCGGGAATTGATGCATGCGCGGGAAGATGCCGGGGTGGTGGAACATCCTGGACACACTGTCCCCGTTTGTGCTACTTCGACTTGTTGTTAACTTGGCGGGAGACAGATGAACATATTATTATACGACAGATGGAGAAATAGCTACGTTAGGTCTACGTTGACTCGACGGTATATACGCACCATCAATGAGAGCTATGCTATATGATGCATTGAGGTATGCAACATTTCTTCTTCAAGGATGACCACGATATGCCGGTATCCTAGTTGAAAATACTCTTCGCTGATTCGGGGTTAACGCGGAGCCGAGCGTTCGGATCTTACCGGAGCGTCAACTATTTGCTTCAGGGAGCAGAATCGCAGCTTGGTACCTTATTAGCCTTCTGAAGCCGAAAAAGGTCACTAAATGGGGATATGGGATACTTAGGTAAGTATACGATAGCTATGGGTGTTAGGTGCGATTTCATTATCCTCAAAATTCCGAGCACCATGATGGGCAGATTCCGCCAGAGGTACCTAAGTAACGAGATCAATTTATAAGCTTGCATTTCCTCCATGACTGAGTATCTTTTTCTCTATAATACTTACTCACGACATCAACCTTAGCAAAGTCATGCCTTTATACCACATAGGTAATACCATTATTCCCAAGGGGTATTAGCGATATTAACATCTATAGTACTGTTCCGGCTAAAGCCGTCAACACCAACGGAAAGCTTCAATGAGTTCAAAAGGAGAGCCGCAGCAATGGTATCGCAGGTTCCTGGTATGCAGCCATTATTAAATTCACACCACTATTTAAGCTTACAATTATATTTTATTAGGTCTCTTAAGGATAGACATTAATAGTCCATGGCCTGACACGGCACATAGAAGTAGAGGCTACAACATGGGTCTTGTAGCTGTCTTGGAGAAAGCGGAGGATATAGCGGGCTACGCAACTCATCCAGCCCACCTATAGTACGTTTTACGCCCATCATTTTAGGAAAGTCCGCATTAACTAACACGGGCCGCATAGTACCCATGAACTTCGCAATGAGATCTGCGAGGATGACACTCTTGCATATGACCTGGAATTCCCGGCTTGATGAGTCTATTTCGAATAGATCAGAAGAGTACGATATATCTACGGTCAGATTATCACATTATTCTATTTCTACATGTACATTCAACCCCACCTGACCGTAAACATTTGGTGGTCAAAGCATCTTGGACATGGATCAATATTATTGTCCTCCTCTCCAATTGGTTTCGGAAGCAAAGGAGTAATTGCCGTATAGACCCCTCTACATTTTAACTCCACCTCTATCTAACTTCTAGGACGTATATCCATATCCTACAAGAGAAGAAAATCCCATCTCATAGATTTCACCGACTTCTTGTGAATTATTGAGTAAAATAGCAAATTCATAACAAATGATGCGACAGACCAATTCTAGACCAGCACGGAAATATGGGTTTGCTTGCTCAAATTGTAGGAGGCGCAAAGCCAGATGTAACGGTGCTATGCCATCCTGTCAGAAGTGTCTTTCAAACGGCGAAACCTGCTCGTATGACAAGTAAGCAATTATATCAACCCAATAGAAAGAGACGAGTACTCATAATTTTCTTAGGGGCCCCCCTCAATAGCTTATGCAGTATCATTACAAAACGAATTGCAAGCATATAAAAACAGGATCGAGGAACTAAGGCGGGTCAAAGATAAAGATCGGGATGCTCTCCTGAACGAGCCTATCAGAACAATAAATCCAAATGAAGGGAGATCCCGTGCATTTCGAAGCCCTCCTAATCTGCAAAGCCCCCAGCAGGAAGACGGTGTCACTGCTGAAAGTACAGATGATGCTGCTGATATGGCCTCTGTCGGTACAGACGGGCGAGTCAACTTCTATGGGAAGACTAGTTTATACCACATAGATCCTAAACACTTCGAAGAAAGTAGTCCCACGGAAAGTCATGAAGATAGCACTGGAAGTTATATTCATGACATGGCGACTATGCCTTCGATATTAGAATTCCACGACACATCCTCACTTCTGGCGGAAATACCCCACGGCCTCCTGAATGACCTCCTTGACACTTATTGGTGTTACCCACACACTCACTTCCATTGTGTATTATGCAAACCTCTATTTTTGCGTTAGTATGTTCCTATATAGGTGTTTTTCCGAAGGTCTAACTAGTATCTAGGAGATCTTTACAGTTCGGGGTCGTATGTTACCCCTTTTCTACTATGCACCGTACTTGCACAAGCTGCTCGGTATTCTACACGCCGAGACGCCACAGAAGTTGGGCAAACCTTTGCCACTCGAGCTTTACAGCTGCTGCCCAGTGATATCGACAAGGGCAGCTCCATTCCTACTATACAAGGTCTACTTATACTATCAGCACGAGAGTGCGCTTGCGGGCGCGTGTCCCAAGGCTGGTTGTATTCTGGAACAGCCTTCAGAATGATGCGCGACCTTGGGATAGATGTTTCGCCCAAGAAGCTCGGACACTTGGCGAAGCAATTCACTGACGAGGAGCTCGCTGTGCGTAAACAAGTCTTCTGGAGCTGCTATACGTGGGATAAGACTATGGTGTATGTCTGGGCCGAGCACCGGCCGTACACTATTCTGTAGAGCTTCCTACTCGGGACACATTATTACACGGGCACGATGCAGACGACGAAGTGTGGCCCCCAGTGACAACATATAATTCATTTGTGGATGGTTTGGTGGAGCAGAAATCCCTGAGCAGCACGCGTTTTGCCGCATACTGCGAGCTTAGCGTCATCATTGAGAATATTCTCGATACGTTATATTCGCGGCCACATAGTGGCAGACAGGACCATCTTCTAACGTATCTCGATTCGACCCTACAGCGGTTGCAGTCTTGGGCCGACCACCTCCCCTCAGAAATATTCATCAAAGAAACCACCTCTACAGCAATAGTTTCCCCCCCCTTACATATCTTACTCTTAAACCTAACATACCAAGCAGCTACAATACTCCTATGCCGACCTTATCGAACATTGCAACAAACTGCAAAGGAAAGGTGTACCAAGGCGGCCAAAATGACTGACACCTTACTCATGCTACACGTCAAGCGCTTCGGCTTCCGATACATAACTTATCTAGAGACGTATACGCTCTTCGTGGCCTGCACCGTAAACGTACTCGATTTCACCGAGAACGAAACCTCCACCGGGGATCCAGTATTGGCTCGGGAAGCCAATGCCAGACTTCACTTCGGGCTCGAAATCCTCAGGCAGGCAAACAGCACACCAGCAGCCGCCCGCTGTGCCTCGACTATATGCCAGTTATTCAACAAGCAAAAGGCGTCAATACTGAGCGGGACCGGGGGCCCACGACAAGGCACATCGCAAATAATCCCTAGTCCTTCCCCGGGGGGCTTGGGGATCAGCTCTAGCGTCCAGGCATTCATGCCAACACCCGCATCTTCAACGACAGCCGTATCTTACCCAGTAACGTCCCAGCCACCCCTCACAGTCGCCGAAGGGAGCTATATCGATTCTATAGTAGCTGCTGGGATTCCATATGTGCAAGATGAGAATCCGGGCCACGCATTAGAATCGCCCGTCCCTGTCGAAACGCCGCTTCGATGGTTGCCGGAGAACGTGCAGGATGACGGGAGCTGGATGTTAATGACTGATACCAATTTTAATGGGGATTTTAACTTCTCGCCGATGGTAGACTTATGATAATATAGCCACTAGTTCTGAAAAGGGGGGGGGTTAAACATCAGTAGCCTTTTACGCTTGAATTCCCCGTCAAATTTGCAAGGCGCTATTTGATGAAATACAAAAACTCCAAGAATTAAACTCCTTGTTTATTAATAGCGTAAAGAGCTGGGTATCTTGCAAATGTACCTAATACAAAAGAAAAAGGGCATAACAGTCCTCCTATGTACGCCTATGCACGCCATTTGTCATACATGTCCGCTTCATAACCCGAATGTTTTTTGCAATGCTGTAATTTTAAACCGCGCTACCAAGACCGTCCCATACCTCGAAAACCAAATCATGTATGGGACTGGATACTGTTTTCTCGTACTTTTTTTTATTGATGTTTTTCATGCCGATGCTTTATTTACTCAACTCGAATAATGACTTTCCACCCTAGAGCTCCTGCTTCTCTTATGGCGCAAGACAAACAACCCCGCCTACGGCGGCTAATAATTGCGTTCCAGCCCCTCTCAGCGCACAAGGCGCGGACAAGGATCTCGAGGTCAGACCCGAATTGCCTCCTACGCGTTCCGAGTCGCATCTTAGCTTCGGGACTGGGACTTGGCGGGTCGATCCGCTCGATCTTGCTGCGGGATGATGCTGCTGTGCTTGGTCGCCGTTCTAGCTCTAGTGAACTAGATATCCGTAATGGTGGTACAGTAGTAGCTTCAGTACCAAATGACGACGAGAGCGAAGACATGCGGGAGAGTGAGGGCATGTCTGGTGATTGTGGTGGCGCAAAACCCGTTACACAGTCAATTACCAGGAACCGGGGAAGTCTGTTGGATATAGAGGTTGAGGAATGACTTCTTGAATGACCTTTCACTGGTATTTTGCACAATAATTCCTCTAGACTCGCGGAAGGATGCTTAATGAGATCTGTGAGATGAATCGCCGTATAGTGATAAAATCGATGGAGCGGATGGCCTTGCAAGAGTCAGTAAGACGCAGTAAGAGAAGCGTGATGCAGGGATACAAACCTGTAATATGTGCCGCGCTAGAAGACTTGCCATTGAAATTATGACCTCCGACGTCGATTTGCTGGATAGTAGGGCTAGTGGGAGATTTGAAATATTTGACATAACTGGAGGCGACGCAAGGATGGGCAGTAACAAAGTAGACGTCATTGGAAAGCGTAAAGTTGTGATGCTCGTCTCTTTCAAGCGTATCGTGAGACATTGTAAACGCTACAGAAGCAGGGTAAGTCTGGATTTCTGCGCCCTCTTTCTTGGTGGAATCCGGAAACGGGCGGGAACTCATATCTGCGGTAGGTGTTGTACTTCCATTGTCTACCGGGGCGTTTAAATTTAACGATTTAAGCTCGATTTTAATATTCGAGGGAGGCGGATTGGGGTATGCATTTTCGTACGGGATTATAAAGTCAGCGGGCAGTACGCTCGAAGGGTCAGCATCACCTAGAACATCGGACTCGCGTTCAATAGTTGCTTTACCCCTATTCTAGCTTTCCTTCCTGTTCGGGCGAGATCGGCTACAATAGTAAATACCTGACTTGAGCTAGATTGAATAGGAATCAGCGGGCTTACCTGGGATTGCATCAACTGCAATGTTTACCCAACCCTCGCCAAACCCTCGAGGAGTCACGTCGCTCGATATCCAGCCCATACATTCTGCCGCACCCTGTCCAGCAGCCAACACACGGCCCACGATGCAAGCTGTGCTCCAGAAACTCTTTCCGCTGTAGACGAACCCGCCAGAGAGATTTGCCAGTGGACCGAGCCTTGCCAATGCAGTTTCATCAACCTCTAGTAAAGCCGACATGAGGTAGTGCGATAACACTTCACCCGGCAGAATTAAACCGGATACATATGACTTCGAAAACCATCCGGACGTGTGCAATGCAGCTTCAATCTTTCTCCCGCCTGGCAGGTTGCTTCCTGTCATGCACTGATGATGCACCATCAGAAAAGTATGAAGAGCGGCGGGAATCATAATCAAGGGGAAGCGTAGTAACGGGAGTTGCTTTACTTGACGCTATAGCCTTCTCAGATAATTTTGTGCCAGAAAGTTGTATGTCTGGCCAGCGTAGCTTTCGCGCAAAGTGTATCAGCCCGTAAACCTGCCTCTCATTATATTTTCCCTGTATTGCGTACACATGCTCAGACTGAGAGTTGTGCCGATGTTGACTGTGGTCAACATGATGCGCTCCGTACATGTGCTCATGCTTGAGATTCATCCTGCTCGTCAACGAAGAGAGCCATCCTTTGGCTATGGGTGGTTCGGAGTGATTTACTTGTTGCTTTTTAACCCTGATATTTTCCAGCCAAGATCGGGCCAGAATCAAGGACCATCTAACGGAGACATTTGCCTCCTTCTCAAATCTGTGTACCTCAGACGCCTTTAGATTTTGGCCTATACTAAATTCATCGCCCTCTGTGATGGCATCCAATCGAATAAGGAGTTCGCAGGAAAGAAGGATTTGAAGTAGCAGCCAATATCGCTCTTCACTTCGATCTTGCGCGTCGTTTCCCTCATTAATAGAAGCTCCGTCTAAGATCTCATCATCCAAGGGGAAGGCCCACAAAATTTGGCCAAGGCGGATCCTCCATTCGACACGGGAGAAGTCGGTCCAGGCATTCGGCGCCGCAAGTACCTTTACTAAGGCATGAATTTGCACAGCTAAGCTGTATGGATCTTTTGGGTCAATAACCCTGGTTGGTGGATAGAGAACTTTAGCGAATAACTCATTATAAAGCTCCTGAGATTTTATCCGGACACCCCTTCGCTCTGCCTGATATATTTCCTCCTCCAATTCGATTAGACGTTCCATGATATCCGAATCATCGAGATGCCGCAAGCTATCCTTGGAGGTTATTAGCCTCTGACGCTGCTCTACAATGACATGACCCTTGGATCCCAAGCTGTCGAAACCATACTGCTCCTCTTGCAGGGAGTCGGCAACAGAAATTTCCAAAGCAGCTTGATAACCGATAGTTCCTTTCTCTAAACCTTGCATGCTAAGCATGTTTGGCCGTTCTTGGCATCTCGCATTGAAGTGAGGCCGCTTCTTGCTGGACGGCGACTCTACGGATAGGGGGTCCCGGAGAATGATCCGGGGTCCAGCAGTGACGCAACCCCAAGCATTGTCTCCGATCTGGACATGGTCAGTTAAGTCTCTAATACCTAATTCATCATTCCAGGGGAAGGCCACGGATGGGTGCGGGGCACCGGTGCCGTGACCTTGAGACCGAGCGAAGAATTGCGGAGCTCCGGAGAATAGCTTCTCGATTTCGGTATCGGTCAATGCTGCCATGATGCGATTTAGTTTCAACACAGGCTTTCGTGGCCTGCCATCGACTTTATCTATAGCACCCGGAGGAGGCGGAGATGGGAGTGGCTTATTAGAGTTGACGGGCCCACGCGGAGATAATGGTCTCTCAGAGATGGCCGTGCACTCGAAATCTGCTGAAATATACGAGCGGTGTTAGTAATAAACCCCGAAAAAGCTCCTTATAGGCTGTGCTGGTTATAGGAGATGTTGAGCACGTGAGAAGTATCTAGAACTGTAGAAACTGATATAATAAACTCAGCTATGTGAACTACTTAGTTCCATATACTTGAACAATTAAAACATAAAAATAAAAAGGTTCGAAAAGAAAACAACGCATGCAGGGTCTAGGTAGAAACATCAGCTGAGGTCATAAGACAAGCAGTTTTAGGGGTCGCGGTCTTATCCAACAACATGTATGCACTTTCCCCCCCTCATTGAACTGAAATGGTATTATATGTACAATACTTGTACCGAGGCTTGGCAGGGGATTAAACTCGTACGTGCACATCTGTCAATTACCATTGCAGCTGCATCGTTAACGAATTGCCCCAGAATCTCCAGCAGTTAGAGCAACTACCAGTTGGCGGACACGTGCTCTGACAAGGATAATGTGGAGGGAAATGGGTAGGGGCGGTAAGGGTTGCTTTAAAAGGAAATTATGGAAATTATGGAAATTATAGTTGGTACAGTACCGTTGTTGCTGCTGTGTTGGCCTTTGATTTCTCCGCAATAGATGTACCTGTACTTGTACTTCTACCTGTAGTCGTGGCAGGCGTGTTCGTTCTGAAAGTCGTTCTTAAAGTCGTACGTGTAGTTGGAGTTGCATCCGCGACGGCCGCGCTTGTGCGTATGTTTAGACCTTCAGCTTTTTCTGCATATCCACTTCGTCGCCGCTGTCCTTCACCTTTACTCATTCCTACACCTTTAATCACCCCATTTATACCCTTTTGCAACTTATTCCGTATTCGCGTCTGAGGGGTCTTACGACATTGTTCCTTTGGTCGCCGTACAAATTCTCGAATTCGAGCATATTTAGATGAATGCTTCTCCCGGTTGCCATCGGTTGGTTCCTTGGCGTCGGTAATGAAGATTAGTGGTGAGGGTTTAAACACAGCTAAAGATGGTACCCTCATGAATGAGTCGTGTGCGCTTTTTCGATTGTTTAAGTTTAGAGCGTCGAACACACGTCGGACGGTATGTTGCGCGAAAAGTGCATCGTGGTTTCAGAACTGATCTGTCGTACTGGTTATAAGTGTGCCATGAGAACAACCGCCAAGCCATCGATATCAAAATGAGGTTGGACCAAGGATATTAAAGTTCGAGTGATGCTAAAAGCCAGTCGACAAGATCGACTATATTACGGTCTTCCCGATATGCCAGAAGACGATGATAGGCGTACCTAATGCCAGATGTAAATTTCAGATTACACAATTATGGGAAATCAGGCTGGGCGGCCACACGGCCATATTAAAACCAACCGCAATGTCAAACATCCGATCTATCTTTGTATACACCAGACCAGTAGTATGAATGATGCCACGAATCGCCAAGCTTACATTCAAAGTGCCGGACGTCACAATACATGGTAGATGGATTCGGGCTATGGGTGCTTGGTGTTTGTACCCATGCAAACAAGCCGCGATAGCTACCTAGGTATGGATGAGCAAGATAATCAGCCGGTAAGCTAACTATCCAGAACATTTTTGGGTTGTTTCAAATCACCTTCACTACCTCCTCATAGGCTTCGGAGGTAGAATATGCAGGGGATATTTCCTCTACCGCTACCGATTTAAACTGTTGGTACTTTAGTTCCTAACGCCAGCAAATATTATGCGTCTTATTCCGATAGATGTGGATTTTTCTCATATGGTAACAGCCGCACACCGACATTATTTCACGCTATATACCATCCACGTTCTAGCTAGGGCTCACTTGCAGTTTCAGCCTTCATGCCTGACGTGGCTCGCGTGGGTGACCATCTGGGTAGATCCACTAGATCTTTCACTTCGTACCACCCTTGCGGTCCGCGATTCCACCTCTAGAAGCAGAAACACGGAACCACCCTACTAAGCCGATTCCGTCTAAGCCGCTCACCAACTATGAACCCTCTCTATCAGATTTTCTGTACAAGATTAGAACTCGTTTCGTCATCATTATTGTCAAAAGTTCTTATTTACGACCTTGAAACAATGTCAGCCTTACGGTGTATCCTTACCGCCTTCGAATTATCCTTCGAATTATTCTTTCACTAGAATCCTGAGCAGTGCCGTACAAGTTGTAGAACACTTTAATTTTAATGTAGGCGGCCTTTCACCTTCAACCTTTCAACCTAATAGATCTGAACATTTCTACCTCTTAATTTATATGGGACGCGCTGACCGAACTCAGCCGAAAAATGGGAACTGATCCTTGCTTCCATAGAAGGTTCCCAGATCAATTATTCGCATACGATGGTGCAACGTTGAATCCTGAGGTGCCGTTCCATACGACGACCAACGGCGCATTGGATTACCTATATTGTATACTATGTACCCACCCGCTCAATTGTCCTGTTACAATTTGAGAATGACTATAAGTCAATTATCCTGACCTTGTAGGATTATCAATCACATCCGTAGGGCAGTCCAGGTATGTCATCCTACCGTAGCCCAGTTCGGCTCCGACTGCAGTATTCTAGAATAGCTCCAAGGGTAATGATTGCGGCGATCAGTTACAGCTGACGATGATCATAGAGCTTCCCGCTTGGTTTGTAACTGACATTTAGTTGGCGCTGAATCTTATAGCTAAAGTTGGCGATGACTCGCAGCCTGCGTATTGAGTTGGCAACACTTTAAATGGCACTGCGGATCAACCAGTATTGGATATGACCGTGGTCAGCAAATTCGCGATGTTCGTTATGCTAATTAATAGCGCTGGATATGGGGCCTTTCTGATAGGATCCTCTGATGCCTCCTTCTACGCATTTACACCTCCTGTTGTAGTACTGAGAGATCTCAAATCACGGCTATACACATTAATTCGCGTGTCGTAAGTACGTGTCCGAGGTTCGGATTATTATTTCCCTCGGCCTCCCCCAACCCGTATTCATCCAATAGTTCCTGATTGGGTTACCACTGAAACTGAAACTGCACGGGGCGATTTTCTTGGCAGCCACTTTCAATGACCGATAAAAATTTATAAATGTTAGAGATTCTAGTAGTATACGAGAGAAAGAAAATAGCAGATATGTCGCCTGCAAAGCTTATGGGGTATAAGCCGACCATTTTAGCCCAAAATTATGCGAATGCCGGAGGTCCACGGTGAAGGTATACTCTTAATCGCTTAGATCAGGAGCCGAGACGTGTTTCATCCATCATTGCCAGCTCATGTGGCACTTTCAATAACCACGGTTATAGGACGTAAGACGAGCCCTCGTGACGAGATTCCTCTTCTCACCAATACTAACAGCTCGAGGTGAATCCCACCAGGGTTTGCACTATCGAGAGTGTTTGAGTATTAGTTTAACATCTATCAAGCAGCATCTTACTCGGGATTTGTTCTAAGGCCAGTATGCTCTTGCATCCGATATTCCTTGACTACTTATCCGTATAATTCCAATCCTAGGAGAACGGAACTCTATGTGTCCGGTTTCATCCATCCCGCCATGTTCGATTTCTTTCATAAATATCTGTAATACTCCTCCCAAAAGTATAAGCCAAGGCTACAGTACTCCAATGCCACGGAGTGTTTATCGTAACCGATAGAAATATCTACCATAGTAAGATAGCTTATATAGGCTGCCTCAATACCAAACCCAATCAGAGTAGCTATCTTCTGTCCCCCCGCCCAAGAAACGAGTTTTATTTTCTCTCATTCGCGTTGATCTCTTCCACGGAGGCATTTGTTGGAAGGCGTAGCAGAATTAATGCTATCCGCTCTGTTAGCCATCTGGATGTCATTTTGGTAATCCTGTGGTCCTTTGGACATCAACTCTAGTTGTCAACGTAGACTTAACAAAGGTGATGACAAGTGCCGTCATCAAGGCTAGAGGAATGTCTTATGCCTCTTCTAGATTGGCCAACTACCCAGATTCTGGCAAAAAGATATCCCCCCAGTGTCCTTGGTGCTGTGTCAATTGCCGACCCAACAGCTGTAGAGATAGTCATAACAGCAAGCGCTCCTATGTTTTTGAAAGCATCTGCAGAGCTACGGCACGAACATTCTTCTTCTATTGGATTACCTCGCTGCGCTCCACGCGCAAAGGACCCCGACAAGCCTGATAGTTAACATACTTGGATTGTGCACCGTCTGCAGTAGTAGGTCTCAACTACTGCAGTCAGGTTGCTATCACGCGGAAATAGCTTAGAGACGACCGGGGGGCGTCCACTAAGAAAGGATGATCTTAGACACTACCTAACAATACCGTTAGTCCAATAGTAGCTGAAGCGTCTGTTACATGGTTAAGCTGACTCTGGGTGGTAAGCATAGGGGCGAGAGGACACCCATTCAATCTCAGCCCGGTCGAGTCTGACACGGACAGCGTGTGTTACCATTTAACCGCCGAGCACTGCTCTAATGGTTATGGTGTCCAAAGCCTCGATCATATGCGAGCTATACACAATTGACCGTCGTATGGTATAATACCACAGTGATGGCCGAGAGCGAGTTGTGATGATATCATAATGTTTTAGTCCCTGTTTTTAGAAAACCAGGTTAGTTATAAATCTCCATATAGTTGTCAATGAGGAAAAGGATAGGGTGGTATGTATTAGATCTTCCCTTATGTTCGTCCATCAGTTATGAGTTAAATTCCGCTTATGGGAACCACCTGGAGCGGCCGTACGCCCTTCGGCTCGCAATGAACGTATTCCACTTATATGCTATGGATACTTTAGACACACCCGATCACGTAGCAATGCTTACATTAGATGACGGCCATACACCATAATAATCTTTTATTAGAGGTATTGAGTCCCCTTAGGATAACCCTAGGTCGTCAACATAAATCATTCCCACCCTGGCAATCTTGGGTATAATGCCATCCTAAACGCCGCTAAACGCCGTGTATGCTAGCTACTAACTGAGAAACCCGCCAGCTCAATCACGAGCCAGGAGTCCCGCTAGATTTGATAACTTGAAATATGACGCGTTCCATTATACGGGAGGTGTATCGTGGACAACTACCAGCAGATACTTAACTTCGGGGACAATAACTAGCTCTTGCTTCTTTGTGCGCAGCCTCAAAAGTTTCAGTTCATCCTATATCAAATTATTAGCCCCTCTTTCATTCAAAAACACAGCTTGACGTCTACCTCGGTGTCAATCTCGTCTACTAAGCTCCCTGCCGTACTTAAGAAGCTCCACACCATGCTAGCGAGCTCTTGTGCGGCTTGGGTTTCGTTATCGGTACTCGCGCTAACGTCGGTCGAGAAGGAACCGCCCGTAGGGCTCGGCAATGAAGCCTTCCTGTCTATAGATCGTGCAGGTCTAATCGTAGAAATCTGGCCGTTGGTCTTGAGAACGGTGCCGTTGGCTCGGTCCAACATAAGCCAGGCCTTGACCCCGGGCTTCTTGGAGAGCCGGTGGAGTGACTCCTCTATTGATTCCGTGTTGACGGAAGGCTACGTACGCTCAGTTAGATATATACCTTATATATATTAACATTAAGGAGTTACAACTCTTACCAATGATTTTTCTGCCATACTTCCTTTTGGTGATTGAATGAAGAATCCTTCGTACCTAGTAATTGCGAACAGGAACAGCTCTTAAGGCTCTTAAGGTGAGTTAAGAGCTTATTGATTATTTGTTTGGTACCTGTACCCAAGATAACCGTACCTAGAAATTAGCTTAAGCCACTAAGAACTAGAAGACCGTAGCATGCAAGCCACTAAGATAAGATAAGCAAGCCACAAACAAAATCCGGGGTCACTAACGGAATTATGCCACTGCTTACCGCCAAAAAGTTGTGCTCGACAATTCCGTCGCGAAGCTCAGTTAGATGTATAATGGGATAGTATGGCCAATTAGTCTACTGAACCTATCGCGCTAGTTCTTACTCATACCAATGACTGATTCGAGATGGGTTCCAGTACTAAGAAGAAGAAGGAAAAGAAGAAGGACTTCCAAAAGCCCAAGTTAAAAGTAGGGAAGCCCAAGGCGAAACCTTCTAACTTCACGGATACCAGTTTTAAATCGAAATGTATGATGATGATGCTATTTATGCGACACCCACCGTCGCAATTGAAGGTCGCTTTACTAAACTATCGCAGCTATCGTCTTGCAGCAACAACTTGCAGAGAATGCGCCGGATCCATCCGAACGATTCAAACATACCCTCTCTCTGACGAGCTCTCGCTCGGACACTCAACGACGAGATGCGTTATCATACCTCGCGAGTCAGCTCTCGACGAATCCGCCGATAAATCCAGTAGGCACGTCGACATTACTACATAAGCTTCTTCCTATGATGTCCGACTCTTCCGGACCTGTGCGCGGCCAGCTGCTGAAGCTACTACGAACTCTTCCCGCCGATGAAGTCCGCCCTCATGTTGAGAAGATCATGCTCTATATCCGAGGTACCATGACCCACATTTCGCAGGAGATAAAGGATGATGGCCTGAATTATATGGAATGGATACTTGATGTTGCCGGCGAAGATGTCGTCTCAAGTGCTGGTTGTTGGATCAAACCGCTTAGAGACTTCATGTCGGTTCTAGGATGGGCTGTCAAATCCGTACCAGCCACTGCATCGAAGAGTGGTTGGACTTCTGCTCCGAGGACAACATTTGGTGCCAAGAAATATGGCCAGTCTTTCCCACGGCAGATGTTAGTGTTATCCAAATTTCTGAATATGGGGTTCAAGTCAGGAATGGCCACGTCCTGGAGCCCTAATGATTGGGTCAGCAATATATGCTGCGTATCGCGGACGCCAGACCCACTTGGATATCTCGGCTTATTCAAGCCCCCGAGAGACGAGGATAGCGAACTCTATCGAAACCGGGAAGATAGACAAGATATCTTCCAAAAGAGATTTAGAGCAGCTGTTGAGGCAGGTATAGATATGGCCAAAAAAGAAGGTGGGACGGCTGGTAGAGCTGCGGCAACACTAGATCAAGTGTTAAAGGATGGCATGGGTGACTACGAACAGACCTCACGATTCAACGATGACGAGCATCTATGGGATGGCTATATCATGTAAACTAGGGATTTGGGCGCTTTGAGACATACTTGAATTTTTAAACCTGTACTAAATGCAGTATTCCTCCCTGTGCTAATTTTTGAATTCCACCCAACCTTAGTTAAAGAGGTAACGTATTATAAAGCTTTATCATACAAAATCTCATCTTGAATTCGATTCTCATTCCACATATAATTGAAATGGAGGTATATCCTGGACAATCTAACTTTACCTGACCTCTGTCTCTTTAATATTGATATAAGGCATGAATGAACATTGAACACTGCTTAAATAACCCTAGATACCATATACAGATCCTAACCGATGCTGTGTATAATAATTGATGCCACAAAGGTTTACTTATGTACATTCCTTAAGACTCAGTCGTATCAGGGGTTTTACAGCTACATAATTATGCTGCAAGTACCCTTGGTATAACCCCATCTGCATATTCTTTACTTTGTTTGTTCAAGCTCTATAGCATGTAGCTTATGAGTGAACTCACATCTTTCCCTCATCTCTTTTCAAAATTTGATATCCATAATGAGTTGATATTGTACGTTGTTTTCCTAGCAAACAAATCTACATGTAAGCTAAAAGGGGGTTTTAAGTAGAGATGGTATGCATGTGATACTATGGTTACAAATCTACTATATTATATATCTAGCTCATTATCAATAATCATACGTTAGGTACGTAAAGTCTTTTGAAAGGCATAAGGAGAGGCTTTCAAGTAACCCCTTTCAATCTAGGTTACTGATGAATCAGAAATATAGTAGCATGTCGATATGGGAAGTTGATCGTCCTGGAGATAGACGTTGATTTCTCGATCCACCATTCATGCCAAGAACGCAAGTCATATTTCCATGTCGTCGCCCCCGACGCCTCCCATCTAGGCACTCAAGATAGCTCATCATATCCTAGGAATTTCTTACAGTGATCTGCATATCGTTCTGGTGTCCCAGGTCATGTACCTTATCCCCTATACGATCGTCATGGAAACTAGAGAATATGTACCATACATTCTACCTGTAGTGTGCCTTCCATGTTCGATACTCACAGTAAGGTAGGTATCTACATACATGCATGTAATAGATACCTGATATCAATAACTGCACTGTCCAGGTAAAGAAATCTTGTGCACTTAGCTGATGCCTCCTCCCCTAATAACTACAGCCTTATTTACTTAAATCACTGCTTCCTTATTTAGGTATGTACCTTGTTTCCTAAATCCGTACTTGGCTCTACTTCCCCAAGTTGTACCCTTCACATATCTGCACCAGCAGTTATAGAAGATTTGGTACTTACCCCCCTAAGTACGCGTACTTAATACCTCACACACAAGGTAAAGTATACAGAAGTATTTACGGGGCTCCTTCTACAGCAACTCAACTTAAGGAGTTGTTCCTTCCCGACTTTGTTGCTTCCTAATTCTCGAGGTATCAATGGACTAATTCTTTCCCACCAGAAATTATAAGAGAACGCATCTCCCCTTCTCACAGCCTACTCCTACTTTTTCCTCACCAATACATTCCCACAGGATCCTCACAAAGGGTCACCTCCAGTCTTCAGTTCTTCGACCTTTGACACAGCAAAGGGCTAGGTAAGTTTAACATTTCGTTCTTCCTCATTATCTCCCATTATCATCCATCGACCATACTCTGCTAAAGGTAAACCTCGACGTGTCTGCCTTGTCTACCTTGCAACATAACACGCCCCGATTCCCTTTCCCTTTCCTACTTTCAACACGAAGGACTCTTCAGTATTTTATTAACTTCAATCCAGGGTCATAACTTATAACTTCCTTGCCGTTACTAGATAGGTAAGCTTATTTATCGCACAAGGCTCCTTCTTGACATCATTCTTGCCTACATATCATTTTTCACGAACTACTTCTACCTTACCTTTACCTTCTATCGCCACTCTTCCAGATCTTCCGTTATCTTGACGCAGCCTTTTATTAATAAATCTATCGCATAGGACTCGCGCTTGCACACTTGAGTATCACGACACTCAGGTTCTCAAGTTCTCAAGACATAAGTCAGCAAGTAAGTATCTACTCACGCTTTATTTCATATTTCTGTCCCCTCTTAACCAACACCAAGTGTATTTTGTATCCTTACATCAAACTTCTAAACTCGGACAACCACGTGCAACATTCTTCTCCTCCTCCCAAACATCCTTCATATCACATTGCCCGAAGCCTCCATTTGTTTGTCAGCTGGCTGAATTCCCCCATATCTGAGATTCCGGCTTCGAAGCCCTTACAGGCTGGTGGATGAATATTACGTCTTCTTTTATCACTGACCCAAGATTTATAGAACTCCGAGAACAACCTTGTTGGTTCATTGATCAACATGTCTGACGGCTGGGGATCCCCCGAGCAGAAGCCGGCGGCCCCCAAGGAGGCTGCCGGGCCTTCAGCTACCGATGCGAAACGTCCTGAGAAGCCAGCTGGTGACTGGGGTCAGCCCGTTGCATTCGACTATACCGAAACTGATGTTGACCGCAAGTGGGGCAGCAACGGCGCCATCTATGAATGGGATGGCGAAGAAGGCGAAGTCGCCCCTGTGAATCCAAGTCTGGAACTCGAGCTCTTCGGTTGCCCGGAGGAGCGACACTGCGCCGGCGTCGATTTCTCCAAGTAAGTTCATTTGATTCGCTTTCACGACTCATTATCCTGCTAACCTCCCTAGGATCGCGGAGATCAGTGTCTCCCAAGAGGGTGAGAAACGTATCATCCCTATCTCGCACTTCAAAGAAGCGGGTCTTCACCCTCTCATGATGAAGAATATTGAGATGGCCGGCTACAAAACACCGACCCCCATCCAAAAGTACTGCATTCCGGCGATCAAGATGGGACATGATTTGATCGCCATTGCTCAGACAGGTCAGTAACTCACTTATCTTCATCATCACCCTACGTAGCTCTGCTAACCCATTTATTTATTAGGTTCGGGCAAAACTGCAGCATATCTGGTTCCTATTTTGAACGAGCTGATGGGCAAAGCCAAAAAGTTGGCTGGTCCCCGTCCACCTCAGCAAGCCGAGAATGGACCACGTCAATACGTACGAGCCGAGCCTTTGGTACTCGTGGTTTGTCCTGCTCGAGAACTAGCAATTCAAATCTTTGACGAAGCGCGTCGTTTCTGCTACCGCACAATGCTTCGTCCTTGTGTTGTCTATGGAGGAGGACCTATTCAGGAGCAACTCCAGCAGATTGGACGAGGCTGCGATGTCCTCGTCGCCACTCCTGGTAGGCTTATCGATATCATGGAGCGCTCGCACCTGTTCACACTTCGTCGACTTCGATACATGGTGATCGACGAGGCTGATGAGATGCTCGACATGGATTGGCAGAATGAATTTGAGAAGATCCTCACTGGTGGAGGTAAGTTCATACGCTCCTAATACATTAGTATAAATCTAATATCTACTATAGAACAAGAGCAAGGAAATGTGAAGTACATGCTATTCTCGGCCACTTTCCCTGGCGCTGTTCGCAAACTCGCCAAGGACCATCTTGCGATGAATCATATTCGCATTCGCGTGGGCCGCATCGGAAGCTCTCACGCAAATATTACGCAAGACATCATCTTCGTGAAGCAGGAGCTGAAGCGAGAGGCTCTTCTTGATCTTCTGTACTCGCTATCTCCTGGCCGAACCATCATCTTCGTCAACAGCAAGCGCACGGCAGACGAGATTGATGATTTTCTCTTCCACAAGGGTATGCCTTGCACTTCGATGCACTCGGACCGCACTCAGCGAGAGCGCGAGGATGCAATGCGAGCGTTCCGCTCTGGAAAGTCAGCCCTTCTGGTCACCACTGGAGTTACGGCTCGTGGAATCGACGTACGTAACGTCCGCTACGTTGTCAACTTTGATCTTCCAAGTGCGGACCACGGCGGCATTCAGGAATATGTTCACCGCATTGGTAAGTTATCTTTCATTTCCAAAGTTTCTTGGTCGATTACTAACGCCATACAGGTCGAACTGGCCGCATTGGATACACCGGTTCTGCCACCTCGTTCTACACTGAGCGCGATGAGGCTCTCGCTGGAGATTTGACCAAGATTCTCATGGAGACTCAACAGCCGGTGCCTGACTTCCTCCAGCAGTACATCCCCGAGGGTGCAGATCCAAAGAACTTCAAAATGGAGGACGACAAGAGCGACTTCGAAGAAGAGGAGGGGGATGCCGGAGACACATGGCAGACAGATGGGCCCAATGACGGCCAGAATGCTGGTAGTTCTTGGGTTTCTGGCGGTGCAGATGACAGCTGGGGTGCGCCCTCGGCCGGAGGAGCTGCTGCGGATGGTTGGGGTTCTGGTGGCAACTCAGGAGGTGACTCCTGGGTGAATGCAGGCAATGCAGAAGTTGACTGGTAATTACCGCATAACCACCACTCCAGTTTGCATGACCCCGGCAGAGCATTCGGACATTTCTGACACAAATTATTTGGTAATTAAATTTGCTCGGAAATTGCGATATCCTGAGAGGTCACAGGCCTCCGAGTGAAGGTGGCAAAATAATGTTTCATTTCGTTTCTTTGAGGTTTGGCACGAGGTAGGAACCTGCGTTTCTGGGTTGATAGTCCATAGTGGAATCTCTGAGTAGTACGAATTGATTGCTATCTTATGCCGTCAAGATTTAACCACCGACAATCGGTAGGGTTCGTAGCATGAAAACTATGCTGCTCTTGCTTGAGAAAGATGTAAATAGCTTAGCTCTTTGCTCATTAACTTGCATAGCCTCTCGTAATATAATTCATGCCTAGGTACCTAGGTATGTGTTCCAGAAAGGAGAGTTTACTAATCGGTTTCCGCACTCTCTGTTTGATGCCAGACCTAAGTGATTGCTTCAATATTACAAGGAGTATACCTACGTACGGAAGGGTACGGTATTATCAAGAGCACTACCTAGTTGTAACAGAAGATAATTAACTAACACTATTTAGATATATCAGGTAACAAATTTATGCGATGTGTTTAAGGAAAGTAGAACCCTTCAAGTTCCGTTCATATACTTTCATTGGTATACATTGTTGATGACGTTAGGGTTCCTAACTGACTACCTGTATCTTCTGTAGCTAGTGTAAGTCCGGACTTTGGTCATATTTTAATGAGAGAGAATGGTAAGTCCTTATTCCGTATAAGGAACTCTGTAAGGAGATGCCTTATACAAGAATAAAAAAGGAGGGCTGCATGGGAGGCGAACTCAACTAATTTATACTAATAGTTATTAGGTAGTTTATATGTTAACTTCTTGTCTTGTTGATAGGATATAAGCTGGTCTATAAGATACTTTGTCCTTATACTTAAAAAAAGGTAGACATAGTCGGCAGCTTAGACATCCTCTAGTAGACACGCAAAGGTAATGCAAGGGTAATGAGCTAATAGACTGAAGAGGTCTGGTTGTGTCCTTTAAATTTGATAAACGTTAGATATTGGCATTGGATAATGTTGAAGTTGCTTCGTTGGACAGCCTTACCATAGTTTAATTTTGCTCCTATCACACACAAGTAATGGAAGTTAATTGAATTGTGGATCTAAAAAGGGGGAATCATTTAAGAAATCGATGAATCGTAATAACGAGTTACTATGTAATCTCGGATATGTATATAACGGAACGACGCCTTATTCACTCATTGGATTAAAGCTTAGGTAGTGAGCTCATTCCAGCCGCAACCCGCAACCCGCAGCTCCGAAACATACGATACCTAATAAAGTGTGATCAACAATTAAGTATTAAGGAAATATCTTCTCCGGGATTAATGGAATAAGTTTGGAGAATTTCTCCCTTCTTAGGAATTTGAGAGCTCGAAAGACGTGGAGCCTAGTAAAATGAAAGCTCTCACTCCTTGTCTACGCTCTATATCGAGCCGACATGGCCATGTCCAAAATCACGTGCTACAGCAACTACCCGTAGTAGTAGCAGCAGCAACATCGTCATCATCATTATGCACTACCTATAACAACAACAGTAGGAGAAAATTTTCAGTCCTCAACCGCCCACCGCCCAGCTACCCAGGCCACGTGCCGCTGACGGGCTTCGAGCGCGCCGCCCTAGCCGTCGGCTCCGGCATCGCGTCCTTCGTAAACCCGTACCGGGGGGACATGATCGCGGCTCTAGGCGAGGCCACCGCGTCGCCGTACTTCATCCAGCGGCTGCGACGGGCGATGCTCGCATCCGCCACGGGGCGCCGGATCTTACGGGACCGGCCGCGAATCACCTCGGCGTCGCTGAACCTGCCGTTCCTGCGCTCGCTGCCGCAGAACACTGTCGGCGGGACGTACGTGGCGTGGCTGGACCGGGAGGGCGTGTCGCCGGACACGCGCAGCGGGGTGCGGTTCATCGACGATGAGGAGTGTGCGTACGTGATGCAGCGGTACCGCGAGTCGCACGATTTCTACCACGCGCTGACGGGCCTGCCGATCGTGCGCGAGGGCGAGGTCGCTCTCAAGGCCTTCGAGTTCGCCAACACACTGCTCCCCATGACGGGGCTCTCGCTGCTCGCCGTCGCGACGCTCAAGCCGGCGGAGCGCAGGCGCTTTTTTACGATATATGCGCCGTGGGCGGTGCGCAACGGCTTGCGCTCCGATGAGGTTATTAATGTGTATTGGGAGGAGGAGATGGAGACGGATGTGGATGCGTTGAGGGCCCGGTTGGGCATCGAGACGCCGCCTGATTTGCGCGAGATACGGAAGAGGGAACGCGCAGAAAAGAAGAAGCAAGACGAAGGGGTTGGAGGAAGTAGCTGGTGTGCAGACTGCTGGGAGTTGAGATGGTTGCGAAGAAAAAGAAAAAGGGGTATTTAATTTTGTTATTAATAGATAGTTTGATCTGTACATTATTGGGTGTACTTGGATTGCGTGGAGCGAGAACAAGCATTCCTCCTGTATTCCCTAGAAACGCCTTGCCATGCCGTGCTATTTCGTTGCATCGTGCGCTGTTCTTTTTTTGTTTCTTTTCTCCGCCTATGTTGTTGACCTCCCCTCCCTCGACGTAACCTAGTTCGCCTCAAGAAACGATATACAAATAAATACCCTACGGGCCATTCACAGGTCCAGCAGATCGTCGTCCTCGTCGTCCCAGTTCTTGCGTCTGTTCACCACGATCTTTTCCTCCTCCTTGTTATCGGCGACGGCGCTCAGCAGCTCTTTGAGCTGAGCCTCGGTGACCTTCTGGCGCAGCTGGCCGGTGCGCGCGAGCATGATGAGGCGGTTCTCGACGTCGGCGGCGCGCTCCTCTTTTACGAGCCGGATGCGGCCTAGACGGTCGGCGGCTTCCGGGTGCAGGATTTGGTTGAGGATGGATTGGCGGGCTTCGGCTTCTTGTCTGGAGGGGGAGAGTTGTTAGTTAGTTGGGGTGTTGTAGTATGGTGGCTAGCGAAGGGGGGAGGGAATGGGGATGTGCTCACTGCTTCTGCTGCTCTGCTTGGTTTCCTTGGCTGGGCCCCGCGCTGCCTACCCCGCTGCCTTGCGCTTTGAGCTGTTCGAGGCGCGCTTTGCGGATCTATGAGTTAGGCGTTATTAGTATTAAATGACAAAGGAGGTATTTCAGTAACATATATATTTAGCATACCTGTTCTAATTCTGCGTCGGCCATGTTTGTTGTGTTAAAGTAGAATTTGAGTTAGGCAAGTAATCGGTATAATGATAGTGGGGTTATGTAAGTCGATGTTAGGCGGCAGCTGAGATTCTAGAAACTTTAGTGGGGTGATTTGAGGCTCTTGAGCTTCTATTACGGTGCTATGGTTAAGTTCATAAAAGGATGGTCCCGCATATTGCGTTAATGATAAATTTGGTGTTTAAATAACTAGCGCGTTCCATTGATATTCCACAACATTAGAACTGACAATCTCCTTTAAGCTCTACATAAGTTCAACTAATAAATGATTTCCAAGTTCACGTCTTTGAGAAAAGATCTTGGATTGACATGTAAAGGTAGTAACAATTACTCATCGAACAAGACTTCATAAGGAACCAATATTTGGAAGGAGGTGGTTAACGATCTTATCTTCGGCCGTATCAGGATCGTCTTATAAAAGGAAGACCGCTTCTACTTTGCTCGGCAAGAAAATCGCTACTTGTTTATTAACCCAGACGAGTTTAACGTCTAAGAGATACCTATTAAACATTTGAGTGTCCCCTTTCCTCCCAGTCTTACCCGCGTCGCAGAACTTTTTCTAGAATATACCTAGTTATATTAAATGGCCGAACCTTTTAAACTGCGGTGAGTCTTCGTTATCGACAAACTTCTGCGCTTTATTGCTACAAGAAGCAGAGATATACGAGATCCTCCGCCAAAACCCACATCCAAATATTACATCCCCGGAATCTGACTTACAGGACCTTACTATGATCGAACAGTATCTATTTACAAGGACTTTTCAGTCATCTAATGAAGAAAAAGACGCATATCAATAAATCATACCAGAATTCTCACCACTGACCAAACTCGCCAAGCAGGGTTATGATCGTATACAGCCAGTAGCAGAGCCAGTCTTTCGGGACAGATTCTACATTATGTATACGGTGAAGCTGCAGACGCTGACAAATACGTATCGGATTTTTAAAGGTCATACCTAAAAGAATTCTACAGTATTGCCATACATGTATTAACTACGCCATAGTAGTAGACGCTACGCTTGTCGTTAGAGACTTCAATATGTCATCGGGGGGTATCCCTAAAGATTCGAGCCATACTGAGGCTGATATAATTAGCGATCTATAAGATCTAGTGCATCTCGCCTGGTAGATAGGGGATTTGGAGTAGTGGTCCATGATGAAGTAGCTCGTCGCGATCATTAGATATAATGATTATGTCTCGTGTCCAAAAGTGCCAGACCACACTCCCTATTCAAAATTATTCACCCCGCTGCTAGCGTCTAGGTATGTAGCGCCGGTGCTTGGCCCGGTACTCACCGTCATACGTCCTGGTAAGTCCGGAATTAACTCGATTTGGTTATCGGCGTCCGAAGCTTACAGTAAACGGATTCCGCGGGGTTAAGAACTGTATCCGCGCTCATAATAGCTAGCGTGCATGTACTATTACTATCTAACCTAATTTATAAGCTGCTGAGAGTTTTTCCCACGTGTAAAGCAAGGATGTATACACGATCTTGGTATCTACCATTGGCTGCCTTTGGAAGGCTTTCATGCACGCCGTATAAAAGACCGTTCCCAGACTTTATGCTGTTTTCAGACGTACGTATGTGGAGAGGAAGCTGTAGGGCGTAGCTAATAACTGGATTGGCACTAGATACGACCAGATCTAGGTGTCATCCGATATGGGTATAGTACTACCATTATTGCAAAATCTGTTTCTATGATTAACAACTTCTAATATCTCAAGCAAGCTTGAAAAGCAGTTATTATTACGACGTAGAGGGTTGACTCTCTACGTGGGTTCTCCTCATTTTCGGAATTAAAGTACTGAGATGCATAAAAGCCGTTAAGGCCTGATATTTTACCTTGACCTTACAATAGGTGAATAGGCAGTATTGGTAATTGGTGACGTAAACATCAAGTAGGGTAGATCGCGAATATAAACGTCGTCATAGAACACGACCATTGTTTAAGCCAACAACGACGTGAACCAACCATCCTAGTGACAGAGAATTCATCTTTTCTGTAATTCAAACTTCAAACTTCAAACAACTATTTCGAAATATACACCCAATACATAATAAAAATGCCCCAAGTCGCTGGCAAAGAAGTAGGCCCTATTGGCTTTGGCCTCATGGGATTGACCTGGCGAACCAACCCATGCTCCCAGGAGCAAGCCTTTGAGACAATGCGCACAGCACTCAAGAATGGATGTACGTGGCTAGCCTCTAGCCCATTACGGGCTGACCGCCAGGAAATTCTCACTATTTATTATCAGTAGCTAATACTATACCAGGTAACCTTTGGAACGGCGGCGAGTTCTATGGGGCGCCCGACTATAACAGTTTAGTCCTCCTAGAAAGATACTTCGAAAAGTACCCTGAAGATGCCGACAAGGTAGTCATCTGTATTAAGGGTGGTGTGAGTCCTACAACTCACCAGACAGATGGCTCACCCGAGAATACGCGCCGCTCTATCAACGACAGCATAGCCCAGCTCAAGGGACGCAAGAAGATGGAACTATTCGAGTTTGGTCGCCGAGATCAGAAGGTACCGATGGAAGTCACTTTTGATGTTGTAAATAAGGAGTTCGTCCAGACAGGCAAGATCGGAGGCATCTCTCTGTCAGAAGTGCCGAGCCGAGACGATCACGAAGCCGTCAAGCACGTTAAAGTCCACTCCGTAGAAGTGGAACTCTCGCTGTAAGTCACAGCCCTAATGATTTTAGTAGCGCTAATTAGATATCCCTTTTACTAACCATGTAATAGGTTCTCAACCGACATACTGGAGAATGGTGTAGCAGCCGCTTGTGCCCAGCACGGGATCCCGATAATCGCATACTCGCCGATCGGTAGGGGCATGTTGACGGGTCAGATCAATAAAATTGAAGACATCCCGGAAGATTCAATGCTGCGCCTCTTCCCTCGGTTCCAGCCAGGGAACTTTGAGATCAACCTGGAGCTGGTCCGCCAGGTCGAGGAGCTGGCCAAGAAGAAAGGATGCACACCAGCCCAGCTCGCCATAAACTGGACCTTGGCGATATCGAAGCGCCCCGGGATGCCGACTATTATCCCGATTCCCGGTGCTACGACGGCGGCGCGGGTGGAGGAAAATAGCAAGCTTGTAGACATCACAGATGAAGAGATGGCCGAGATCGACGCTACCTTGTCCAAGTTCAAGACAGCTGGTGAACGTTACCCCGATGCCATTCCTACGAACACTTAAACATATAGGGGTCTTACCTACGGGATGTTAGCCAAAATCACGAGAAATGTACACATTCTCTTAATAAGCTAGATAGGGGTATTCCTTTTATGCTTTTCCAGTTCCATAGCGTTGACGTGTCAGAGAATACCTACCTACCTAGGTAGGTAGGTAGGTTCCTAAGGTAATATTCAGTTACTTCCCCAATAAATATTCTATGGCTCATGCTACTATTATGACAAGCTCCTCACGCCATTTATTGAATCAGACCGGTCGGCAACGAGGATATGTTTCATTGATGGTCGTCAAGAAATAGCGTCTATCGCGGATACAATTATGTTCTATCTACCAAACCATTAAGATACCTGGGTCAGACATACCTGGGGTAAAGAGCTTCAGTAGCACCAATGGTCCAGTCGTAATTAGAATTTTTTTTTATGCTCCAACAAAGTTGTATTCCCATTTACTCCCATTCTCACACCAAGCGCCGAGATACTACATAGTACAGGTTCCGTAATTTTTTAGCCAGTCAAAGTAAAGTTGAGGATTGGTATAAAGTAACCCCATGAAGGAAACCTCTGTTTGAACCAATCAGGTTTTTCATAATGTCATAAGAGTTAAGGCGTAGTCTTTTGGCACTTCGGGAAAGAGTCCGTTGTTGCATTTTATGCAGGGACATGATCCAATATGTTGTCCAATTAGCGCAATGATATATTGTAGCAGGATTTAGGTGACTATAGCAAACCTACGATATCTTTTTTTTTGTGTTAACTATCTAACCTAGGTAGTTACTACTATTTAAAATGGCTTGGGGACCTACATGCTGACAACTAGTAGCTAGATTGAGTGAGATACGTCTTGGCACATCTTAAAGAGTATAGTGTGTCCATAGTTATTTTATCTTGGCACAACCCAATGTTCTGCCCTGCAAGCCCTGCATATGCCGAAGGCAGCGCCTTGTCATTTTTTATGTCAGCATAACGACCTAACTTCTCGAAGAATCTCGAAAGGTTTACTACTTGACTTCATGTAAAGCCACACTTGAAAACAAAGTGTGCGAGACAACTGAGCCAAATTCCGTCGAAGCTTTTCTGTTTCTATATATACAGCCCCTATCAGCATCTACTTTCGACAATACCAATCAACCATTACCATAATGTGAAATTTATAAAGAAGACAGATAACCAAACGTATCGCCAGGCAAATTAGTCCTACACTCACTATCGAGTATAACCAAGGTCTTTCCGTTGATAATAGTACAATAATCCACAGATACCGTTTGGCGTGATGCCGTCTCCACATCCGGCGCGGAGTATATCAAACGGATGATACCTACTGCCGCCCGGGGCACACATCGGAAGCTACTATGGTGGGAAAGGTAGTTAGCAAGTCCAATTCCTAAGTACTAAATAGGTATAGCACAGGGAGCCCCTGGCATTTAGATAACACCTCGTTGTATCTAGCATCGAGTAGATCATTGATCCTATCGGATGGGGTTTCGTGTGTGATGCATATATTGCTAGTGATTACACCTTTATCAAGTAGCGCTTCGGGACGGCCGCCCTCGTCGACGACGATAGACATACCCTGGCCCCTTCTATTGTGTAAGGACATGGTATATAGGTAAAGTTGTAGAGGATTAGCAACCATGATGTCCTTACTGGTCCGAGAGACTGGCATGAATGAAACATTGGCCCAGAGAACAGTTTTACAATCAGGCCTTGATTCTGTTTGGAAGCAGTATGGCTTAGTATACTCCAAAGACAAGAATTGTGTACCTCGCGTCTTTTCGATATTATTCACTTCCGTGCTTGCATGAACTGTGTATCGATACACAAAGAGTGGCGCGGAGAAAGTAACAGTTTGTGGGTTACACTCTAGGTACTCCAAGGTGCGGAGAGAGACGGGGCCTAGATAGATGCACGCGCGGTATGAGCGAGACTGTAAATCCGTCTCTATAGGTTAGGAGACCAAGCAAGGACCAGGTATACTATGACACCGTAACAATATATAAGTCCCCCTCGAGGCCGACAGAATATATCGATATGTCCTGTAACTTTCACTTCTTCTCCTTAAACAGTTGGCAAAGTCAAGCCACTTATTCTCATCCGAGATAGCATCATTGCGAACTATATCATTATCAACTATTAGAGCGTATACCTATTCTCGCCATCCTAATAACTATCTACTCAATACCGGACATACCTACAGTTCAATCTCAAAACATTCACCATGATTTTCCTATTCGACTCAGTTACCACTTATCCCGGAATCAACTATGTGGACTTTTCTGCCGTCGCTGCTCTTGGTATAATGGGAACCTTGTCATTAGCCACAATAATCAGCTTACTCAACTCGGCCCCCGGCGGGAACGCCCGTGAGAATGGCCCCACTGTGGGCTGATTTCCCCCCCTCGACATGAGGAGTCAGCGTCGCATTCTACATTAGTCGGATCCCGTTTTACACCGCTTTCCGTGGCATAGGGCGGCCGCCGTTCCTTGGTATTCCTACTAGTCGGGGATGATTAAGTGAGAATTGAGTCAAAGGCAGCACTTGGTTTATAGAAGACGGATTGCATATATATGCTGCATATCATGAATTTCATCAGAAGTACGAGTCTTTATACGGCCCGCCGCAGAGGCCGAAAGTGGGAGGTGGAATTAAGGAGGTGTACTTCGTAATGGCTCGCTATATACTATCTATATACGGAATACAACATCTTTACGGCCACGTTCATTATCTACAAGACAGTGCTTTGTAATTCGAAAATGAGTATACGCCTGTCGTGCTATACCAATGCGCTATTTTAGTAAAATATAGGATTCCGTCCCTGCATAGAAACTAATAAAGCCCTATACACCTGATAACTCCATCCCGCGAGAGCTCTAACTAAATTTAGGTAGCGTGTATTAACTAGTTGAAGATACTTTCACTTTCCTCCCCTTTTGAACTCATCACACCTCCCACGGCACAGTTTCTACAGTAGCATTTATCCGTTGCAAAGTCCTGACATTTAAACTACAGTGACTACTAGCATACTCGTGAGTCGTATCTTCGTATCGCCGTAGATTTTGAGGCGTTCGTGGCGAGTGCAAATCTTGTGTTAGGTCTTGACTTGCTCGAGACACTTAGGGGCGTTCCTAAGGATTTATTAAATGGCATTTCAGGTCCTAGACTGTTCTGCGGAGAAGTGATATGACAACAGATTTTCCGAATTGCGTTAGATTGGTTATTTAATGATAAGACGATCGGAAAACAGAACGGCTACCAGAGATTCTACGTCTGACCCTCCACCTGCTCGAGACATAAACTTGTCCGTACATCGAGCTCACTAGTTCCCCCTTTCCGATAGATAAGACTCCGTTAATGACGTAGACTGGAACGGCAAGGACCTTCCCTGGGAATCGGATGCGAGCACCCAACATTTCTTCTAATATTTTCCATAATTTCTTTTCGTGGTGGAGAAGTTCATTGTGTTCTATTATTTTGTAACCTAATAGCACGACATATTCGGTATCGAAGGACTACCGACTTCGGACATATTTCCGCGGAGCCTTGCTAGGTTATCTGATAGTGTACCTTTAGACGGGTAACTGCTATACAGAAACTACCTCCGAATCAGTCAGCCCAAAACCCAACATCCACATTGTCGGGTTAGTTCTAAATTGGCGTTCTATGGTTGTGCTCGAAATGACGAGTGGCTTGATGCCGGCGGGATCTGAAAGTGAATGCCGTTACACAAATTAGTAGCGACTTGGGCCAATTAGTAGTCGGTAGTGACATCTATGAGCACATAAGCCACGTATTCATCGGTCACATACCTGGAAACGGTTTAATCTTCCGGATCTATTAAGCCATCAGCCAGGACGCTTACGAGTCGAGTATCCCGGTCTCCGAGTGCCATAGCATTCACAGTAATAATGTATGAGCTAGTGATTTGTCTCTAAAGATGTGAAATGAGGAGTATATGTATTATATGGAGCTCCTTTTGGTAAGAGTCAATATGAAAAGGTACTGAGGTAGAGAATTAATAGTATTCGTATCCTAATAGTTGGTACGTATAATATTAGTGGGTTATCGATATTACATCTTTTCTTTTTCCGCCCGAGGCTACGGAAGCGATGGATGTATATCCCATCCATAGTTCTCTTTTACATATTTGGTCTCTCTCCGTAGCACATCTAGAGACCTCGGACCTCTTCCATGACATACATATAGCAAACTATCCTCGTCTATCTAATCGATCACAGCTTGGATAGAGTAGTGTCCAGTCGGCGGATGTTAAATGCCTGGTATTGGAGTGTGGAATGGCTTTGCTCTTGTAGGATTCCGATATAAAAAGAATTGCGGACCATGGTGCTAACAACCGTCCCTGTATCTATTGTTAAAATAATCGGTTCTTCGATTTTATATCTAGATAACACGGTTAGAAGTTATATTTGAAGATATCAGGAAAAAAAAAACTTACTTTCTCTAGAATCGTCTTCCTATTATTTGAATCAGGCGGAAGGGCTCACCTATTCCAATAGGAGTTATATTGATAGGCAGTTATAGGCCCATTCTACAGAGATAAAGCACGGGATTGTGCTACTGCTCAAGTTCCTTCTATTAGATTACTGGCTTCTAAACTCCGATCTGTTTCTTTTTTCGAGTCTGCTTCACGAATTGGTCGCCGTTTTTGTCGAGGTGCTTGGACAGGGAAACGTTTAACTCCTCCACAAGCATGGCACTTGACGACGAGAACATCAGCCCATGGCTTTTTTCCGCCGCCTTTGCTTTTGTTCTCAATTGATGACTACTGGTCTCTCTTCGATAAGCAACTATCGCAGAATTTGCAGATAGTATGTTTCATGGCTGGAGAAAGACGTATTGACTCTTTAACGAGGCAGACCGGAGGTCGGTTATAAAGCGACGTGAAAGTCCATGCTTAGACTGACTTGTGTAAAGTACTTTCTTGTCTGTTGCTGCTGCGTCGTTTGTGATGTCTTTAGGTTGGCTAGCTAGATATGTTGCTGCTTGATATAAATATGAAATTCGCGAATAGACTGGCCGATTTGGCACACTTCCAGGTGCCTTGGATTTCCCCATGTCTTAGTTACCCTTGTTAGAAAAAAACCCCCCCCTTTGTTGTATGATTCAAAAAACTAAAACAACTGTTGTTGGAATGTGCTTGATGCAAGATGGGTACGTACCCCGTAGCTTCCAATTACCTAAACGTAGGATGATGATGACCTACGGTGGCAGATTGGGGAAAGCGGAAATGGTAAAAATCCGGGGCAGCCCTACCGGTGTTTAGCCGCAAAACACCAGTCAGCCAATAGTTAAGTGCACAGCCCCGTCGTTTCCCCGCTAATACAAATTTAGCTTAGCTTCTGCAGTTGAGGTCGCGCATTCCATCAGCTCATGCATGTCGATTTCTATTTTTCTGGACCTTCTTTCTAAGCCTTTCCTGACAACAACTTTCTTTCTCCATTCAACCTTTCAACATCGAGAGCCTCGCTGCACCGCCTTCTCGCATCTGCCATCAAAGACATCCATTGCGTCTCGAGTTTTCACCTTTTTCATCAACTCTTTGGGCATTTTTCTTCATTCTGAATTTTCATTTGACTTACGTCCCTTTTTAATCTACCAACCCTTGCGACACGTATCCCATCGCGATAATCTTACCATTTCATCACCATGTCGGCTGAAGAGGATCTAATCGACTACTCCGACGAGGAGCTGGCAACAAACGAGGCCACCACCGCCACTAACGGCAAGAAGGCCGACGCTGCTGCTTCAGGCAATAGTGTTGACAAGAAGGGATCCTATGTCGGCATCCATGCTACCGGTTTCCGTGATTTCCTGCTGAAGCCTGAGCTTCTTCGCGCCATCGCCGATTGCGGTTTCGAACATCCATCGGAGGGTTAGTCTACATCTTACACGTTCAAGCTTTTCAAAAGTTATCCCTCCTTCAAGCGTCCGTCCATCTCGCAAGTACATCGCAAGCAAATGAAGAAAACAAAGGCGGTCGGAGAAGCGGAAGATCAGCACGCGTAAAATCACGCATAGCTATGTTTTTCGATATCTGTGGAGCGAGGATCTATAGGAATTATCCTATCATCAGAGTGCCTAAAGAGCTTAAGAGACTCGTGCTTATCGCGTTAGTCTCGGTAGCTGGCGATGGGTTCACGCAACGTATCTGGCCTGGGAAATGTGTTGGAGCGATGAACCCTAGCTATCTGATCTCGACGACAGTTGAGTAAATTTGGCCTCGAGCCGATGTATACGTCTTAGAAAGCTGGTGCTGTAATACGCGTACCCTTTTTATCTACGTATAGATGGAATAGTCGAAAAGGCCATTGGTGGTGGATCTAGATAATGAAGACCGATGCTGCGATGATGGACGGATCTTGTCGAATTTCTACCTCCGCGTCCCTAAAATCTTGGAAGTCCTATCTAACATTCGATCGATTACTATAGTCCAGCAAACCTGCATTCCCCAGGCTCTCCTCGGAGGTGATATTATCTGCCAGGCAAAGTCGGGTCTCGGTAAGACGGCCGTGTTCGTCCTCACTACCCTCCAACAGGTCGAACCTGTTGCTGGCGAGTGTTCCGTCTTGGTCATGTGCCACACCCGCGAGCTGGCTTTCCAGATTCGAAACGAGTACAACCGTTTCAGCAAGTATATGCCGGACATTAAGACCGGTGTCTTCTACGGCGGTACGCCTATTCAGAAGGATGCCGAAATCCTCAAAGAATAAGGAAACCCACCCCCATATTATTGTTGGTACCCCGGGTCGTCTCAACGCCCTTGTTCGAGACAAGTACCTACGCCTGACCAGCGTTCGAATCTTCGTCCTTGATGAATGTGACAAGATGCTTGACGCCATTGGTAAGGATCCAACCGTTTTGTTATCGGCGTATTTATAACTAACTACATAAGATATGCGACGAGATGTTCAGGATATTTTCCGAGCAACTCCGCAGCAGAAGCAGGTCATGATGTTTTCCGCCACGCTTTCCGATGAAGTGAAGCCGATCTGCAAGAAGTTTATGCAGAACCCTACCGAACACTACGTAGACGAGGACACCAAATTGACTCTTCACGGCTTGCAGCAATATTACATCAAGCTTGAGGAACGAGAGAAGAATCGTAAACTTAACGAGCTTCTTGACGAGTTGCAATTCAACCAGGTCATCATCTTCGTCAAGAGCACGATCCGTGCCACCGAACTCGACAAGTTGCTTCGCGAATGTAACTTCCCGTCTATCTCAGTACACTCGGGAGTCAGCCAGGAAGAGCGGTATGTATAGAATTGTCCTCGTCGATTACACGATCTAACGAGTATATAGTATCAAACGCTACAAGGAGTTCAAGGAATTCAACAAGCGCATCTGTGTCGCTACTGATGTGTTCGGTCGAGGTATTGATATCGAACGTATCAACCTGGCCATCAACTATGATTTGCCTGCCGATGCTGATTCTTACCTCCACCGTGTTGGTCGTGCCGGCCGATTTGGTACCAAGGGTCTCGCAATCTCATTCGTAAGCACTGATGCAGACCAAGAAGTGCTGAAGGCAATTGAGAAGCGATTCGAGGTCGCCCTTCCGTAAGTTTATCCAGTTTTGACAATCCCAATTATTGAACTAATTTATTATATAGTGAATTTCCCAAGGACGGTATTGATGCTAGCACCTACATGGCATCTTAGATACACTTGTGTTCTCGATCGATTTTCTTTATTTCCGCCTACGGCTTGATTTTGGGTCGATCTGGTGAAATTGACGCGTGTACGCCCGTTAGTCTCAGAAAAGGGGATATTTCCGAAAAGTAAAGGATTCATTAGGCACTAAGGCTTTCTGTACATTATACTTTTTCAGTTTGCAATGGGCGACCAGCACACGCTCGGAGAAGACTAAGGGTCAGTAGTTAGGTGCTTTGAGCATATCGTAGCTCATGTTGGGCTCCTAATTAGCAATTTCATACACGGCCATAGTCCGTAGTCTCAGGTTTCGCAATGAATAGACTGGTATGATGAGACATCTCTATTCTTTTTTTTCTCGGGTGTAATGTAAATGTAATCGCCCACTAGGGGGGTTAATTGGAATGATTTTCACCGTAGGGAAATTTTGGCCCCCTAACTATAATTCCGCAGGATTCGTATGAGACAGATCCCAATATATCTATACTACACGTACAACACGACCTCCCAATGGCTAACCGTGCCAAGCCCCCTTCGAAAGTACTTACCCTTTATATAAATTGAGTCTATTGGATCGTGTCACGCGTATGCGACGTCCCCTTAAACCACTCAAGGCGATAGATAAATTTAATAGGTATCTAACCCCCAGGGTCGAGATGGGTTATACCTTCGGTTGTCTTTCTTACCCATTCTTCCCTTGTTTGCGCTGTTCTCCATAATAGTAACCATCATGGAGGCATCGGATAGTACTACACAATTTACGCCTGCATCATCTTGCACCGTAGACATCTACCTTGTATTTGCTGATTACGATTCGTGCCCCGACGACACCGATTCTTCTCTCACCTCCTGTCGATATTACCATCTTGGCCCACCAACAAGTCGATTAGATTGTTTCCCCACAGGCTGGCAGTCCGGCTCAGGTGCCTTTATGTCCACTAGTAAATGCCCATTTGGATACACAGAGGCATGTACGTCTACCAATGCGCCGGAGACGACTGCGACGTGCTGTCCCAAGTATGCCTCTCTAATACTAGCTGCTAAAATTCAGAGAAATATATTGAAACTAACAAAATCCAATGAGCACAGCAGCTACCACTGCCAGGGTATAGGAAGGGACTTTACATACATGAAGACCGAGTTGTGCTACAGGCCCTTCAGCGCCGGAGAACCGCTTATATACAAAACCAGCACGCCTGGGCAAGATATCCAAACGACGACGACAACTGAAAATGGTGGGGGAGTGAATGCGTATGGTATTGAGATTAGATGGCGAATGTCTAGCTCTGCATCATCTACAATCTTGACGACTTTCAGTACATCCCCGAATACGATCTCTACTTCGGCGTTGGACCCAACAGTAACCCCCATATCTCAACCCCTTTCAGCTGGAGCTGGGGCTGGAATTGGAATTGGTGCTACAGCTGCTGCCGCCCTAGTACTTGTCGGGGTATTTCTCTTATGGAGACGTCAGAGAAAAGACCACGGGGAAAAGGCGACGGTGCACGATACTCCGCCACTGGACGTAAACTTACAGCCAATAGACAGGATTTCGAGGTACACAGGTAGCGACAGAAGCGCATCCGCTAGACTAGCACAGTTACCAGCTTATTATAATACGGAATGGAACGAAACGCAACATGTGTCGCCACCGGTAGAATTAGGGCCAAGCCAGGAACGGGGAAGTATGTCATGATGTATCGTACAGTCGGTTGAACCACAAGCCTACAAAATTTCAACATTAAGCCGGAATATTAGTCTACATTTCAGATATGCTATTTATGTAAAATTTTGATTCTGTTTTGGGTTGTTCAGGGGTTTAACCAATGGAAGTCTTTACTATACACTATGTTGTTATACTTTAAGGAGTTAAAGGACATGGAGCAGCTTCCAATCATGTTATAGTCGTCGTTCTTTCGTAACAATATTAGTCTTCGAAATGGAATCTTCTAAATTACCATCTAGCTCTTGTTTACTTTATAAGACATGTATAGGTATATATGAAACTATGTTTCGCTATGACTCCTGAGTGTATTGGTAGTAAATATAACCTATAGAGTAAATTGTCAAGAAATACACTACAGCTCTATTATACTCAAGATACCACCCCTAAGTTTATATCAAATTATTCCAAAATGACTAAAATTAGGGTTATATACAATTATTTCAGTTGGTACCTATTCACACAAATGATATAGTTCTGTCACGAGGTGGAAACAAACAGCATGGAAAACAAACTTCGTTGTTCCGCAAGGAACTCTAACTAACTACCTACCTTAGGTACCTATGAGGTTCTAGGTCTATACATACTAAACCTGTTCTTTCTTCTAGAAGTTTCATCTAGAATTCTGATAGATACCTCAAATAATTCTAGGGAATTTATGTGTCACTAGTTCATTGGATGGCAGCGTTACACAAAAGAGCTGTCCTATGCCGACATTCCATTCGTCATATGTGTAACTAAAATGTCAGCTCCTCGCTTCTAATAATCATATTTTTGAATACTTCTAAAAAGTCTAATCGATAGGTAGTTATGAGAAGTTTGATACTATGAGCTCCCGTTGTGTTATTTGCGATCGATCTTTCGATAGCGACGAAAGCCTGCAGCAGCACAGACAAGCAGCACCCGCGCACACCTTCGACTGTAGATCTTGCGACCGTCACTACGGCAGCAAGCAGGCGTTACAGCAACACCTACGTGACTCTCCGGTTCATGCTCCGTCCTTCAAGTGTAAGGCCTGCGATCGATCCTTCAGTAATGAGCAGGCATTACAGCAGCATCTACGCGACTCTCCAGTCCATACCACGTCCTTTGACTGTGATGACTGCAATCGATCTTTCGATAGCGAAGAGGCGTTGCAGCAGCACCTGCGGGATTCACCAGCGCATGCCCTGACCTTCGCCTGTGAGACTTGCAGTCGATCCTTTGGCGATGAGCCGGCATTACAGCAACACCTACGCAACTCCCCGATTCATGCCCCGTCCTTCGACTGTGAGACTTGCAATCGATCCTTCGGCAGCAAAGAGGCTCTAGATCAGCACCTACGGGACTCTAGTATTCACCAGAAAGATACCGAAACCCCTTTAGATGTCTTTTTCCGCTCCTTCCCAGAGTTCGATTATGACCCTTCTCTCCCACCAGCTACTTCGTATGCCAACCTACAGAGACAAGAAGGATGGAGCCGTGGCAACCCTGCGTCAGACGATGCGTGGAACAGATATCAAGACGCGCTGCAAAGCGAACTGCACTTGTGGTACGGTGCAGAGGACGATTTGAATGCGTGGCATGCGCTTTGTCGCCCAATCGGTATCGAGCCGCTTCCGAAAACATGCGAGCAATGTGAGGAGGTGGGAGACCTTGCAACGAAAATCGGTGGATTCATGCTGACGCGGGTAAATAGGCTGCACGAAGGACACACGTTAATATCATTGATTTGATTGAATGGGGACGAAGTGGGAGTAAGGGAAAGGTTCAGACCTTCCGAAATTTAACAGAGCTGCAAATTTATACCAAGGATACACGCAAGATATTTCGCAACACGTTAGATCAAGAAGGTGAAGGTGGTAATGTTGTATTGAGACACCTGCTTCGAAGGATCTTCTGAGAGAGCTTATGAAAAGCTCGAGTGGGGAGTATATACTGGAGATGTGAGGCGATAGGGTCGATGCTGACTTGAATGCAACTTGGATTGTTTGCAATTCTCGTGCTTAGACCAAGTTATAAAGTATCTCAACAGAAATGTCAAGTTGAAAATTGTTAGATATTAGTATAAGTTATCGAAGTGTTCACGTAAAAGGTAAATTCTACCTAACCTAGTAATCAAATAGGTACTTAGGCCGAAGCAAACCTCATAGAGCTAAACATCAAGATATAGCATCTGACATAAGTATGTTGTAATTGACCCAGTGTAATGGTGATGTAAGAGAGCGAATTACTTGAACATCAGAACCCACGTACTATCGAAAATAACTTGACAGCAAGTTTATGAATTATTTCTGCACCTTCTAGACTCTTGATTCATATTTAACGTCTAGAGGTAAAGTCAAAACAATATATTATCATTTAAATCCTAATTAACTAGGTACCTAAGGTAGTTAATCATTTAACTAGTTGACTAGTTTGAAACTTGTTAAACACTTACCATTTGTATACAACTATTTTCTATTAAATACTACTTAACTAGTACATATCCCTAAACTCTATACAATGGCCTCAACCCCTGATATTAGTAAAATTACGCGGATAGGCATCGTCGGGGCCGGTAATATGGGTACAATGATGTCTTTCGGCTTTTCCGAGCACGGCCTCGACGTTTCCGTATGGGACGTCTCAGAAAAGAATGTTGATCAAGCTCGTGAGATGGCAGGACAGACGAAGACACTGAAGGGCAAGATCGATCATTTCAAAGATATCCACGAATTCACCAAGAGCTTAGATTCACAACCGCGGAAGATCTTCATCTTCTCTATTACGCATGGCTGGCCCGCTGATTCAGTCTTGGACAAGATCAGAGATGATCTAAAAGCTGGCGATATTATACTCGACGGCGGTAATGAGAACTATCGTAATACTGAACGACGTCAGAAGGAATTGGAGTCAAATGGAGTCAAATGGATTGGTATGGGGGTTAGCGGCGGTTACCAGTCCGCCAGGCGCGGACCAAGTATGTCGCCAGGAGGTGACCGCGAAGCCATCGAGTTCGTCCTTCCACTCTTAGAGAAGTTCTCCGCCAAGTCTCCGGTTGATGGCAAGCCGTGCGTTCAATATATGGGTAAGTAACACTTTGTCTGTCTATCAGGACACTTTTCAATGCTAAATTCATCATGCATAGGTCCTCGTGGAGCCGGTCACTATGTGAAAATGGTTCATAATGGCATCGAGAATGGCATGCTTTCTACAGTCTGCGAAGCGTGGAATATTCTCCACAAGTCCCTCGGACTCCCGTATGATGAGATAGGAAAGATTTTCGAAAAGTGGAATTCCAAAGGCGAGCTAAGGAACACCTACTTGATTCAGATCGGATCGGAGATCTGTCAGAAGAAAAAGACTCCTAGTGGTGACCAGAAAGGGGAAGGAAAAGGAGAGAGCGGATATGTCTTGGATGATGTTCTTGATAAAGTCGTGCAGGATGACGATAGCTCGGAGGGTACCTTGTTCTGGACAGTCATGGATGCAGCTAGTCGACACGTCGCCGCACCTACGATTGCAACTGGCCATTTCTTCCGCGTAGCCAGTGGAAACCGGGCGCAGAGGTTGAAAGCTGTTGAAAACTTAGATATCCCGAAACCGCAGCGTGTGGACATAAAAGACAAGGACGAAATCGTCGAGAATTTGCGTAGATCAGTCTATGCGTCCTTTCTCTGCTCGTTCTGTCAGGGTCTCGAGCTTATTGCACGGGCGTCCAAGGACGAAGGTTGGGATGTCAACTTAGGCAAGTGCATACAGATCTGGAGAGCTGGTTGTATCATTCAAGAAGACTATATTGCCGATATGCTCGAACCGATCCTACTTAACGCAAAACAGCCCATCATGAACATGAAGCTCATCGATGAGGTGGCTACCGACTTACGAAAGAACTTCGACGCGCTAAAGCAAACTACGTTAAAGGCTATCGAATGGGACAACTACGTCCCTGCTATCAGTGCTAGTCTGGAGTACGTAAAGTATGTGGGCGGAGGGATGCTGGCAACCCAGTTCATGGAGGCGGAGATGGATTTCTTTGGTGCACATGCTTATGACAGGCCGAACGTGAGAGGAGAGGACCCTGGAAAGCCTTCAAAAGGGGCTCACCACTACGAATGGCGTCCTGCTTGAATTACTACTGTAGAAGCTCTAAATAGGTCTTTATCATCTGATCTATGAGTCTAATTCGTCTGCTCCCCTGGAACAACAGTTGGTGTCTCTGGGGAACTGGGGAAGGGTTAGATCGCGTGGACCTACCATAACCTCTGAACACAATAGCCACGAGGAGCTTGAGATGCCTAGATTATGCATACCCACCCATTTCATTTTCATGTGCTCATAGTCATAGACTATGTATCTTTTGTAAATTCTGCGGATATTTCTAGACTTCGTAGCTTATAACCGCGTGGCCCCGGTGACTCAAGTCCTAGCGCCCACAATGAAGTTCGTACACAAGGACAGGTACTGTTAGGAATCCGTGCTCATTAGTTGGTGAGTCATCGCCGATATATGTTTTAGCATCCGTCCCAAACCAAGCTGCCAACTCCAACACCAACACTATCAGATCTCGGCCCGAGGATCCCTCCTAGTATAAGTCCTTTGTCCCGACAACGGTATCGAGTCACGAATGAAGAAATGTGTTTCTTTGTTCAAGGATAAACCGCCTCAGGGATGCGAGATGGAATTATCTGGATCACAAGGGAAGGTTGAAGTAATAGGCCCTAAGAAGTAATGGTTTAAGCAAACTTTTCCAACTGCAACTAGGCAGCAAGCTCCATTTTCATCGCCCCAAGCGGATCCATACCGCAGGCCTGGGTTAGTTGCTTGTCTCCAGTTCCTAGACACAACCCCGGGTTAGTAGGTAGGTGCTGACCACACGATCACGATGGCTTACTGGTGTCATATACAAGTCTGAAGTTTTTTCTTTCTTTTTTCTCAGTCAAGAGATCTTCCCCGCAAACATTGATAGCCTATAGATCTAATCACTTAACCTAGATAACTACACGTACTTGACTTGTCTTTCGCCTCCGTAAGCGCGCCAACTTTGACCGTGAGCAAGCTGCAATACCCTCTTAAAGCCGAGACTGTGTTATATTGTTCACGTGCTAGACGATACCTTTGATATCGCCTATCAGCTTACTAGTGGGGGCCGAAGTATAAGGGGGGCCTGTGAAGCGCGTCGCGGAAGGACGGTTGACCCTTGCGGCACACTTCCCCGCATATTTTCGGCATCATGTGGTTTCGCGCGGGCATGTCGTGTCTCTACGTATACGATTACTTGCCGTCGGGACTCCTTAGTTCTCCGAGATGCCTATGTACCAAGATCTTTGTAGTCATGTTATAGTTGCCTTCACGACCGTGCTCACATCGTCTCGGGCCTTCGGGTTCTATGGGGAGGTCAAGCCGAAAGACGCTCATAACGAAACAAGGCTGAAAGTTTCGCATCTTATCGCCCTTTCTTGCCTGTCCCCTAAAAGGTACATACCCACTACACACAGACTGCTATCTTGGCGATCCGATATGGAGTATACTATGGATAGAATAGCCTACTCATTCATATGACGCCATTGGTGATATTTTGGGAGGCTGACCATTAGTCCAATGTACAGCCGGGCAACCTGTACATAAGCCGAGGGCGGTGACTCTTCGCACTGTAACTACTCGTTGACCAACGCAAGGTCACTTCACAGCCGTGTATTCCGTCGAATATACATACAAGCGGCTTGCTATTACTCAACTTCGTACATACGCGGTGTTATCGTTACCTCATCAAAGTAACTGATATCATCCTATGTACAGCAACATCATGATAGGATCATGATCACGGTCACACCACAACAAATTTGATTATACCAATTGATGCTCTTACTTTCAGCACGACTTGCGATGTAGTGGAAGGACATTCACCGAGACGGCTGCCATATGCAATTATCTCAGCTGTCTAGAATATAGGAGAAATACTACATTAAGTGCTGTAGGCAGGCTAATAAATATTTACTGCGTAGGGCTCAGCCCTTAGATGGCTTAATCCTTTCCATTCATCCAATAAACAGGTCTCAGGTCTCCTAATATAGCAATGAGATGCTTCGCTGCTGCCTAGGAGGGTCACTTAGGTACCTGGACTATTGTTGTCCTTAGGCATTCCGTCTCAGAACTACAGCCGTATGCCAAATACCTAGACGTAGTGTGGTACTGAGGCTTACTATGCAATACATGGTGCAGACTTGTCTGACAAGCGGGGGCTGGCGGGGAGTTAGGATCGTAACTTTGGCGTCGCAAAACTTCGTCGTAACGGATTTTCTTCTATTCTTTTTGCGACGCTAATAAGTTACAGAAGGGTTCTAGAATAGACGAGAAGAGCGTGGCTCGCACGCTGGATCCTATGCCGGGCGTCGAAGGGTTCCTGAAAAATGGAAGGATCGCATTACCTGTTCGGACACTTGTCCGAATATGCACATAGAGCTTTTCTCTTTGTAGCCTAGGTCGGAAGACTGGAGGGATTGCTGGATGACAGATCACTTACACATTTATGCTGCAAGTTTGATTAGTTACCCTCCTATTGCCTTATAGGGTTATAACGTGTATCAATAGGGAATCGTCAAATCCCAAAGCGTCCATCTCAATCAGGTGCCATATTACGTTTGACGATTCTAATGTTGCTGACCAACGCCTCGTGTTGATAGGCGGCGTTAAGCAAAAAGTACCTAGGTAACCTACGTAACGATATTATAGTCTAATAAAGGCTCGGCTCTCCGGGAGTGCGAAAATCAAATCTCCGTATTTCTCATCTAGATCGGCCCCATCGCTATGTAAGTGCAATCAATCTCTCTAAAACTAATAATCCACACAGCCTACGGCGTTTGTTAGTGGCCGAAAATATGGAAATCTTGGGACCGTCGAACTGTCCGTAGGTCCCGAATCTTGGCTCGCATTTTGGTTTGTCAGTTTGTTGTGGATACTTTCAACTGAGAGAGAGGGAACTGATGGGGTCCAAGCCTCACGGATGACGAAGATACATCCGAAAATTTAAGTTGTATATTGTCTTGTCCAGTCTTTTCTGGAGATTAGACTGCTCGTGATGAGAAGTAGAAGTAGAAATCGAAGCAAAGAAGAAATCGAGAACTGTGAACGCGCAATTGTCTGCTTTGTAATGATGGCAGTGCTTCTCCAGGATCCGGCTATTCGTATCTGGGCTGCCTGCAAGTCAATTATTATAGTATGCAATGCGGGGGACGTACGGAAACGGAGACGACGAAGATACACTAGGGAGTCTGGAAGTTCCCATAAGTTGGGATGTTTATCATAATCGATTAGGTACACAGACTGACAGACTGAGCCTCTGTCAAAGCCTCGGGATGTACGTATTACATACAGGGGTAGCACGAACACATATTACATACTACTAGCTGAAGCCAGGTTTCACACGCTGGCGATGAATATGAAGAAAATGTCTCGGAGATGTTGCCTACCTTTTGCACAAGAAATTACGTGAGGTAGGGTATAAGTACACTATAGATCTTGGAAGAGTAAAGTGCCCCCCCTACAAATTATTAACCAGATCAACCCCTCCATGAAGCATAACAAGAGGTCTTAGGTGTAGGTGGGATTGGGCGGTGCAGGATGTTAACTGTAATTTACTCATGCTGACGAATTTCTATTGGATATTTCTATGGAATATACAAGTGGCTAGGGCATAAATCGGATACGTCTTAAGGAGGCGGGGCTAAGTAACTCCCTCATGCTACAAGAGAACACGATGCATCGTGATGTTTTGTATCTTAAAAGAGTACACACATACCTACACAACACTGGTAACCACCAGTAACCAATGTATGGTATACGCTACCATACGTATTCCCCAGTGGAGCTTGAAGTCTCGATTTAGTATGTGCGCGTGGTTGAGCATGTGGTTGAGCGCGTGGCATGTGATCATGTGTTGCTGTCGGGTCAGGAACCATGTTGCGCCGAAAGATTCTGGTCATCCCTAAAGCAGATGCCTATCTTCAAGGTTGCTGGCTGACGATTAGGTGTAGAGTTTGCGCCCGTGAGTTGTTACATATGTGTCCTAACGTAGAACTCTCTACCATGATGGAATATAACAAGTACCTAACATATGAAGATGTCGAATACATACCTACTTTCCATAAGTACTACATAGTAGCCAGTAGACGCCATGATCCACTACAACATGATAGAAACCAATTAGGTGTCGGTGGAATCACCGGAAGAAAGCGGAGTGCATACAAAGTTACATACCTCATAGTTAACTGCAATATGAACCTCCCTCCTATTCCCTCCAATAGATAGAATATTACATAGTATAGATGGATAGAATGGCGGCTTTTAAGAACCCGCGCGGTAATTAATGAATTCATAGAGGCTAGATTACCGATGCGACCATCATGAGATTTTGATCTGAGGGTGCGACTATCGGTATCGTAATATACGGGCGCCTGTCCTCCTTGGTCCTTGATTTCGTCCTTCCTCGGAAGTGCCTCACGTAGAGATTGGTCCTATGAATTCAAATAGTACTTTTTCGTACCGTTCCATACCACCTAGTTATCGTTAGGTGGTGTCTATCTAGGCATTTCCTAAAGATTTATTTCTTGAAGCAGATGAAATCTCGGTATGACCTATTGAAAATTTTCACGTCCAACATCCAGCGAGGCACAATCGTGTGTAGATTGCGTTACTCCGATTTCGCGCTGAACCACCAAGTAGGTCTCGCCAAAGTCCGGTTCTTTTGGTTCGTGATACATACAGGCGGGATCATTGGAGTCGAGAAGGTTTTTAGCCAAGTAAGTTCGAGTTGAGTCATCGCAGCGGGTTCTGGGCTGTGAACTAGCACTTCGTGTTTAATTGGTTGCTGTTGCAAAGGGTGTGGTCACTGTAAAGGGCTAAATCTGCGGGAACGAGGTTTTGTTTCGCGATGGCCTCGAATCCCTGCCGATACAATTGATTGCGCATAGCAAGCGGTGACAATCATACCCTATTTGTTAACCCCCCCTTAAACCCCCAACGAGACCGTCAGAAATGTAGCGTAGTAGCTGAGTAGGCGGATTCCACTGAACGGAGATGTCAGTTGTCGTCATGGAGGACAATTGTCTGGCTTTGTGAAGCCTTTGGCATTTCTGGTTGCGAACGCCTCTGAGTCCTTTGAAAGCCCGAAGGATAGCCTGAAGGAGAGCCTGAAAGTTAGGTATGTTACTCTGCATGGTGGAAACGACTCCGGATCAACAATAACTGTTGAGATTTGCCTCGAGTTACTGTGTAATATGATGCCCCTCAATACTGCCACTTCTCGAATCGCCCTAATTGGTGCGACGCGCAACGCAGGCTTGAAATAGCGGCCTCTGTACTCTTGTGTCTGCTGTACGAAAAATACTACAGAATTAGGTCTAATATTTAGGTCTAATATTGGTCTCATACACGACGTTTATGCCACACGCCAAGTTGGGTTAGTAGCAATAGCGTTTATTGGTTATCTATAAAGTTGTCCTCTCATAGTATCCCGCTGCTTGGGCAACATTCGGAAAGCTCATTTTATATCATAGGTATCGTGAACCTGTATTATTTTATAGTAATGGGTTACTAGTGGCAAAAGGGTGTTGGTTCTCTGCTAGAAGACATGATAGAAAAATTTGGGGGTCTTGGCTGATATTTAGCTCATATGTTATTCGTTCCTTATGATCTTAGCGATGTAGAATTTTGGTATGAGTGACTCGTCATGATGATCTGATTCACTTCAGTTACGCGTCTTTATCCTCCGGTTTGAGAATATGAGTTTACATTAGAATGAGGATGAATCTCTTCAACACGTCTCATTGCCTCACCCGTAGTTTCATCATCTTCCGAATCTCTCCCTTCCCCTCTTAAGAAATGCACCATTGAAAACTCAAATGTACTAACTAATAAAATAACGAACGATATATTTGAATTATTATTTGAGATATGATTAAATATCGTTGCTGTAGATAAGGAGTGGCTGAATTTCTTTTAGTAAACCAAGTAACTGAGCTGCGCCCGATGGAGAACCCTGGCTTTCTGGTGGGCCAATATGTATTTTGGGCAATTTGGCCCGCCGTAGAGTTACAAAAGACGGGATCCATACGGATGACTCCTATCCGAAACAAGTAGTGAGTCTACATGCTCGTAGAGGGGAACTCGTGGCAAGCAGCAATGACACAACACTCTTACATTAGTTACGGCAATACCTAGATGACTCTAATCTTGATTCAGTATCAGAGTAAGGAGACCTCGTAGATGCTTGGCTTCAGGTTGTTTATTCATGGCCTAAGTCAATAAGGCTGCGAAATCGAAACAAGAATAAGGGCCCAGAAGGGCTGAGGCAAAGTTGATTCTCATCTAGGCTGATAAGACTTATAGCATAGGATGTGTGACCCGTCTCGCAGGGAACCACCTGGAGAGAAAACAAGGGTCCAATTACATCTAGCTTAGATACGATGTTAGAAGCAGCTTTTTAATACGAATTACTCGTGACAGTCAGTTTTTATCAAGGTTTATGCAGGCTATCGTTGGACAAGGAGAGTTGGCTGCGCTGACGTATCCGAGGGCATGGTACTGGACGTTTCCAGACCAGAGTTCTGGAGTTATTCGGATTCGGCTTCGTCCTAAGAGAAGGGGAAAAAGAATTTGATAGTTGCAGGGTAGATGTTACACCAAATTAACACAGTTAGTGAAGTCCTGCCGCCGCCCTTTCGGTGGCAATGAATCAAGCTGCCCGAAGCAAACTTTAGAGCCTGGTTGTCTTTTTTTTTATTGCTTTAATTTCACAGGGCTTCCCATAGAAATAGTATTGCATGCTCAATAACCAACGGCGGAACATAACTGCAAGATAGATGAATAGGTAGCTAGCTAGCCGGCTAGCAATTCTCCTTTCCGGCGAATATAGCGTGATTGATGGTAGTAAGTGGCCAGACAGTCAGCTACCAAGCCAACTAATGCTGTTACCAGGCTTGATATATGTGGCCGTCCATCTAATAAATACTATTGCGTAGATGCTTGGTTGGTTTTATTAATGGTAGCAGGTCTACAAGCTGCAAGACGGGATGGAAAGGGGTGATGGCGGAGGAGAATAATAACGAGGGTTTGTTGATGGAGGGGTGGTGTGGAGGGATGATGGATGACTCTTTTCACAACCTGCCATCGTTCCATTGTCTAACAGAAGGTTTTATGTATTCTCTTTCAAGTTTTGCTAACCCTTGGCATCCTAGCAGCCTACTACGACCAAGCTTGCTATAAAGTTGCAAGTGTTGCTATAGCGCCAATAAACTGTTTAGAGGTATGTATGTATTTAAAAAGCCTTGGATATGCCCGACTTTTAAGAACTTTAGGAACTTTAGAAACTTAGGTTAGGTACATGTATGTATTTACCTACCTACATACATATATCGGTACATGTGGGTATAAACAGCACATTAGGTATGTATTATGTACGCAGTTGACATGGGTTTGATTGTACGTAGGGTACCTAATGTAAACACCAATCACAACATTATGTATTATGTATTAATCCAATAAGAAAAAGGTTAGTGTTGCCAGCAAAAAGCCACTATTCCCGATCTAGGGTAGTATTTTCATACATGATGTACTGTGGCTACAGGTGCATATGTGGAGGGTGTCTTTGAAAGGCGAAACACCCCAGCCTCGTCACTGAATGGCTCGTCATTATTCTAAAAAAGAGGGGCTAATCGTATAATTGGCCAGGTCAGGATTTGCTTCGTGGTTTACAATTATGTACATGTTCATAGGTATCCTAAGCCAACTTAACCCCCCCAAAAGTACTGCCGACTAGATTTTACGTCGCTGTTATTCAAAACTCGTCGGTGCCCCAAGCGTCGGCAGCTTTTTCTCATTTCCCTTTCTCTCCTATCGAACAAGGCCGCCGCAATGTTCGATTTGAAGATTTAGACGAAGACAAGGCGACTTTCTTGAAAGTCTGCTCTCGAGTATTATTGTAGAAGATCAATATACGAACGAATAGTCTTTTACTATTTATTTTTATTTTTATTTTATTCGATTTATCCACTTCCGTTTTGCTCCAACCGACCATCTCCCCTCTTCTAAGGCCTCTCTCTCTTATTCGTCTCTTTCTCGATTCCCAGTGGCATTAATTTGCACTCTTGCTATCAGAAAGATTCTAACTTGGAAAAAAGAAAAAAGAAAAAAGAAAAAAAGAGGAGTCTATCTATTAGACACCTTTAAGAAAAAAGAAGATATTGAACGAAGCAATTCAAATATCAAAAAAGATTTGTATTCTGATGCAAGTTAACAGTCTTACGACAATTATTACTACTACTATTATTCCTCCCTCATTCTAGACCAACGGACCATCACACATTAAGATTTGAGATTGCTCACTCAAAGGATACGCCGTTTGCATCATTTTCGACTCACGTTACCTACCACCTAATTGTACAGTTATTTTTTGTTCGACCAAAAAAAAAAAAAAAGAATTACCCATCTCTTCTCAGCTCTTTGTTCTTTGGTCAATCGCCACTGCCTCCTCTGGATCTGGACCCATTCCCAGGCTTCCACGCGTGTGACCGTCATTTTTCCTGGCAACGTGCTAGTTCAAGGTTGGGAGTCACTCGGGAGACCCATATATACAGTCTATATTCGGCGCCTACGTTAGCCGGCACAGTCTAGCCACCTAAGCCATCCTAGCTTATCTTAGCGGGTCCGGGGCTTTCTCTTTCAGCATCTGAGCACCTACCACCCCTAAAAGGTTCAAGCAAAGACCACCTGTACAACAGCCCACATAGCGGTAATGATCGGAGTCTTCGCCACCTCACACCTGCAAAAGAGTCATCGCATAGGTACCCAAAGGCCACTTTAGACTTTAACTCACCCTGTTACTTTTTCGCCTTCACTCTCAACTTTTTTTACCCTTGGATTCGGAACACGCGACTCATTGACCCTCTCCGCTCCCTCTTGATTCATCCGTTGTCGCCTGGTTCGCCTCTGATATAACTTCACTTTAAAAAAGACCCTTGGGGTCGTCCTGTTTTCCAACTGATCTCAGGAAACGGAAATTACTAGCCCGCATATGCGCATTTCGTTAGTTAGCAGATCAGTGGTTGCAGCCTATGTTGTACCTTGCATAAATCCATCTTACGGAACTTCAAGAAGACTTCTAGTCCCCAATTATAACCAATCCGACGTCACTCAAATATTCGAATCGCGCCGACTCCCAATAATCGATTAATACATACAATAACTTATACATACTTACACACGACATACGATATACGATACACGTCTCAGTCCTCGACGCGCCGCAATAACCCGCAATAACCCGCAACAACTCTCACTTACTATAATTTTTTTCTCTCCACCCTTCTCTTTCTCTTCTTGTGATACCTTTAGTCCGGTAGGCGCTCAGCTCGATGCAGATCTAGCTGGTGCGACTACTGTCACTACCTCGAAACTTTTGTTTCCTTAGTAGAAACAAACAACCACACCATGCAGCTTGCGATAGTCATTTCCTCTACTCCAGTCGTCCGTCTTGCTCAGTCTTCCGGTTTAATCGTTCGTGAAACTTTGGTTACTAGCACTCACGTCTAGAAACCTCCCTTCTTTTTCGACTTTTCGGTAGCCTCATAACAACAAATATATGTTGTTGTGAAGCCTCGTACTCGATAAGATTCCACCATCTGTTTCTCGGTATAACGATCTAATCGGTTGACTTTGCTTAACGGGCGACTGGAGGTTTTAGTCTCGAAGACATTGACCTCTTACTTTCTCCCAAGATGATGTGCAGCGAACATGATTCGCTGGATTTTATCAATTCCTCCCTCAATGGGCCATATAATTCCTCTATAGCCTCTTCCGCCTCCTCATCCTCAGCCTCGGTCTGGTCCGAAACTTCATCCCAGGCCTCCGACGATACCTCCATCTCTACATGTATTTCTGACGCGTCGGAACGATGCGATTCTTATGCTTATATTCGGCCATCTATGCCGTCTCAATCTGATGTTTTATGTAACCAGATTTTACCTACTGCCTGTTGGAGAGGACAACCGCAACAAACCGAAGTTCCACAAGAATTGCGGCAGAATCCGCGCCGCACCAGTAGCAGTGCGACGTCTAGAACCGGATGTCCTCCATCCCTGACTCGCCAAAGCGATCGGAAGGTCAACTTTGTCGATACTCTCGTCGGTAAGCAGTAACGATGTATCCCCCAAACCCATATTCTCGCGCTCAACCCCCTACTTTAGATTCATCGACACAGATAGTTGAAGCAATTTGGCCTTTGTCTTCTGTTTTCCACCGGCAGGAACTTGGTAATAAGGCCGTTCTGCCGCTACGTACTTTTATCCAAGAAACGTTGCGCCGCTCACGTACGAGCTATTCTACGTTGCAAGTTGCGCTGTACTATTTAATACTGATTAAGCCACATGTTCCTAAGCACGATTTTACCATGGAGCAGCCCGACGAAGTTCATGCGAACCGGGTACTCCAGTGTGGTCGCCGAATGTTCCTTGCTGCTCTGATTCTTGCCTCTAAATATTTACAAGACCGAAATTATTCGGCAAGAGCTTGGAGCAAGATTTCGGGGCTTGTGACGCAAGAGATCAACCAAAATGAAATGGCCTTTTTAATTGCCGTAAAATGGAAGCTCCATATCACTGACGATGTCTTCAAACGCTGGACCGAAATCGTACTGAGATACACACCACCGCAGCCTCCATCCGGGTCTGTTTGTTCTCAGATCTCAGAGCAACAGAACCAAGATTGGAAGAACTTGATCCTCAGTCTCGAACCCGGATTGGGTAACATCGAAGATCTTATCCCGCTAAGTCCCTTAATAACTAAGACACGAGACTCGACGCCAATCCCGCCTTTATCGAATCTTTGCGCCCAGGTAGACAAACTAACCTACACAAGCGACCCATCTACGCCGAAGACTTACAATATACCATACGTCATGGAGCCCGCACCGGCTACTGTACATACTCCAGGTCGTCTCGCACCAGCTCTGGGTCTACTTCCCACTCCTCGTCTAACACCACAGTCCATCGGGTTCAGCACTCCAGCTGCGAGTGCTGCCACTTGTCTCCTTAGTAGTAAGGGCTCGATGGGTTTTGCTATGGCGCAGGCTGCGAATGTAACTGCTTCGCAAAACTTGGATAGGTGGCCTGGGTCTCTCAGCTCCTCACCTCTAAGTTACGTTTCCACACGTCGCTCCTCGCTTGCTAATTCTATTTCAACGGCATCTTCGCCGGAATCGATGATCTCTGACTCGTCACGAACGTCTCGCTCATCCTCGATCTCATCAGCTTCCTCATTGGCTAGCGCGCCGTCCACCAAATTGGATGTTCAGGCGCGATGCCGATACGCGAAGCTGTGCAGTGAAAGGTACAGCCTAAGGCCAGTCATCGCTTCGGTGCCCGAAGACTACGAAGAGAATTGCATTACATCCTCTCCCGAATCTTACACCGGCCCGGTCAGTAAGGATTTGGTACAGATGTCATTGGAGACTCCATTGGCAAGAGGATGTGAATTGGACGAAACTGCAAATGCTGCTAGGGCTCTACAACAGCTTCAAAACCAACTTCAGAACTACCGCCCACAGCCTCGTCCTTCTACTAAGCTTAGTACGAAGCGTAGTCGACCGTTATCAATTGATAATTCGCTCCAAGAGAATGTGCGTGAAATGCTAAGCAGTCAGTGCTACGAAGAGGAACGCTCGGATGTAACGGTTCGCGGTCTCCCATCGACGGACCTAGGGAACCAACGGACGCCAGTTCTGTCAAACGGAGGCAGGAAGCGGATGTGTTGCTCGTATGATGCTCGGTCGTTCATCCCCTCGATCCACCCTGCAGTCGGCGGCCCCGGTGGGCCAGGAATGTGGGATGGCATTTTGAACTAGGAGCCATTCGCTAAGCTACGACTTAATGCGATGTCTACTACAAGCAACCTTTGTGACAATATCCAACTATTTCCTTTGTTTTACATCGGGAGAGGTTCGACGGTTCGTGATACCACATCCATATTTGGAAGTCACACATAGTCTATAGAGAACCCTGACGATGGCCAAAGCCCGGGCGAAAAGCTATTTTCACAATGCATGCATTTCCAGGATCACAGCATATCGGGACTGGTAAGGTGGGTAGTTGTTTGTGTACGAATGAACAAGGGAGGTGCGTTATTCTTTGTAATGGTGTTCGGGGGATAATCATAGTGGTGTTGAAGAGCAAATAATGGCTAAGGCAGTGGCGGTTACAGCCGCACCCACGGGATCAAGACAGGCGACTCGAGGAATAAGGCAATGTCGGCACTATGTGCGACGTCTCGAGCCGATCGTATCGTATCATACTGGAATATTTTTGTCTTTTCTTGATTTATACGATCAACGATATCGTACCCGCGAACCCGCCGAACGATATTTGGCAACCGTCGAAAAGCGGGCGCCGTTTGTCATTCGACCTAGTAGCTACGAGAAGCGCACTGGCATTATAATTTCTTACCTATCTGAGCCTGAAAAGGTGTTGCGCAATCGAGTATCAAAGAACTTCGAGTACAGAAAAAAAAGAGCAGTTTGCTAGAGAACTTTGAGAGAACCCAACCTCGCAGATAGTATTGAAATTTCAAATAAGCTTCGAGTCGGAACAAGAAAAAAAAAAGAGAAAGCTTTTTTGATGACCATTGTTGAGTGCAAGTTTGTTTGTTTTCATCTTCGTCTTCGTGCAAGATGACACCGAGTTACTGACTGCCGAGACTTGTGAAGTGTGGATCAAATAAAGAAAAGAACAAGACGAAATTATTCCCCGTTCCCGCTCATCCGTCACACAACAGCTACTCGTTTGATATTGGCTCGAGGTACCGAATCAGGATTTTCTCCTCCCCCCTGTTTGCTGATGTGAGGCAGGTCAAACGTACATTAATTGCTAAATCATCAAAATCTACCCGTGGGTCGGCCGGTGAGTCATCGTCAACAAAAAAGGAGCTGAAGCCCTTTTTTTCCCTTTAACTATTGGAACATTTAGTTGCCGAACCAACCAATTCGACCAATTAGTGCCGCTGAACGTTTCCTAACCAGAAATAGTTAATTACCATTTCAAGCAACTTTTCACCGCCAAGAAGCCCTGGCAGCCAATCAAGTATCTTAACCCTTGTATACGAATGTAAGTCTTGTTCCCCGTTTTTGTAATTTCAAGGTTGCAACATGACCATCGTGAGCGGATGTGTTTGCCTCCAGGCGTGAATGACACGCGCGCTTGATGCGCTGGTCGCTCGCGCTGGATTATGGGGCTACGCGAAACAGGCGACAGGGTCAACCTATTTACGACATGCCTGGTTAGTATGGTATGTCTGCCTACCTGATATATTAGTAAGTTAATCACTTCCATTTCAATGCGTTGAGTGCTATGGACATCTAGGTCCCCAACCCCCACGGCGTTTGCGGATACAAGAGCTGTCGTGTTCTTATGCTGCCTACCTACCTAGCTTTAGGTAGGACCATACCTGGTCAGGTGTAGGTAGGTACCTCTATGCATTACGAGACGATTATGTACCTAAGGCATAAAAAGAGGTGATGTAATAAACCACGAAGCTGACGAACTGGGTGGTTACATGAGGGGCGGGTTGTTACAGAGCACGGGCGGCTTGATCAAATAATAGGCATCTAGATCCTATTCTCGATCTTATCGGTGAGACAGACCACTTAGGTTAGGTAGATACCTATTCACTAGGTTACATATTTAGTAGTCATATAACTATTTTAAAGGCGAAGTGTAAGTGGAGATAAATACCTACCTATTTATACAGTTAAATGTGTAAGTGTGTAAGTGTGTTGTCGGACCTAACATCAGTCTTGCAACCACGCACCCCATCAGTACTGGACTTTACATCACGCTAGAGGTAGTTTGCATATATATATGACATACTAGTTCTCTTCTTCGGCTCTCATGATAGAACCCCTCCCCCCCAACCTTCTCCCTAGCTCCCAACGCTAGACCAACAACACCATCGCGGAGCAGTCGGAAGTAGGTATATAGGTGTGAGTGGGACCTATAACATCCCTCCCGTCCCATCTACCCTCCCGCCCACCCGTCTCACCTGTAAGCATACTTCGTAGTTCATCCGTATGTTAAATCAAAGGGCAACTCTTGGTGCTTGGCATACGCGTTGTTGGGAACCGCGGTACATATGCAGGGTTGACAAAGCTATCTCGGGATGGGGTTAACAGGATGTCCGAGATATATATAATATTGCAGTGAGGAGATTATGGTGTTACTTCGTGAGGAACCACGAAACCTGGGTATGAATGTGGTAATAATGACTGGAACTTATGTAAGGGAAGCCTTCTTCGCCTGCTACATCTTAGGATAAATCCTCCCCTAGGATAGACCGCTTAGTAATGTAGGGTAATGTAGGTATCCTGCCATATTCATAGGGGTAAAGTATAAAGCTAAGAACACATATCTTGACATTTCCATGGAGTAATTTAACTCCTCAAGTACAGATGTCTGTTGTGTCTAAGGCAGTAGAAAGAAGCAGATATTAGATAGAAGGTAGGTACGTATTTCAACGTGTTGATAGGCAGCCACTATTATGGTACGCAAGGTAATGCTATGGTATGGGTTTAGAACACTTTCCATCCTTTGTTTTAAGTTACTTCCTCTTCTCATTTAATTCTTATTTTTTTTCATCTTTCCTGTCATTCGTGGTTCAATAGCTTCAATTATAACTTATTTAAATTCAATGCCATATTAATTTTCAAGCCATTTACGAAATCTGTAGTGATAGCTCGTAATTTCTTCCTGTTATCCCCCATATCACATAAATATAAGATACAAGTTTCTAAATTCATGAACTCTTCCAATTATTTATAACGTATGTGACAATATTTTCGTTAAGGGAATCATTCGCTCAATAATTCCTGGCTAAAGTATGAAAGAAGGTATGTCAAAATTCAGCGGATGATAGTGGTCATACCCCTATTACCTATAAATAAATTAAAGGGGATTTTCTGAGATAAAACTTATAATTAGACTAAACTTTTTAGATGAGACGTATTGGACGGATAGATAGTTTGAACAATTGTATGATGGTAATTTGTGTATAACGACCACTACTTGATATGCAGAACGAAATGAATAGAACTTCGGGTAGCAACAGAAGACAGCGGGTGCCAAACGTGCTACCTATTTATTATATGATCTAAGAACTAGCTAACATTGTATTGCAGCCCAAGTATATACCTAAGGTGTTGGAAAAATACGAACGCTTACGCCTCCCACTCCCATTTCCCTACGGCTAATTGATCCAGCTTTAAATGACCTCGAGTTCTCATAGATACCTAAGTCTGCCTTCTTGTTCACAACCGCTTCTTTATTGACCCATGTGACTTAACATCGGCCTATCGAATTATTATGGTAGACTGGACACAGAAATTCTGGATGTGGAATCGCAATTACCTCAGTCCTTTCACCATCATCAAGGATGAGACTTGATTAAGTTGGTAGTCTGAAACCTGCTACTGGACCTGGACTCTTGAATTCGCCTGCGATATGGTAGACGCTTTTACGCATCTATTTATGTGCGAGGCGTTCTAACGCCAAGTTTTGTGACATTAGGGCACATGCACATGTACATGCATATGCATATGTCATCAGGCAGCAGGCAGCAGCAGCAGGCAGCAGAGCTGAAGGCGGGGGATGTGAGATCTCCTCTCTGTTAGAAGCAGAATCTGGCATGGAACATCAAAAAGACCAAATACCTTCCAACAACTCCATTGCTAGCTATATCGATACCGACAAGGAGGATGACAATTGAGGAGAAAAACGTGGTTGGAGACAACGACAATGGAGAACTAAGAGGAGAGTATAGATTTAGGAACAGGCCACATTTAGTACAGAATACTATTTCAGCAGACCGAACCCACGATAGCGAGTTTCAACTCGCAGCTCAAATATTACAGGCCATACAACCCGACAAAAAGGTACAAGGGCTTAAAGATCGTGAGGATATCAAGGTTACCGATTCCACGACACCCAGACTCGATAAGGAAATAACAGGTAGTGAGCACGCGCTCGCAGATTATCAGATGCAATTGATGCTTCTCGAGCAACAGAATAAAAAAAGACTAACGATGGCTCGTATGGAGCAAGATGCACAAATCAGTCACCAACAAACAACTGTTCAGAGCCCGGGAGTTGAAGACTACTACAAATCTAATCTTCAGTCTACCAGTTCAGAAGCAGCTTTTGCTCAGCATCCCGTGTTAAGCAATTGTTCCCGCTTAATATCAACAGTGTTAGATACGCCAGAGGAATCCACTGTAAATTTGTCGGCTTTGAGAGAAAGCTTGAAGAGTCTGCAAGCATGTATATCAGACTTCTGCACAACCGGGGTGCTCCCACCACCGGAGCCTAGATTCCAGAGAGTATATCGCGTGACAGCTCCAAAAGGCCCTAAGCGGATGTATCTTGATGAACCACAGTGGATGGAGGGCGAAAACGCAAAGGGTGAGGCTTTGGCGGGCAATCTTCCAGTACGAGACATACAGTCGTATCTTGAAAGGAACCCGGAAATTTGCTTCGTTGTATACAGAGACTTTTCTGTCCCCGTCTCGAGAAAAAGGGGTATCGATCATACCTTATCCGTGCCAAAACACGACACGGAGATGATAGAGACAACTACTGCGGATCTAACCACGACTGTTACGAAATTCATGTCGTTCTATGGCTTCAGTACAGACGTCATGGGTGAAATAGGGAGGACAGATGCTCCAGATCGACATTTTACCGATGTCGATGGCTCGACCGAGCTTTTAGCTCCATATCCTGCCTTTTACCACGCCTCGAGACAATCCATGGGTCCGTTCCTCGAGTCACTGGAAAACCCGGAGAAGCAACAGTTTCAGTTATTACTTGATTATGTTATGTCTAATTTTGAAAATGAGTACGATGATGCCGAGAAAATAATTGGAAGCGGTAGAATCACGAAACGATACTTTCAATACCTTTTCAAACCTGGCGACGTGATCGTGCAGAAAGAGACCGATGAAGCAAGGGGCCTCATATGCAGTTCCTGGGTTACCGAAGATCGAATCAAAGACGGCAAAAGGAAGACGCCGGGAAAGGCATCGATGATAAAATACACTATTCAAGCTCGCCACTGGACCTTTGATGGAGTATTTTCACATAAGTCGACCCATTTAAAATGGGAAATAGATGACAACTATAATTCGAAGCTGGAAATCAATGGCTTGAACATTTGTCCTTTAGACTATGTGGACGAAAACCTAAGAGCTAAACTGCAACGCAGGGGGGAATGGATCTGGAAGTGTCGTACGAAGCAGCTAGTATCATATCATGAAGATGAAAATCGACAGTTACACGATTCGGACGACGAAAGATATATGATCGACATGATGGTATATCGTGAGTTGCATAAGCCAGATAAGAAACGCGATATTACCCGGTGGATATCCCCAGACCACCCAGAGACAGATGACCTGAGTCCCGAAGCGATGAAGCGAGACTACCCGCCTTCTGACGAGTTTTTATACGTATTGCCTTCGATTATCAAGGGCTTCAACCTTAAGAAGAAGAAATGGTTGGATCTAAAGGTCGATAATTTAGGCGAAGTAGTATGGAATAAGACGGCTTTTGAGAGACTTGTTCTTGAAGAGAAGACCAAGAAATTGATTCTGGCTCTCGTCAGCGACCAGGTGGAATCGAAGAGGTCAACAGATCTCATAAGTGGCAAAGGGAATGGCTTAATCATGTTGCTTCATGGAGGTCCCGGCACAGGCAAGACTCTGACAGCTGAGAGTGTGGCCGAGATTGCCCGGAAGCCACTCTATCCTGTTACTTGTGGTGACATCGGAACGGAGCCAGAAGCTGTCGAGAATTATCTCGAGTCCGTTCTGCATCTCGGAAAGACCTGGGGGTGTGTTGTCCTATTAGATGAAGCCGACGTGTTTCTTGAACAGCGTAGTCTCCAGGACCTTCATCGGAATGCGCTGGTATCCGTGTTCCTTCGAGTACTCGAATATTATGAGGGGATATTGGTTTTGACGAGCAATAGAGTCGGCACCTTCGACGAAGCTTTCAAGTCGCGCATCCAGTTGGCTATCCACTACAACTATCTGAGCTTTAATGACCGCTCTAAGATCTGGGGAAATTTTATCTCACGCGTACAGGACTTTGAAGAAGAGGTTGGTACCCAGCACAATAACTATGGGCGAGTAGTTAAATATACTTCGAGAACTTTGCTAATTCAATCATGTAATAGGAGATTGATGCTGCCGATCTAAAAGATCACATCAAGGACTTGGCCCAGTTTGAGATGAACGGAAGGGAGATCCGGAACGCCATCACGAATGCACGGCAGTATACCCGATGGGAACGAAAGCAGCAGCAAAATCCGGAGAATTGCAAGCTTGATTATGCGAAGATCAAGCTTATCATCGATACTGCTAGTAAGTTTGATGATTATATCAAAAAGTTGAATGGGGGATATAACTACATCGCGGTAGATGATGGGCTAAGGCTCGAAGGTTGAAGGGGGTGACAATCCGTCAGCCTCTAAGGGCATCTTCTAAGACGAGTTATTGGCTGACTACATGATGGCAAAAAAGATTATTCTTAGATCTTAGAGCCTAGATCTAAGCTGATATACGTATTTTCCTTACCTTTGTTGGTTTCCTTTTTCTATTTACGAATACACTATGTCATGTTTCTTTTTTTATTCCCGGGAACTTCATAGGCCGTAGATCATACACTCTCTTATCTTAGCCGCCAAGATGCCACATCACGTAAATGGGCACTATTTAAGTAAGGGTCAAAGACGCAGGAGAGGTTACATTGGCATGCAGTGATGATCCTCCCGTCTTATTTCCATTATCTACCCTAGACACTCGCTCAGCATCAGCGCAAGGTAGAATAAATTGATAACATAGGTCACTACCCGTCTAATATCGCCCAATATCACGGTCTCGTGTGGGTTCTTAGAGTCATTATAATACTGCGTCTTCATTTTCTTACTATCGTATAATTTTGAACACTGAGGGGTAGAGTGGCGGGTACTACCATCAACACTTCAATCCTCTCCCTTCAACGTGCACATGTCTGTGTAACTAATAAACATCATGGACTTGATGAACACATCGGATGGGTCTTGTTGGCCTCTGGCGCATTTAAAAAGAGATACTAGACCGGTTTCCCCGGTTAAAATTACCTCGCCCAATACACCGTCGCCGCCCGAAGTCGAAGAGTATGCGGCATCAGAGAACGAGAACAAGGAAGACGAGGGGAAAGCTCCTAGCCCCTTCCTAGCCCTCCCCTTAGAGATCCGTCTCGAGATCTTCAAGTACCTACTCGTCCTACCCTCAAACGCCCCCTCTCCTTCGCAGAAAACATACTACCAGTACGGGCAACGTCGGACGCCGTCGCCGCTGCACCCAGCAATACTGCGCGCAAACCGGCAGCTGCACGCCGAGGCGTTACCTCTCCTATATCGGCGCAACACTTTCCTAGCGCACGACACATTATTAACATCGCTTCCCCGACTACGCCGTGCCTACGACCCCGTGCTCTCGGCGCGCCTCTCCGGCCTTATAACCCGTTTTCACGTGTGCGTGCGGCTGGACGCGGAGCCGGTGTACGACCGCGCGCAGGCGGCGATGCAACTGAGTAATAAGGAAGAGATTGTTATCGATGCATGGCAAGCCGGTGTGTAATGCGAACTTTCTCTCTGCTCTATTCGCTCGCCTCGGGTGTTTAAACACCTTTTTTTTTTTTTTTTTTCTATTTCGATGCCATTACCTCTGGATTACCTATTGGTCAACTCTGACTCTTGTCTATATAGTGTGGCGCGGCTCGGGCCCGGATGCGTTACGGCTGTTCGAAGACGTACGGGGTGTGCGTCGTGCGAGGGTTATTGGGAGCGTCGGCGGTTTCGAGGGTTACGCTAGTTGGCTGGAGCGCGCGATGATGCGCGAGCCTGGGATTGAGATTGAGCCCTTCTCTTGGGATGCTGATCGAGGGTCTGGAGGGACGAGTATATAGGTTATTGCAATCGTAAAAGGAGTAATCTAGTTTAAAGGGAGGCTATAGAGATGGTAGTCGGCCAACAATACAAATACAACATTTTGTTCTGTTTAGCCGAGTTAAATAAGACCTAATGGGTCAGGTTGTAGCTGGCGTTTGGTTTTGGTCGGAATGTTATCGGTTGTATTGTTGATAAATTATCTTAGCCTAGAACTGTGTGTTGTCCTTTCAGGAGTCTCCATGCAGACTCTCCCGCATTGATATGGTGGGCGGGACTACATGACGTCTTCTCACGCAAGCCGTAGACTTGGAGTTGACCGAAATCATACAAGGCTCTTACAAGTTGATCAGCTTATTCGACTCACTTTGAGAGAAAAGAATTGGTCGGCTATAGAGGGTTTTGTGATCAAAATACTGTCTCAACAAATTTCGTTGTAAATGCTCATTCCACCGTACTAGATCTGAGAGCTTGGTTCAAATGGGAGGAAAGCAGGACAGATGGACGGGAATACATAGGTATCTCTCGTAGATCTAGGTAAGCAAATTCCAATACGATAACCCCTTGTAAACTCGGGCAAATAGCAATCCGAACTTCTTAAATGAGGTAGTTTGAGGGGTCCGTGCCGCCAAATCCGGTCCTCGGCTGCGTTTCGATCCATCTTTGATAAGAGAGCAGAACATCGTACCTTAGGTAGGTAGGTAGGTAATCTAGATGAGTTCAATGCTTCTTATATTTTTTTCTGAATTAATAGCCTCATGATGCGTGCAAAAGGGGAGCTTCTCCCGCAGTCAAGTGCTGCCGCCTCGCGCCCTCATTCGAGATCTATTTGGGTAACCTTAGTTCAAGTCGTAGTAGCTCTCGTACTACTAGGGAACACCTATGACGTATTCTTTTCTTCACGCACGAGGTATTCCGCGTTGGAAAAGTTAGCATATTGTCCGCAGGTCGAGCCTCTTTTCCCACAGCATGATAGTCCTGCTCTCTCTAAGTTGAAAGATTACATCACCTCGCCCATCTTTCTTAATGACACGATAGTTCGGCTAGCCGGAGCTATTAAGATCCCTACGCAGTTCGTATGATGACCTTGGGCCCGTTGGGAAGATGAGCGATGGGACGTCTTGTTCGACTTTGCGGCGTATCTAGAAAAAAACATTCCCACTCATTCATAAGACCTTGACACTTCAAAGGGTCAACACTCATGGGCTATTTACACTTGGCAGGGATCGGATGAGACCCTGAAACCGACCGTCCTCATGGCCCATCAAGATGTCGTTCCCGTAGCTGAGTCGACTATTGACCAATGGACCCATCCTCCCTTTAGCGGCTATTTTGATGGTCGTTTTATCTGGGGTCGAGGGTCTTCCGACTGTAAGAATAACCTCATCGGATTATGGAGGCTGTCGAATTGCTCATAGATGCGGGGTTCAAGCCAAAGAGAACTTTAATCCTATCGTTCGGGTTTGACGAAGAGATTTCAGGGGCACAAGGAGCTGCACAGCTCGCCAAAGCATTGGTTTCCCATTATGGAGAAGATGGTGCTGAGTTATTGTTGACGAGGGGGCTGGAACATCGACTGCTTGGGGCTCTACATTTGCCCTTCCTGGCGTTGCTGAAAAGGGCGCTATAGATGTTGAAATCATCATTCGTATGCCCGGTGGCCACTCATCAGTTCCTCCGGCGCATAACGGAATAGGAGTCATGGCAGAACTTATCACTACCATTGAAGGTTAGTAGCCCACACCTTTCTTTCATTGCGGAGATAGTCCTTGGAGTTCAATCTATATTACATCACTAAGACCCCTAAACAAACCCTCGGAATAATTACTAATTATGGATCACGATTTAGCTAATCCATACGAGCCGTACTTACACCCTGATAACCCTTTCCTTAGTCTCCTGCAATGCGGTGCTGTTCATGGTGCAGAATTCCCTTCCAAATTAAAGAAGCTTCTTCCATCTCACGACGGGCGAACTGGGAAAGACAAGCTTGCTTTAGAGGCAGCAAAGGCGGGCGATATTGTTAAATATCTGTTCACAACATCGGTAGCGCCCGATATCATCAGCGGAGGCGTCAAGAGCAATGCACTCCCCGAACGTATTCGAGTACTTGTCGACCACCGAGTCAACGTTGGCGAGCATTCATCTGATGTACAAAAAAGCTCATAAGGTTAGCCGAACAAGTTGCTGATAAGCATAATCTCACGGTTCACGCCTTCAACGACGAGCCAGAAACGCCTCGATCTATCACCCTTAACTTAATGGCAAACACGCTGGAACCCGCACCCGTACGCCAACGTCTGTTGATGAGGTGACGCCATATTCGGTGCTCTCCGGAACTAGCAGAGCTCTTTACGGCGAGACCCTTCTTGTTTCGCCAGGAATTATGACGGGAAATACTGACACAAGATATTACTGGGACTTAACAAAGTATATCTTTCGGTATGGTCCGGGCTGGGATCCCGAACAAGAAGGGCTCGATGGAATTCACACAGTCGACGAGAAGCTTAGTATCTCTGCGCATATTAAAGGTGTTCAATGGTACAGCCTTTTTATTAGAAATATGGACGAAGCGGAATTAGCGTAAATCAAATCAACACACATTATAAGATCAGTACATATCTGGTGTAATAAACATGTCAACCTACGAAATATCGATATAGTATTAGGGTTTTACATTAATAAATTGCGTTGGAGTTTACATATCTACGGACTGTTTCAATTATGTAGTGGTGTCAAAACCACTCAGTGCAAAACTATTTCTTTATCCTACTTCATATCATGTCTTTGAACTTGGAACAATTGCAATTCAAAGAGTTTTTTAATAATATATCCCTATTAGTCAATTATATCTTAAAAAACAAATTCCGGCAGAACCTCCACGTCATATCATTGAATTTCAATCAATCATTCACTAGAGGTCCTGAGAACCAAGGCAATCTCACGTTGCCTCTCCTGGAGGAGGGTCACATGGACTGTTATGGACGTGGCTCGTGCCCACGACTCAACCAATATTCTCTTCGCATAGCATCAGTCATCGCCCCTGATAAAACTGCCTGTACAATTTGAGCTTCAGGGTAGAGGTCTACCTCTCTAAGGAGATCATATACGTCATACCAAGAGGGATGTTCCTCTGCCGTTTCGCAGTCAAGAATTACTCTAGAGAAATCTACATGGCTAGCACTTGCAGCAAACTGGCAAAGACCTACCGCAATTCTTGCATAAGCGATAACTTCAACTGGGTCAACCATGCTAGCAGCCTGGCGAAACTCAATTGTTCTTTTATGTTTCCTCTCGAGCTGTGAAAAACTATATGCTCCTCTTTTCTGTCCAATATTCATGAGCCTTGCAATGGACTTTCTATCCGGTGATGTTAGAATTTCGGCAACAGCAGTCCTCATCGGAATCGGCTTGTAAGTTCGGGGGTCATGCACCTCCCCGAGGGTTAGCCCATGATAACACAAGATCCATTCTAACGAATCCCGATTGATATTAATGCTACTTACAGTTGGTCGGGGAGGGAATTGATGATTTCTAGGACTTGACTTTCCTGCGGAGGCTCATCACGACCTACCCAACTTCGGAGAAATTTCTGTATGCGCTCCATGTAACCGGTATACGCTGATTGCTCCACGACCTTGGTTGGTTCGTCTGGGGGATCAGGCTGGACTTGGATAGGGGGTTCTTGGCCCCCAGGGAAACATTAGCATAAAGGCGTGGCTCAAACACCATATATTATCGCGCCTATGTTCAGGGTGAGACTGAGCTAATATCGGATCTGCTGCATAGAGAAGAGCGGCAATCTTTTAAATGAGTCTAGAGGTAGCCATTCGTTTCCTTTACCTACGTGCACATGGAAGCCAGCTTCAGGAGAAGTGTATGTCAAAAAGTTTGCCTGAAGGAACTCACACATTCTTCGGACTTCCTCGAAGCCCTCATCCGTGGCCCAGAGAGCTGGTGAGACAACTTCGACACCGACCCATCCGAAATCTTCGCCGGTTTTATCTCTCAGCGGTACGGGTAGCCTTTGTAGGGTAGAGTCTAAGGATACATCCCAGCGGCGAACTGGTAAAGATGATGCCACGCATCATTTGAGTAGTCCGGTGCCCTTTCCCCCGACGGGGCGACTGTTGCCGCGGCGATGGGAATGCTTCGTCTATCATAAGAGCCAGAGCACCCACCCTGTCATTTTCCCTCGCCCAGCTCCCCCTAACCACCAGAGGACCCCCAGGCTTTGACTCGAATCCTGGAGGCACGGTACTGTGCCGGTGTAACTTTCAGCGCGCCATGCTATAAAGAATTCCATCTCTATACCAAAGCTTAACTTCTCCTTTCTATTCGGTGTTCCGGATGCCATCTTTCCTATCTTGTACAAGTCGATCGATTAGTTAAACGTAAAAATAGTTGTGTTGAGAGTCTTTCGCTTGTTTTCTTTGACGTTTCTGAAATCGCTGGCTATGCCAATCTTTTTTACCGTTACATTAAGTGGCGGCCTAATATTATATATTTCGTCTGAACACCCAGGTAACGGTATTGTTGTTTCTATACGTAAGCATAGAAATAAAACAGAACGGAAGCAAAACATGGTTTAAAAATAATCGCTGTTCCCTCTCTAAACATTTGGTTCGGTAAATCTATAAACCGTTAGCTTGTTGTAACATATTTCTTGAACACTGGGATCCGGAATACTTAATCCGTGATATATATTACCTGAAGTAACAACGTCAGCCTGCTCTACTGTGATATTTCAATACTACCTTCAAAGCCGCATAAGGTACTCCAAGTGTTACCAGATAAATATTGTGGCGCGTGATATCTTCAAGATGACGGTATTATTAACAGTGCTATAATGTAGGTTACTTACCACCAAGTAGCTGGAAGCAATATAAGCGCCAAGATGGTTTATTTGATATACGGGGAGATTACGAACAAAATGTATTGTGCCGTAGAAAGAAATGAATAAATGAGGAATGGTAGTTATATTAAATTAAAAGTAATAACTCAAGCGCCTCAGACTACT